TTTTGAGAAAGAGTTTATACAAGGTGTGTGCCACCCTGATGTGGTTTGTATAACGGCCCTTTTGAAAACTAAATACAATGAACAGCATAAAGAACAAAAAACCAAAAAAACAGCATATGATAAAAACCTACATCAGAAGTATTGTCGGCTCCTTACGACCAACTTTCGCGTGAGCAGCTTTTTTTTTTCGCTTGAGCAGCTTTTCATCCAGGATTTTTATTAAAACTACTTGATTAAAAAAGCTGTTGGAAGCTTTGTAAAAAATTTATCCCCATCTGGCCACACCTGGGTGGTGCTAAGACTTTCAGGGTTTGATTTTTAATAATTTTAGTTTAAAGTAGAGTTTGTCATTAATCCTCATATAAATGAGAACAATCTTTTCGGAAGCGTTTGTACAATTTAAAATCGATTGCTTACAAGAATTACAAGTTCTTTTTTTAATTAATGTACCTGTTACACATTTCGCATTTGCGAAAAACTATTTGCTGTGACCATAATGTACACACAGATGTGTCTTTCATCGTTTTATTCAAGAATAATTATTCCAACTTTAAGTCAATATTGTATTGTTCATTGTCCATGTTGTTATAATTGTTTTTCCTTTATACGTCCATTAGTTTAGTGGTGATAATAATACGGACATTACACTGAAGAACCAGCAGTAAAGTCATGTACGATCCCTTGCTTAAAAAACACTTTGTCATTAAACCAATCCATTTGTCAAGTTTATGACACTTTCATTTTAAACCCTAGCGAAAAGAGAAAAATAATTGGTTGTCAAACAGTGAGTTCTTACGTGTATTTGATATTATGCACTCTGTGCCTTTTACGCGCTTTGCAAGCAATAACTTCGAGAACAAATTCAGAACTGAATCATCGAAAAAAAAAACTCGCCACTAAAAGGTAAATGGATACTCTAAAGATTGGTTTCCTTGATGACTGTATAGTGATAATGTGGGTATTAATGTGGCCTGAATTTGAAATACTGAAAGACAAAAATTGGCTTTAGGAGTGCATTTACCTTATCTCAGCGATGACGCACGATGCATGTATATTCCTCAACATGGGAACATTTAAGCCCTTTTTTCTTATTATGGTAACAGCTATTGTACTTTCCTTTTTCTTAACTTTCCTTTTTAAATCATTTGCTCGCATAATGTTTAACCGTTCTGTGCAGGAGGACTAGGGTCTAGATAATGAAGCGAGAGCGAAAGTACTTCCAGTTTAGGAATGATAGACATTCGATATTGGTGTAAGTTTCTAGTTTGCTAAGTTTTATTTGTCAGTACAAGAATAATTTTAATAGCACCATGGACAAAAGGAGTGACAGTCGCAAGGAATCGACGAATGGCAGCAAAGCGAGGTAAAACAAATGAATTTCGAACTGATGGTTTAAATGGGCAAGGAGTATTTATATGGTGTAATTAAATGCCCAGCAGCCAGGCACGGTCTCTAATAGACTGAGTGCCCGCCAGTCAAAAATTTCCACGCAATTTCCGCCGGAAGGTTCTTTCAAACTTCTTAAGAAAATCAAATGTCTGTTAAGGAATGTCAAGTAATTCCAAAAATTTATTAGGTTATTAAGTGGACAAATTCTCCGAGCTTGTGCACACAATGATATCGCTCGGTTGTCGAGCGATATAAACAAACTCTGAGAATTTGTCCACGGAAAACTAAATTAATTTTTGTGATCGCTTGACATTTCTTAACAAACATCTAATACTCTTAAGAAGTTTGAAGGAACCTTTCGGTGGGAGTTGCGTGAAAATTTTGGACAGCCAGGCATTTAGTTTTTTTGAGAAAGTTCCCGGCTGCCGGGCATTTAGTCACACCGATATTAATATTCACGACTAGTTCCTCGTCAGAGGAATTTTCATTCACAGAGATCTCGTCAACCCTCACATCAAGCGAGAAACATTATTTTTCCCAAATTACCATGTGAGGGCGCCGCTGTGAGGCGCCTGTTATTCCCATTTAAATTTCTGTTTACTCTTAATTTCGATTTCGGAAGGAACGAAGTATCGGCTTCTGTCTAACATTGTCGCCTAATGATAAATAAACCTCACATTGTTTCATTGTCTCTCTTGTGAGGCCGCCGCTGTGAGGCACCTGTTATTCCTATTTAAATTTCTGTTTACTCTTATTTTCGATTCATTTGGTTTGTCGTTCGAAGGAACCGCGAATCGAACAAATTTTGCTACACCTCTATCCTGATATTAAACATCGGCAGAAACGTACTTAGTGTGATCAGTTTGTAACAAAGAATAAAATAAATTCGCACTTTAGACTTGAAGAAATTTTGCTAGAGACCTTGAAGCAAATTGTTTACTTGAAAGATAATGTCATTTTTAATTATTTCTGGTCACGCACGGTCACACAATAATATCTTTTTGTCACGGCAAGTCTGCTTTCCACATTTGCGTCTCATTATGTTTATGCATGTGTTCACCCCTTCACCGCTACAAAGTTTTAATTTTATGGGACTAGTCATTTATTCATGACCTGACCAGGGGGAGGGGGGAGGTGGGGGCGAGAGGGTTGAGGCGGTGATAACATAGCTGAGGGGGGAGCTGGGGGGGATCAGTCGAAAGGTGATCAGTAGAAAATTGACTGCTGATTAATTGCTAATGGGAGCGATCATAAGAACATTACGGAGCCTAACAGGGGGTCATGAAAAATTTTATTGTGACCCCTCCCCCCCTTCGGCGATAAATAGTGACCAATCCCTGAAGAGTGATAAATGAATGATTAATGACAGATTACTTCAATGTATCTCAGCGTAACGTTTTGTTGTGTCAGCAACAAAGTTTAAATTGCATATTCATACAAATTTTTCAAATGCCGCATCTATGTGGCTTGTTTTTGCATTTCCTTGTAATTCCTACGTGATTGACAAGCTCCCCACCTTATTATGTAAATATATTGGGTGAAGTTGGGAGAGAGTGCCAAACACTAAGGGGGGCTTCAGAGGGAGGCTCGGAGTTGAGCCCATTGAAGCCTGAACGTTTCCAGACTTTATTTTGTAATTTCGAGAATGATTTGTTGTTTCTTTCATTGATTATGTTAATCTTATGAGGTCATTATTTTTAGAGGGGTGTTAGTAAATGACATGAGGATAAAAACATTTTTCCATAAGGGCTGTTCTGAACAGAAATACAAATGACGATCTTAAAAGGAGCACTCAGGAGGAAGGCTACGAATTTCTACCAGTAGCTGAAAACCACATTGGCTTCATAATCGGCAGGAAAGGATGTACAATAAATCAAATACAAGAAACGTCAGGGGCAAAGATCAGTGCTCAGTCACAAAAAGGTCGCAACGGATTCGCTATTCGTGGTAATGAGAGGCAAAGGGCCCGTGCAAGAGAGCTAATCAAAGAGAAATTGGTAAGTGGCTACTAAAGGAAGTGGAACTATTTCTATAGACGTAACTCCTCAAATTTTCCACTGCAGAACAATGTCAAAATGCAGAAAAGATAATAAAAGAAATCGTGACGGTAAGAGCTCATTAGTGGGAAAAGGAGGCTGAGTGTCTGTATCTAACTCAGTGTCAATTGAACCATCAAATCACTTGGCTGTTCTAGATACTGTACATTGGATGTTTTTGTTTTCGAATTAAGAAGCAAACTTTTATCAAAGAACCAAGAGGGTTGCAAATCACCCACAAAAAAAGATCGATACCTACGTCGAGAGGTTTGACTGTAAAATTCTCACAGAGCCCCTCTCTTTTTGGCACTTGGATTTTTACTGCTTTGAAAGCAGGTATTTTTATTTAATATAAATGTAATATTGGTATGAATGAGGTGGCTATCTTACGGCAAGTTTCCCTCAGCCTGCTGCTTTTATACTCTCCAGATCCACCATTGAACTTCCATTAATTTCATCAGCTATCCAACATTCAAATATCACTACTACACATATTATATATATAAATTCTCAAGAACTTCAAAGCTTGCGTGTATTCTCTCTCCCTAGGTTTTTTTCAAGTCTAGATACGTTTATGTATTTGTTCGGATCCGTAGGGTACTCAAGACAACGAAAAAGGCGGGTTCAAGAAGCTTCACGTTGACATACCTGACAAATTCATGGGCGTTGTCATTGGGAAAGGACATGAGAAGTTGAACAATATCTCAACTAAGACTGGTGTAACTCTAAAAGCCTTCACCTTCGCGACATGACATCACACTTTCCTCTGGGATTTCCAAAAACGAGAGTAAGCCCAAGAAGGCTCTCGATAGGAAATTAGGGATTCAGTGGCTTTATTTAATGTCGAAGACGTGGGAAGTGTTTGCACAGTCTTCCGAGCCAGAGGCGATTTTAACGATTTTTTTTTTCATTTAAGAATCTTGCAATGAAACGTTCAGAGAGTACTGAACCTTCGGCAAGGTTTGTTTTCGTGGACACTGCTCAGCTGGAAGAAAACCACGAGTTTAAGCTGCAGAATTCGAAGTTACAATCAGATCAAGTCACCGGCTCTGGAGATAAGTCCTTCCAACTAAAGCTACTGGGACATCCTCTAGGAAAGGTCTGCCCGACTTTGCGCTGATCTAGTATAAAAAACGACTGTCTAACCCTAAGCTAACCTTAAATAAAGAAAATAATCCATGCATACAAACATATTGTGAATGTTACTGCTTAGAAAATCAATCATTCAATTTTAGCCACAGTTTAGACTACACCATTCACTACATATAAAAATTACTAATTTCATACGATGAGTAGATAACTGAAGGTTTCGACCTATCATGTTGCAAGTTCGCCCTCCTACGTGTTCGCTGTAAACCTCCACATGAAAAAGAACTACAGCCCTAGAACAAGACGTTAACTACAGAAATTCTCCATTTCTGTATTTGCTCTCAACACATTTTGTCCCGCCTTTGTCAAGACATTTCTAGAAACCAGGCTTGTAATGGAATCTTCCGAGCCTCCTCGCCGAAAGTCGACCCAGCCGTTCGTTTAAAGTCATTTCTTTTATTTGGAGAAATGACATATTGCTTGCTCATAACTTCGGAAAGCTTGATTTTTCAATGAAGTCATAACACACAACGACTTTCAAACTGAGGGGAATCGACAAGAACGTCTAAACAAAAATGAACCTCCCTAGCAATAAAACAAGCAACATCCAACATTTATTACAAAAGACATTAATACAATCATCTTGTTTCTTAACAGGAAACAGATGATTTTGCTAACACGGAAAGTCTGAAAGAAAAGATCCGTGGAGTTTTAAAGCAAATTCACAAAGAGGAGTTGGAAGGGGGCAAGGTTAAGATAGAAATGAAGAGTCGTTTCGGTCACGCCTATATAACTAAGATTGATGAAGGTGAGAAATGGGGAAAGGGGGAGACAACACCGCAGAGGGACAAGGAGCATATGAATTGATCGAAAAATCTCTGATGAAGTATCTTAAATCGGATTCGAAGATTAACGAAAACGCCTGGTTCTATAACTCGCATTAAAGTGGAATGTGGAGGTGTCAATCTAAGATTTTATTTCTTTGGTTTTTCTGTTGCTACAGATGAAGAGGAAGACACTTTTACCCTGAAGGAGATCCAAGAAAAAGTTGAATCTACGGATGGCAATAGCTGGAAGCCAATCTTCAAGGAAGGCGTCTTGAGAATGGAAGTTGAGGCAATTGAGAAGGACCTTGAATCTTTCACATCAACTGAAGATATCAGATATGACTTTGCATTCTACACTCCTTCTTGCCGAGATATTGGTGTTGAGGTATTTTAAATCTGTAAATAGAATAGATAAGAACATCCATATATCGTAGGATTCTCTTCATCATCTGACGCTGGACTTGGATTGTCCTTTCTGGAAAAAAGAATTTTCACTTCTGATAAAACACATTCGAGTATCGCCAAATAGGAAATGAAGAGGGGTATTCTCGTTTATATCTGCAAGGTTCAGTGAAAACGATACGGTCTCTTAGGAATCCGGACAGTTTGTCCTTATTAGAGACGTTAAATGTATGTTGTTAAAATCTCTTAAATTATATTCTAGCCTCTTAATTAAAGGAATAAGTCTCCCCGGCGTCGCTGAGGAACTAAGACACCGAAAAAACTGTCACTTGTTTTTAGAGAAGCCTGTCTACTTCCCTGAATAAAGACTGATTGGAATTAGTTTTTAATTCCCCAAATTTTCTTGTTTCTCTCTTTATGCCAGGTAAAGCTGGTGGAGGAACATTCTGAGGACGAGGGTGCTACAGCTCCTTCGCTAATGTTCTCTCGCAATGCTTCTATTCCTGTCAAAAACGTCTTAACTCGTGTGTTAACCGAAGACGAGACCAGAAGAACATCGAACGAACCATGCTTCCATATTTATTCTCACTTTCAACAAAGAATGATAGCAGACATTTTGATGCCTTCCAAGGGATTTGACTGCCGTTTGTCGATAAGAACATGTGAGTCTGTGAATTATGACAAGAAAGACGTAATAAACAGCTTCTCGCAGCTCTCAGCGGCATTAACTTTTAATTTCATAAGTTTTTTAATTGCGGATGGAAAACTTACTGCAAATGACACTAAAAAAGGTAGAAAAAAAGCAAGAAGAGCGAAATATTGGATGATACTTGCCATCAGTTTTACCAACCAAAAAAATAATTAATGAATGGAGCTTACAGCACTGAGTAGCGTTTTTGACTCCATGATTTATTCTTCTGAACTTCAGATGAAAAAATCATGAAGTCAAAAACGCTCAACTGTGTAAGGGACTAGTTTCCAAGGAGAGTAACACTGAAAAAAAATAACGGAAGGAACTAAGTATCACATTGTAAACATCACATTGTCTCAGTTAAAAGTGTGTCTTTTTATTTTTGTCAAGATCCAAATATTCCGCAGACACCAGAAGCTGAAGAAGAAGACAGAATTCTTGAAAGTTATTTGATGAACATGAAGATTGATCAAAGTAAACTGAAGTTACCACCAACCTCCGAGCTTCCAGATGGATTTGAACTTTTTTACTGCCGTCGCAGTCGGAGAAGAACATACCAGTACGAACAGTTTGTCTTGACTGTTTGTAAAGAGCAAGCTAAAGACATAAATATTGATCACAATGATGTATGGAGTTTCGACGAAACCGAAGTAAGGGTACGTATCACTACAATCAAGCTATGCTTTCTCTTCGTCCATGTTAGTCATACATCGCTGTTTGTGTTATGATCCATGTCGCTCGTCTGCAGTTGATACTGAACAGTCATTCAGTATATCTGTAAATTAAAGCGTCTGTAGAACTCTGATTTGGCCAGTCAGTCCGCTGGTCAGCTAATTTGAAAGTTGGTCAGTCGGTCAGTCTGTCAGTCTGTTTATCAGCTACTCAGACAATCACGGTCTGCCAACCAATACGTCAGGCAGCTTGTCAGTTAGTCAATTAGTCAGCCCTATCAATTCATCAGTCAGCCAATACGCCAGCAAGTCCACCAGTCGGTCCGCTAGCCAGTCCGCCAGCTAGTCTACTAGCCATTCCTCTAGCAAAACATTAAGCTAGTTAGCCAGTTGGCCAGTCAGTCAGCTCAATTCGTCAATCAGTCATTCAGAGAGTCAATTTGGTATCATCATCAACTGTGATGATAGCGTTAATTGGCCACCGTTAGGAGTTTCAAAGCTGACGTTTCAAGCGTTAGCCCTTCGTTAGCCCTGACGAAAGGACAACGCCTAAAACGTCAGCTTTGAAACCAGTTAGCTTGATTGTTTCGTTAGTGATTGACTATCCCACATTTTAAGTCATTTAGTCATCTGTTTTGAGTCAAAGGAAGTCTTACGGGCTTTAATTTTTTTCTAATTTATTTTTTTTCGATTTTGTGTGAAAAAGACGGACATACATCTGTATTGTAAAAAATGGGATGACACTTTTGATGAAGGAGACTGGGAACCAGAGCAGATCGTTGCTAAGCTACCGACGTTCCTAAAATTTCTGAGAAAAGTTCAGTCACTCGTGGCTCCTCATGAAGAGGCTATTGGAGGCGAAAGTCAGCCAAAAACAATTGAAGAGCAGAATTAAATATACGATGCGTATAGGGATTAATAACTAAAATGTGATAGATTAGCTAAATGTGAATGCTCTTCAATCTGCGGCTCAAGAAGATGTCATTACCATTCTGCGCAGTACGCGCTTGGTGGAATGATGCAACAGCACAACTTTGAGCGTCTGATGGAAAGTGGAAAACCTATATTCTTTAAATTTGTAAATACAAAAAAATAACTTAAGTGTTGGAAACTGTACGATACGTTAAGTATTCTTAATTTGATTGACATTTACAAGGGATTTCGGTTAATCTATACATAACCAAAAAACATGTATACGGCACCTGTTTTATCGCCCCATACATGGCACTGTTCTGGCACGTGCTTACAGCGGGACATTGCGTGTTTCTTTCGAATAAGCTGAGAGTTGTGAGCGGGAGTTAATCGAAGCGTTGTTGTAAAATCATCAAATCAAGTGAATAAATCGTGAGTTAACAATGAAGCGTGGTACAGCTTTTTCACGTTTTCGAAACCAGCTGGAAAGTCATGTACGATCCCTTGCTTGACAAACACTTTGTCATTAAACCGATCCATTTGTCAAGTTTATGACACTTTCATTTTAAATTCTAACGAAAAGAGAAAAGCAATTGGCTGTCAAACAGTTAGTTATACACGACGTGTATTTGATATTATGCACTCTGTGCCTTTTACGTGCTTCGCAGTCTATAACTTCGAGAACATACTCATCCCTGAATCATCGAAAAAAACTTACCAATAAAAGGTAAATGGATAGATTGGCTTTCATGATGAATGTATGTTGATAAATAGTAAGGGTATTAATGTGGCCTGGTAATGTTGATAAATATTATTTTGAATTTATATTTTTAAAAGATAAAAATTGGCTTTAAGAATGCATTTCCCTTATCACAGCGATGACGCATGATGCATGTATATTCCTCATCATAGGAACATTTAGGCCCTTTTTTGGTTATTTTGATAGCAGCTTCTGTACTTTCCTTTTTTCTTAACTTTGTTTCTTAGATTATTTGCTCGCAAAATGTTTGACCGCTCGGTTCCGGGAGGACTGGGGTCAAGGTAATGAAGCGAGACCGGAAGTACTTCCGGTTTAGGAATGATAGGCATTCGAAAATGGTGTAAGTTTTTAGTTTGCCAAGTTGTATTTGTCAACACAAGAGTAATTTTAACGGCACCATGGAAAAAGGGAGTGACAACGGCAAGAAATCGAAGAATGGCGGCAAAACGAGGTAAACCAAGTGAATTTCGAACTGACGCTTTAAATGGGCAAGGAGTATTAATATTCACGACTAGTTCCTCGTCATAAGAATTTTCATTCACAGAGATCTCGTCAACCTTAAGTCACATCAAGCGAGAAACATTATTTTTACAAAATTACCTCGTGAGGCAGCCGTTGTTAGGCGCCTGTTATTCTTAGTTAACTTATAGTTTACTCTTATTTTCGATTCATTGGTTTGTCGTTCGAAAGAACGAATCGAACGAATTTTGCTACACTTCTATCCCGATGTTAAACATTGGCAGAAACTTACTTGGTGTGATCAGTTTGTGGCAAACAATAAAAATAAATTCGCTCTCTAAACGTAAAGAAATTTTGTTGTCGACTTTGGGGCAAATTGCTTACTTGAAAGATGATGTCATTTTCAGTTATTTCTGGTCACGCACGGTCACACAGTAACACCTCACTGTCACGCAAGTCGGTTTTCCACATTCGCGTCTCATTATGTTTCTAGAAGCATTCACCCCTTCACCGCTAATAATTTTTAACTTTAAGGGCTTAGTCATTATTCATGACCACGTGGTTGGGGCTTGGAGGGTTGGGGGGTGGGGGGATCACATGGCTTTCAGGGGTAGCTGACGGGGATCAGTAGAAAATTGACTGCTGATTAATTGCTAATGGAGCGATGACAAAAATATTGCAGAGCCTTACAGGGATCATGAAAATTTTATCGTGACCCCTTCCACGGCGATAATAATAACCAGTTCCTTCAGGGTAACAGATGAATTATTAATGACTTATTACTTCAATGTAGGTTAACGTTTTGTTGTGTCAGCGACAAAGTTTAAATTGTATATTCGCGCAATGTTTTCAAATGCCGTATCTGTGTGACTTTTTTTTTTGCATTTCCTCATAATCTCTGTGATTGGCAAGCTCCACACCTTATTATGTAAATATTCTGGGTGAAACTAGGACAGAGAGTCAAACACTAAGGGGTGCTCCAGGTGAAGGCTCGAAGTCGAGCCCCGTCGAAGCCTGGACGTTTCCAGGCTTTATTTTGCAATTTCGAGAATTATTTTTCTATTATTACTTGTTACATTATGTTGCTTTTAATAAGTAATTATTTTTAGAGGGCTGTTAGCAAATGACGTGAGGATAAAAACATTTTCCATAATGGCTGTTCTGAACAGAAATACAAATGACGATCTCAGAAGGAGCACTCAAGAGGAAGCCTGCGAATTTTTACCAGTAGCTGAAAACCACATTGGCTTCATAATCGGCAAGAAAGGAAGTACAGTAAAACAAATACAAGAAACGTCAGGGGCGAAGATCAGTACTCAGTCAGAAAAAGGTCGCATCGGATTCGCTATTCGTGGTAATGAGAGGCAAAGGGCCCGTGCAAAAGAGTTAATTCACAAGAAATTGGTAGGTAGCTATTAAAGGAAGTGGAACTTTTTCTGTAGTCGTAACTCCTTAGATTTTCCTATTTTCTAGTATCTGTATTTATTTGAATACAGTGAATCTGATTGTTAGTCAGCTAGTTAGTCATTCATTTAGTCAAATGAATAAAGGGGTAAGTTTCTAAAGAAACTGTGGTGCTGCGTCGGTGGGAGAGTACAGCAGGTAATTTAGTGTTAACAACTGAGTTGAAAAACGTAAATTAGCCACCGTAAAGGGTAAAAAAGCTGACGTTTCGAGCGTTAGCCCTTCGTCAGAGCGATTGGAGGAATTGTGGGTTGTGTGTGGGTTTATATGCAAAAAGTGGAGGTACGCCATTGGTGGGAATATGGTGACAAGAAAACAGAAATAAATTAGTTGAAGGAAAAGCGCTCGTTGATTCCGTGGGGATTAAGGGTGCCGATTTGGAAGATAAATTTTTGTTCTAGTGTGGTTTACGGCTTTCCGAACTGCCTAGATGTAAGGAAAGGGCGCAAACTGCGATATGCTGTTTAAAATGATTGAGAAGATGAAAGTGTTTAGCGACTGGTTTGGATGCGTCTTCGTCATTTCTTTCCACGTCGCGAAGGTGTTCCTGGAATCGGTCACCTAATCGTCTTCCTGTTTCGCCGATGTATAACTTATTGCAATAAGTACAAGTTATGCAGTAAATCAATCAGTCCGACATGAAGTCAGTCATGATCTCAGCCAGAGTCAGTCAATCAGTTTGCTTGGTACCCAATTAAATAGACAGTCGTGATCATGCGTGGTTGTCAATTATCGCTGATTCTGTTTGTCGTCATGTCTTTCTTTCTGCCTCTGTTTTTTGTGTGTATGCGAGAACCTGCTTTTCCTACTCTCTGTAAACATTGTACATTCTTGTGAACTTTCGATTCCAAAGGAAACTCTCTCAGGAAATCAAAGCGTTCCTGGTCGACCGATTGTGATTCCAAAAAAGTTTGAGAAACTAGTAAAAGGACCAGATGGAGACCATCTTCAACATGTTAGCACTATTACTGGAGCTGCAGTAAGTTCAATAGGACCCGATCATCGGCTGTATGTAAGTGGATCCAAGAGAAACACAAAGCATGCCGAGTATGTGATAAAAAGCAGAATGGTGAGTTTAACACTGACATTATTTCATGTTAAAGAAAATAAGATTTTGGATACCCTGCCAAATGCTAAATGTCTCTTATTTTTAATACAGAGGGGAGCTTTTTTTTTCAGTTAGGTCAACGATTTTTCTGCATTGACTGTAAACCCTTATTTTTTCGCTCTGTTTTAGGCTGCGGGAAGAGTCATGGCTAACACAATCTGTGTCTTTATAGACGAGAAAAATCTCCCAGAAAATTGTAAATTACAGCTTTTCCCTGTAGAGGAAAAGGAGCGCTTAATACTTTCAGTGGGAAGTTCATCTCAGTATCGCTTGAAACCTTGTGAAGAATATGATATGGATGTACAGGTTTGTGCAAAAAGTGGCTTATGGTGAAAGGCGTAGAACACTCTGCAATCATTCTGTCTGCAGGTATATCGGTGCAAAGTTAGCGAGAAACGACCGTTCAGGGTTAAATGATAGACGCGCATGAGGTTAATGACGAAGCGAATAGACTGCTGATGTTTAGCTAGTTTTATTTATATTATATATGAAGGAGGTAACGGGTATCGAGTTTTTAGTTATAATCTCGAGGCAAAGCAACTGAAAAAAAAAAAAAAAACATCGACCCAACGGAAGAAATGCCTCCCTATCTGACAGGATCGATTTTGAATTATAGGGAGCTTATGCGCTCAATCAAGCTGTCGCAAAATACGATGCTTCAATAAACAAAAGAATTTTAACATCCCTGAGGAACTTGAAGATGGAAATTGGGTCCGGCAATTATCACAAAGCTGACCTGTGGTGTCATTTCGGAAAAATCGTCATACGGGAACCAGACGAAGGTGAGGCTTAACTAATTTATAATTAATAGTGGAGTAGATTATTTGATCAGCAGGGATTTGCTAAAGCAAAGGCATAGAAAAAACCAGGAAAGATTTATTACTCGACGTTTCGGGGTCATCGTGACTCCATTATCAAGAGACTAGTTTAAAAACATGCAAATAAGGAAAGGTACAAGAATAGCATAAATTAGAATGAACGGCTTAAACAAACACCTTGGCGCGGATGGAATCCGTTTGCACGTTCAGTGTTGGCTTACGCATGCGAATATACAACATTTCATTAACAAGGCAATCAAATTTGCCGTTACATTTCGCGATGACGTTGAATTGCTCGATCAAGCGTTCAGGCATTTCACTATTGTGCTGGAGGTGGTAGTGTTTGTAGATAGAAGATGATTTCCTTGTGTGCCCTTCTACGCGCTCGTGTAAGTGACCACGAGTATAGCCCACATACCCTGCGTCACACAGGTTACATTTAAATTCATAAACGATACATTGTTGGTTAACAATAGGGGGCTTAATTTCGTGTTGCTTAAGCTGTTGATCGAGCTTAGGGCTAACGAACACTGGTTGGACAGTCACGCTTAACTTCGAGCTTAGACTGTTCAGTTGTTGACTCCATGGAGTCGCTATGGGTTCTCCCCTTGGACCGTTGCTGGCTAACGTCTTCATGTGCTCGATTGAGGAAAACCTCGAACAACACGGTCAACTTCCGCGCTATTACCGGAGGTACGTCGATGACACCCTGACCGTAATGCCTGATAGGGTGACCGCTGGCCAGTTTCTAGACACCCTTAACTCTACCCATCCCTCCCTCCAGTTTACCATGGAAGTCGAACGGGAAGGATCCCTTCCCTTTCTAGGAACTGAACTGCTTAACCGTGCACCAAAGATTGAGAGCAAGGTCTACATCAAAAGAACCAACACGGGTCTCCTTCTGCATTTCCAGAGTCATGTTGACATTAAGTACAAGCGCAGCCTAGTTAACACCATGGTGGATCGCGCTTATCGATTATCTTCTAACTGGTCTTTCTTCTCCGAGGAATGTGACCGCCTTAGAGGGGTTTTTCATAACTTGAAATACCCAAAGCCACTGGTTGAAACTACAATTAAGCGGTTCGTTGAGAGAAGGTTTTCATCTGCAGATCCCTGTCCATCACCAGACGTACCATCGGAGATTGTGAGATTAGTGTTACCCTTCAAGGACCAGTCGTCAGCTAATCATGTTAAACAACAACTGAACAGTCTAAGCTCGAAGTTAAGCGTGACTGTCCAACCAGTGTTCGTTAGCCCTAAGCTCGATCAACAGCTTAAGCAACACGAAATTAAGCCCCTATTGTTAACCAACAATGTATCGTTTATGAATTTAAATGTAACCTGTGTGACGCAGGGTATGTGGGCTATACTCGTGGTCACTTTACACGAGCGCGTAGAAGGGCACACAAGGAAATCATCTTCTATCTACAAACACTACCACCTCCAGCACAATAGTGAAATGCCTGAACGCTTGATCGAGCAATTCAACGTCATCGCGAAATGTAACGGCAAATTTGATTGCCTTGTTAATGAAATGTTGTATATTCGCATGCGTAAGCCAACACTGAACGTGCAAACGGATTCCATCCGCGCCAAGGTGTTTGTTTAAGCCGTTCATTCTAATTTATGCTATTCTTGTACCTTTCCTTATTTGCATGTTTTTAAACTAGTCTCTTGATAATGGAGTCACGATGACCCCGAAACGTCGAGTAATAAATCTTTCCTGAGTAGATTATTGGGATGTAAAATACAGGTACCTCTACCTTTGCGCTCCTTTCTTCGTTATTAGAACACTGTGGTGTAATGTTTCTTCTCCAAAAGCAAGGCTTTACCTGACTAATCAACTGAATAATAATCGACTGAAAAAAATCTCAATTCTCTTTCAAAATTTCAAGGGAAAGGAAGACAATTTCGACAGCCTATCGTCCATTGGTACACTATTACCATTGCAGTTTAGTGTTTAACATAAATCGATTATCGTTCTATCACAAATCCTTTATTCTGATTAGCTACTGGGTTGATAATGTAAATTGACCTCCATAAAGAGTTTCTAAAGATGACTTTTCGAGTGTAAGCCCTTTGTTACTCGCCGTTTTTCCTGAATAGTGAGTAACGCGAGTTAACTAACATTGTATGGTTGTTGTCAAAATAAAATAAACACTTGATTCTGTCAGTGTTGCTAAGTTTTGGGCAAGTAGTCGATTTATTCTTAAAGAAATTAGATTATTCGCTTTCAATTTCTTTGTGAGATAGTTTCTTCGGGCTTCGCTCTCACTAACTATCACGTAATAGAAATCGAGAGCGAAAAATCTTGTCATTGATTGATTAATTTGAAAGGAATTGGACCTGATCTGGATGGTAAAAAGAGACACCATTTTGAAAATGTAAGCCATCAAGTAATTAGAAAACTACATGTGTCAACAGCCGACCTCGAGGAGACGTGGAGCATTGCTGATTCACTCAACAAGCTTCAAAGAACAGAACAGAAAAAAAACGAATGGCTTGTTGCATTTAAAGAGGGCGTGAACCTTGCTGACAAAGTGGTGAGCGATACATTTGGTGATCAGATAGGGGAGGACTTCATGGCAAGATATGACTTGACGTTTTTGTCCCCGAAAAGCCAAGCAATGCGATGTAAGGCAAGTTTACCACTTTCACCATTTTAAATGACATGAACCGGTTTCTGTTTCGAAGTCATATACACATTCACGTACAAGAGGTTAACTGTACCCATAATGCAATGTAGTTTCCCTTAATGAATGCTTGTCCATAGTGCATGCATACAAGAGCAGAGGCATAATAAAATTCAAAAATAATGGTAGGATAGCTAAATGGGGATTGCTGAGCATATTAATTTCCTTCTTATATAGGTTCAGAACAGTTCAGGAAAACACGCTTTAAAAAACTGATAAATGTTGAGTTTCATTGATTCAAAACTTTCCATCCACAATTTTTTGTAATTTGTTGGACATCTACAATACCTTATATGTATTAAGAAAATTTGCGTTCTCTCAATTATTCATGTTTGGCTTTTTCAATTTTTAAGTGGCTTTTTCTCATGACAACTTAGGTATGGGTAGCAAATAAAGATGTGGGAAAGAAACTTGAAGAAATACCGATTCCTTTCCATGACCTGAAAAATGTTGTTGAAGAACTGCGGTTTGAGGATGATTCCACAAGGGCGAGGTGTCGAGGGTGGCTGGTTTTACAGTCCAAGAAATTTCTCCAGGTTAACATCATTTTTCCAGGTTCAGACGTTGATTGCAGGATAAGCTTGCGTGCGCTTACAGGTGAGTCTACGAAAGGTCTTATATCTCTAGTTGTCTGTGTGTGTCATATCACATATGCATTACTTAGTGAATGAGTCATTCAGTGACTGACCAATGGACTGACCTCCTGACTACTGACCTGCCTACCCACTGACGTAGCACCACAGTTACTTTGGAAACTCACCCCCTTTGATTTACCGACTGACTGAGCGGGCAAAACGAGAAAGTGAGTGAGTAAGAGGTGAATTGATATTTCCCTCCCTTGTTGCAAATGTGATAAGTATGAAATTATTCCTATGTTAATATTTTGGTCGATTTTTTGGGTCAACAGTCCAGTTTCATTTGCAAGAGCCAAGTTTCTGCTGGAATAAATTTTGGCCACGCAAGATGGCCTCTTTATAGCCTAAAACTCACGCAAAACATACTTTAAATCCTGAAACTATTAGCAAAGTGGGAAAGTTGATTAAATAATGGGCCAGTGAGTGAGTTTATGAATGCGAAACCAACATAAATACTAATGTTTGATCTAACGGTTTTTTTTTTCCTCAGATGATTTAGTTGCTAACAACAGCCTTGTACGCGAGAAAGAAGCGACACACCTCGTATCAAATTATCTTTCTAAGTTGACATTCTCCGATGCCGACGGGTTACGCCTTCCAGAAGACGAGAAATTACCCCAGGGATTTAACTTTACTCATCGGAGATGTTCCCACCGGACTCTGTTCACCCCCCGGCCTGGATTTACCATGATTGTCTCTGATGAAAGATCCTGGTGCAGTGATCTCAGAGATGAGGAAAACAGAGTGACGGTAGGAAATTTGTCGTTAACAACACCATGATATTACGACTTATTTTAGTGCAAATTTAGCGTTTTATCTCGAATGGTGCAATCTGAATGGTTGCGCTTCCCGTTATTTATATCCGCGATAGTCATAGAGCACAGGGGGTGACCCAACAATGTACAGTTCCTAACAAATTACAATAAAAGAAAGAGCCTGTCTCGATGTTACGTTTTCAACGAGTAGATTTATAGTGAAAGGATTAAATAACTCGCTTTCGATTTCTGCCCTCACTCGATATCACGTGAAAGAAATCGAGAGCGAATAATCTAATCGTTAAAAAGAAAAATTTTTTTCCTCACCAATTTACCCGAATTTATTTAAAAATATCGTATCAATTAGTTTGAATCGTTGTCAGCTTTAATAGTGGTGTCGTTAACTAGGAGGTTCATTTATTTTTGAACTAGCTTCTCTTTTTCCCCTATTCACTTCTTTTTAATCATTCATACCCTTAGACGGATATTCACCTTCATTGTGAAAAATGGGATCAGCTTCTCAACGAAGAAGACTGGGAACCAGAAATGATCTGTGCCGAGTTGCCTGAGTTTCTTCAGTTCGTTCGTCAAGTTCAAGAATTTATTTCTTGTAACGGCAACAAAACAGCTGATCAAGAATGAAGGCGGATAATACGCGGTCGGTAAATTTAATTTAACTTAATTAAAATTGTTGGTTATATTCATAGTACTCAAAAATTTTTTAACTTTAAGTGAAAATGACTGTTATGCTATAAAATAAAAATATACAGACAATAAGCTTCAGTCTAAATTTGTGTAAACGACGTGTATTCAATTTATTTACACTAAAAATGATATCGGACAATTCTTTGACAATTTCACGAATATCACTCTGTGTAAAGGATTAATTACTTCATAGGACCATCGAACTATCACCTTTTTAAGAAAAATACGAACGTACCCGTTCTAAATGACCTTATCGTTCTTATTTCAGAAAACGTAATAGAAGTTTTGGTATCTGCATAAGAAACAGCACAATCTATAGAATGACAAGATGTATTCCTCTAAAGTGGTTTACAGAGAAGCAATATCTATTATGGCTCGTTGACTATGTCCCAATCAGTGGAAAACAGTAGTTTACAAGAGCAAACTGCGATTGAGATTCAAACTAGAACTCACTAGGAGAAAAACTCCGTAGAAATTGCTTCATTCATACAATAAAAATTAAAAGTTTTACTCGTATTACATACTAAGAATGCTAGATGCACTATAGCTAGCTTTTGTTCCTAAAACCGTTCCTTTCAATCATTATCCAAGGTAGCTACGTATCTGGTTCTCTATTTAGTCTGTGGGATGCCCCTTGACGCCAACCTCCGGCCCAGTCTCTTCAAAAGGCCCTTTCCCCGCGGTCATGGTCTCTTGAGTCGGTAAAGCTTCCTCTGGGCTACCTTTGCTTTCTGTCTCACGTCTGGTGCTTGTTTTGAGCGGTTTTTCGTCAGAGCACTCGTCATCTTCAAGAGGTCTTAAGTCTTCGCCTTCTTCTTTCAGTTTAGATAACCCCTGGGTTTTCTGAACAATATGTTCAGGGCTCTGGTCTTCTGTTTCCACACCAGATTGGTTTATCGTTTCTTCAGCGAGGGTTTCCTTCACGAGTTCTTTAAAGTCACCTTCTTGGTAAACATGCCTGACAGGGTGACCCCTTGACTCGTCCTCCTTCTTTGGAGTTTCTTCACTTTCCTTCACAGCTGTTTCTTCCGAACGTTTCTCGTCTGCCAAATCTTGGATTGGCTTTTCTTTCATGATCTCCTCTTTGATTGAACCAGGAGATAATTTCTCTACTTCCGGTGACTCTTGTGTAGGTCTTCTCGCCTCTTTACCTGACGAATCAGAGGTGGCGTTCTTTGATTCTTGTACCGGCCTTTCCTTCATGTTTTTAAACTCGACAGATTCGGGAGATTTTTGCGCCTCTGGCGTTTCTCGCGTAGGTCTCCTAGCATCCTTATCAGACGGCAAGGATTCATTACCAGCAACAGGAGGATTAATATTGCCTGTGCTTTTTCTAGGAATACCTGATTCTTGTTTCGGTCGGTCTTTCATGTTTTCCATCTCACTTAGGGAAGCATGCTCTGCAGCAGGTGTCTCTTGGATAGGCAATCTTGCATCTTTATCAGACTCCACCCCTGGTATCTCATTTGACCTGAAATATACGACTACTGACTCGTCATGTCCATTTCCTTGTAGCGGCACACCATTTGAATCAGCACCCATGTCACTTCTTTCCATAAGCGGTGGTGAAAACCCCGGCGAAGGTGAGGGCGACTTTGGATCATGAACTGGGGTTTTTCCAGAAGATGGGGGTGGAATTTCTAAACGCCGTGGGGTTGTTGTCCCCGAAGGCCAATTTTCTAGGAAAAAAAAAAAAAAAAAGAAAAAGAAAAAAAAAAAGTGACGTCACGTATAAGCAGCGAATGAGTATACTAATAGTCGTTCGCCCTTGCGTCTGTTTTGCTGCATTTAAAACCTCAATGATGTAAGTCTTAACCTTTTTACTCCCAAGATCTCATTAGTTATTCTCCTTACTGTCTGCCATATAGTTCTTGTGATGTTAGTTTGGAGAATTTGGTATTGGATCAACTTATAATCTCTTAATTGATATTTTTCTTTATTCGCACCACTACATTGTATTGATATTGTGAGGAGAAATTCTCTCTTGGTTACTCATGGGAGTTAAAGGGTTAAACTACTGAAGACGAGTTGTTCTTATATTGTACTTAGTTGGATACAAATTTTCCAAAGAGATAGGTTTTTTTAACCTTTACACCTGATTGCGGAACAATAAAATGACATTCTATGTAGAAGTTACAAATGAATCAGCTCTGGGAGTTTAAGGTTTATCACCAACCTCGACCAACATTAATTGTATTTACGGAGCCGTCTCCTCCCGAAACAATTACGTGTTGAGCGTGGATAGTTATGTTGCTGCCTGCAGAATAAAAAGTTAAAAAAAAACAAAATGACGTCCAAAAGCGAAAATATCATTCAGAACTCGAGGTTATTTCTCACTTTTACTCCACCTAAGATCTAATCCCTTTGATAAAATTTATCAATAAAAGTTTGGTCGTTGGACAATTAAATTAATTAAAAAAAGAAAAAAGAGAGAAAACACAGAAATCAGACAACAAAATGAAAAAAAATGCAGAGGTGCTGGGATGTCTGCCCTGCCAAGATCAAGGCAATTTTTATAACATAGCACGCGTATCATTTCTAATTCCTACTAAACCACTTTGGCCTACATCTCTCTGCAGTGAACAAGACATAAAATGTGCAGTTGCATTTTGCTGAAAAGTTCTTGTGTAGGTTAGGCGCGAGTTCCTGTGCATCAATTCTCCGACAGGCAATGGAAGAACTAACAAAGAAATTATCACTGGCACACCTGAGTCTTCTTTCTGTAATCAAACCCCCTCTACACGTCTTTCATTTTAATCTGCCTCAAGTTTCAACCACAATATGTGTATTTTGAGTTTGCTGGCCTTCACTTTCATTCCCTAATTTAAAGAAGGGTGTTTTCCATGGACAACTTGTTCTAAGAAGCGAATTTTTACTTACAATTTGAGATACACAAGATGACCCAATCTCGCTCAAACGAGACCACTGTATCCGCTAGTATAAAAGAATAGGCTCATGCTTTTAGCTGTGCGTATATCGAGGGCTGGACGCACTTGGAAAGTTCGCAGAGCACTCAAGAAGCTAGAATTGCTCGGTTGCGCCTGGAGCAACTGTTACACTCCTATCTACAACTCGATATACGCCTGCCTGCTAGGCACTGACCAATTCTTAATTACAGTGAAAAAAGTGTCGTGAATATAAAAGCAGTGGTTCCCCTCTTACCTCTGTTTTCATCTTTCGTTGGTGGGCTTCCGTGATACTCATCCCCTCTCTGGTTCAGTCAAGTACAAATAAATAGTAGTGATTTTAGGACCATCATGACATTGAAAGTGAACATTAAGCTAAATATAGTAGTTTCTCAGGGAAAACAGCAAAGAATAGATCAAGGAAAAACAAGGATGATGAGTACGCACATTAACAGCTTTAAAAATCAAGGTTAACTCTTGTAAGAAAAGGTGGTTACCTCTCCATAACGTATAGAATTTTAATGGGGATATTACCCCTAATTCTACAATTTATTATTGTATATATTATTGTATATTACGACAGAATAGCCTCGTATAGGGGAGCCGTAATAATAAAGTGTATTGTATTGTATATTGTATATTGTATACCCGGTCTAGGTTCAAGAGATAATTTTCTCCTTTACCAACACGACCAATAACAGTAAACTACTTTTCATGCGAGTTTTAATGAAAAATTGATATCATCAAAATGGAGAAGTAGGGTGCAACCACAGCCACACGCTTGTGGTAAGATTAAAAAATTGTCCTACTTACGAAATCTCCACTTAGGCAAAACGGGAATGCTTCACCTAGAAGTTTCTTCTTCCTCATAAAATCACGAATAACCTAAAGAAGGTAAAGAACCCCACTAAGAGAGACAACCAATAACTTTTTGAAAATCTGTCTGTTCCACAAAGTGCTTCCAATACAAACGTTGGCAATAATAGTCAACTCGCTCAAAATGTCGCAGAATTACCTGCAGTAATACTCAGTTAATAGTAATACTTTAAAAACACCTTCTCATATTTTGATATGACAGTGAGCTTAAACTAATTTTCATTTTTTGTTTTTTTTCATTTTTTGTTTTTTTTCATTTTTTGTTTCAACGGTCTCCAGGTAGATTTACTAGAGAATCAAAACGAAACAATTCTTCACCAGTAAACTGAATATCCACTTTAACTCCAAAAGTTTGAAAGTAGAACGTTTAGCAGATTACCTGGAGGTTTTGTTAATTAAATAAATGTTATGACCATTATACCATGCTTATTGAACCCAGATCCCACACGGAAGCGGGAAACGCCTACCTTCCAACCGTTCTTAGAACACTTTGCCAGGTGCACTTGATTCCCAAATAAGTAGAGACCACAACGTGCTCGTGAAATTGCCACACACAAGCGATTCATTGATGATAAGTAGCCTATCTTCCCCTTATTACTTCGAACCAAAGATATGAGAATTATATCATTCTCTTGCCCCTGGTCAGTAAAAGAAAACATGAACAGTTTATTCAACTCACTCCGAATCACGTGAAATTATTTGTCTTGGGGTTCAGTTTTAAGAGTCGGGTCGCTCATCAAGTCTGGACATCATTCCAGTTACATAACATGACACGACGCTGAGGATTGCTATTTCTACCGGAAACGATGTCTGTCAATCGCAGGTTACCCCGATGCAATCCGTCGGTCGGTCAGTCAGTCAGAGTGTTGGTCATTCAATCTATCGGCTGATCATTCAGTCATTTACCCAGTTAGTCGGTGTGTAGGTCATTCAGTCTGTCGACTGGTCAGTCAGTCATTTACACAGTCAGTCAGTGAGTCAGTGTGTAGGTCATTCAGTCTTTCGGCTGGTCAGTCAGTCATTTACACAGTCAGTCAATCAGTGTGTAAGTCAAGCAGTCAGTCGGGTGGTCAGTTTGTCAGTCGGGCAGTCAGTCTGTTTTAAGAACACAGATATTGAAGCAGTATCGGGTAAAATTAAGGTCAATCATGCTTGAACTTAATTTACCGTAGCATGTGAGATGTAAGAACATCGGCTTCAGATAATATTGTGTCAAAATATGAAATGACAAATAAATTAGTGAATAATCCATACACCAATTGGCATAAAATATCACAAGGTCTTCGGCAGACATGTTTACTTTGCTCACCTGGAAACCATCGATTGTGGTAACCTTGATATCTGAAAGTAGGGCGAATTTATCTGCCTGTTTGAAATGCTTCATTATTTCGGCGACCTGAACCGTGAATGGAAACGAATCAGTCAACAATTTTTGGTGTTGGCTTTAGGGCTAATCGATAAAGCACACCAATAAAGTAATTATTAAGTAGAATATCGGCGTTTTCCATGGAAAATTGGTTCTCTAAGAGAAGCGACAGTGCGTCTTACAGAAGCAGTAAAGTCAAAATTAAATACGTCCTCTTTTTCAGAACAGTTCATCATAAAGAGAATTGTCTCTATTTAACTTTGAAGGAATTAAAGGACGAGGAAAATTAAAGGAAAAGTTAAAAAAAAAAAAAAAAAAAAAAAAAAAAAAAACGATTAATACACAAAATTAAAAATTATTGACTGACCTGTCCTCGATATGAACAAAGAACTGTAATCTTTGATGGTGGGACTCCCCCCTTCTCACAAAATGTTTTAGCAACTTCAGTAATTTTTTCAGCCTCTACTACATTTCTCAAGCTGTGGAAATTCTTCGATTCATCTTCGGGGGATGCATGATTCCAGAAATACATGCTAGACGAGACACAGGGTGGTAGAAGGTTGCTTTTTACACGCTAAAAGCAGAGAAAAGTAAGAAGATTTTAAATTTAAATATTTCGCGACTTTTAAGCGTTGAACAATAGCCTGCAGAGCAAGTGCTCGATCCCGCGAGTGACTGACACGCGCGAACGAGACTTCACACGTGCATCACGGAAGAAGCTCCCTCTCTTACTCTCTTTAACTCCCCTGCTTCATATTTCATTGTGTGATAACTTTGTTTTTTTCTCATCAACTGATGGCAGGGTTAAGTATCAGTTATGAAAGAAGACCTTATGCATTGATCGTATGAGGGTGTTGAGGGGGTAAACGAAAGTATTTATGACAATAGTGCATAATTTCATAGAATGTTTTATTGTAGAATCTTCTGAGAGGCTATTGTTATTCTCTAAATAACCAGGAGTGGTCAAATCAGATCGTTACCTCGTCTTTTGTCTGTAGATTGTCATAAATCTTGAGCTCTCGGAGCAGGTCGACAATCTCATCTCTCATTCTGCACTGAAATCCTAGCTGTATGTATGGCAGCTTGCAGTTGATAAGCCTCTCGAAAAGGGAGAGATCAAGATTATGATGTTTTTTGAGTCGGTGGAAATTTACCACTGGCCTTAATTGTTTATGATCACCGATCATAATGAGGTGTTGTACAGAGGGCGGAATGACAGCTACAAGCTGTGCTTCGAGGATTTCTGCAGCTTCCTCCACTATCATGACAGACGGTTTAATGTCAGCTGTGTATAAAATTGTAAGTGATAAGACGTTAGATAAAGCGCGCCCCTGTAATATTCTGTTAGTACCCGTGCAACTTAAACGCACGGTCCCGTCAAGCAAGAGGCGCTTGGAGAGAGTTTAGCATGACGAGCCATAACGACGGCTACGAGAGGGCAGGGAAAAAGAAAAGAAAGTAAGTCAACAATTTGAAAAGAAGAAAGAAATAGTAAACGAGAAAAGTAAAAATTAATGAATAAATGAATGAAAGAAAAGCAAGCAGACAGGAAGGTGGGAAGGGAGTAAGTAAAGGAGGAATGAAGTAACAAAGGAGTCTATTTCGAGGACGTTTATGGCCAAAATGTTGCTTTCTGTGAAAGATCCAATCAACTTTATTTATTTGCTTTTGACCGCGATTAAAGAAACAACCAGAATTTATACATGACAAGACAACCGACAACTTTTTGCAAATCTATCTGTTCCACAAAGTGCTTTCACTACAAACGTTGCTAAAAAAAAAACCAACTCGCTCAAAATTTCGCAGTATTACCTACGGTAATACTCAGTTAAGAGTATTAACTTAAAATCACCTTCTCACATTTCGATATGATAGTGAGCTTAAACTAATTTTCAATTTTCGCTATTTCATTTTTGTTTCAACGATTAAAGAACCACTCAGAATTTACACATAACAAACAGACAACAACAACAAAGAGACCAACCACCCGCGGGCGATCATAAATCGCCAATCAGATCCGCGAATTTTTTTTTCAAAAGACCCCGGAAAGCAAGCCAACCCAAATTCACTGAGCCATGATCAATTTATGTAGCAGTAAAAGTTCTCACCCAACAGATTTGCCCTCATAGTCGCTCCAGTCACTGTCATTCCAATAACGTGACATTTTTTCATCACTTCAATGTCATGTTGATTTTTCAGTTCTTTGAGTTGATGATGTCTCTGTTAGGTAACAAGAATACTCTTTTGGTTAGCTACCTCGTACCCTGTATTTAAAGCATGACAGTTTCGCCCATACTTGCTCAATGACAATCACAAAAAATACTACAATTCTGCTCTTGTCGAAACAGGCTGCCTCATCTAAGGAGCAGTCATTATTTATCACCTGGCCTGTTTTTTTTTTTGTTGTTGTTTTTTTGGGGTGGAAGGGAAAGAGGGTTTGGAGGATTTTGGTTGTCACAATAAAATTTACCTGATCCCCTTTAGGGTTCTTTAATATTCTTATGACACACACCCCCCTCATTGGGAGTCAACGTTCCGTAGTCCCCAACGTTCTATACGTGTTTTCACGTACGTATCAACAATATAATAATCCTTACTAATCTGTTCCCCCTGTAAATTTTGCGATCCTAAAAAATCTTCCATCTCCTCCCTTGCGATAGCAGGGTCCCTAACTCATCTTTTTACCTCTGTGTACAACCTGCTCACTTCAAGGAACTCAGAACAGGCTTTCTTGTAGAACTTGCTTTGCAAAACATACACAAGCTGGACTCTTTCCTCTTTCTCAAGATCCCACACTTTGACGTCATCCAAGAGATTTATATAAGGTATCACCTCTAATTAAAAAAAAAGGTAAATTGTAGTTTTACTTGAATAGTTACGAAATGCTTCATGTCTTAAATACGAGGCAATAACTACCGCAGTTTGATCTCAGCTTCGTATTCAAAGGTTAGATCGCACTATCTATTTCCTCATTAATTTGATGTGTTTTCATGCATGTAACAACAATATAATAATCTAGTTAAATAGCATCATCCACATCTGAATTGGTCGCGATGTTCCGTTGATACAACCAACAAGGACTTTCTTGAACGTCAAGAGGTATTATGTTTTGGTTTCTTTGTCCTTATTCTTTGTCCTTATTATTCTGTAAGAAGAATATGCCTCTCTCTGTGACAGCAAACGTGTTGCTTATTACGAAACAGATACTGAATAAAGTTGGAAACAGAATTACAGAGGTATCACAACATCCTCTCAATATCCGGGTTTTAAAACATAACAGCAATTTACTTGATTCATCGACACAAACTAGCTTGCGCTCCTGTGTTCCACAATATGAATCTCTCTTTTCCTGGTCTTCATTGGCAACATTTCGGGCGATTGTTTCGTCTTCTTCATCGCAGATGTCTTTATCTAAAGCGAGAAGACGCTCCTTTTCCTCCACTAAAGGATCTCTGAAGTCGCTTGGATTCTCCTGCTCTGGATCTTCTTTGCTTTTTTGCTTCCCAAGAGTAACTGCTACACTAGAGTCGTTGGAAAAATGAAAAATGCATCTGTTTTTTTAGTGGAACAATTTCTCAAAGCCAACAAGTGTTGATCTGCTGCACCGTAAAGCGTCTCGCGGTCGTCTCGTGCGTATTTACAACAGAGAACGGCCTACAGTCTGAGAATACGCACATCCAATTTACTTTCCACGAGAGGAATGCTGATGAAAAACGATTTCAGACGGCATACTCGTGATGGTTTGTCCGACTTAAGGGTTTTTTTGCTGCAAGTTATCGTGAACGCAACAGACGTTAATGATTCCATCAATCAGATATAGTAAGGAACTTATAGGAGAAAACTTGCTGCGAACGGCCGTAAACCGCGAAACTTGTGGCTAAAATATTCTCTTACTTGCTCTTTGGTTTGATCTCCTGTTTGTCACTGACAAACTTATCGAACTCTTCTTGGGCAGGCAACCAATGCTGCAGTGCATTTTCCACTAGTTCTGGATTAAAAAAAAAAAGAACTTTAACACAAATTTATCATCACGGACGCATCAACGCCCTTAGTTGGCCTCTAGGGTTTGAGTGGGTTATACAAAGTTAACCACTTCGAAGAGCGTTTTCAAAGAAGTCCGTTCCAGCGGACAACCTGTCTAGTTAAGAACGGACGTTGGGCGTCATCGTAGGAATAACGTTTTGTTTTAATCAATCCGTCGTGGTAAAGACGAAGCCTTGAACAATCTAGTCATGGTTTTTATGTCGGAGAGTTTGGAGGCAAATTTACTTTTGTTGGCTGAAAATTAAATTTAGGGTTACGTACCTAGAAGTCGAGCATTGCTCCTGTGGCCACCTCGATCAACTCCTCCGGTCACCTCCTTCAGAAGGGTTTTCATTTCTTCTTTATCAACTGGCTCGCGTTCGTTTTCCTGAAGAAGGGAACTAATCTGGTCGAGCGACGCTTCCTTGTAACAACAATGGAATCAAATGTACATCAGATTTGACGATGAGGTGAACTATATGAACTATTGGAATACAGAAGCATATCGGACGTCACCGCTAACAACATGTTTCTTCTTAGCTACACTTAAACAAATAGATCCCAAGTTGCCGTCCTCCCTGATAGCAATAGATCACATAAGACATCAAAATGTGGTGAGAACATAAGTGACACACTGCGCCTGGTGTACCTCTTTTTTTGTTGTTTGTTTGGTTTTTTTTTTGCTCTTACCACATTTTGAGGTCATCAGTGATCTATTACTAAACTTACTAGAAATGGAATCTGTTCGTAGATTTGAAAATGGAGGAATCGTTTTGAAGAATTACACCATACGTATCTAAATACCTTATAAAAATAAATAGAAATAGCTGTAGGCTCTGGCCGGGTTTTTAACAACAGCTGTTTTAAACACTATAATGCTATTAGCCATTTTGATTTGAAGCCAGGTTTTAAAGTCAAGCACTCTAAATTCTGAACCTGGATAGTATGATGCAGTAACTTTGTTGAGCGAATGTATGCTGCAATATTTTCAAACTAAAAGATATATTAACATCACCCAGATAAAGTCAGGTAGTTACATACTTCTAAGAACATATTGGCATTGAAAGTACTGGAAAATGCCAACTTCTGGTAGGCACATCTAACTCGAGGCTGCAGAGCCCAAAGTTTTCCTGTCAGGCTTCTTTTCCGCTCATACAATTCCTGAGGCCAATTTCGCCCAACCTAAACAAACAAACAAACAAATAAACAGAAATGTAAATAAACCATTTCCGCGGCGTACCGTTATCCCAGATATTGTTCTTTTTCCCCCCTAAATATTGCGAACCTTTGCCGCGTCCCCGTGTATGGACTTTGGTCAGTGTGTTATTGTAATTTCATCCGAAAGCCTACTCCAGATACGCGGGAATAAGTGGATGCTCCATTAAAAGGTGTACAACCAATCAGATGCCGCAAAACTAACTTGACGCAGCTCGAATCAATTTCATTTCCCGGCGCTTGTAGCTGACTTATATTCGATGAAGATTCTTATTGCTCCCTGCAAGTGTTTAGTTTACTGCGATTGACCACCTCGTTTGCTTTCTTACTTAGTGGAAAATCTTTCAAATATCTTTTACGAACACTGTCACAGAATCATTTGACGTTATTGATTTCCAGACAAACCTCTCTTAGCAAGAGTCTCTTCAATTTCTCGTCAGCATTTTCAGGCAAGTTTCCAACACGAACAATCTTCTCATCCGGGGATGACTTTTTTGCGAGAGCTTCCAAGAAATTGTTCAAGGCGTGATTCTTATAGGTCACAACCTGTGAACCAGGATATCAAAAATAAGGCAGCGTTGATGATGGAAACTTTGAAAAAAGGAAACAATGTGAAGCCACACAAAAAGAGAGTAAATGGTGTCAAGGCTCTGCTCAACTGTACTCGACACTTTCTTAAATTATCCGTAGTAGAAAAAGCTGAGTGGTGCTGTAAAAGCTTCAAGAAGCTGTCCCCGTTTCTGAGCACTCAGGAAGAAATCATGGATTGTTATCATTATTGCCGATCGTTTGAAGTGGGAAGGTAACTGCAGTAAAATAAATTTGAGCTGACCTTGTTAACTCCTTCTCTACGTAGATCTGATTGTAAATTCCTCCCTATAGTTGCTAGACTTTTTCTTGTAAATTAGTTATGAGAATTTACCTTTTAGATCAAGATAACAACTTCTACCTGATAAGTTTGAGTATTCTCTTTACCTGTTTGCTGGATAGTGTATAGATACTATAGGGGGAAGTTACATTTTAATCACTTCTGGGAGTTGAGGAGTTAAGGAAACTTTTGGCAAAATTCCACTCAAATTTGAATCCTCTGATCTGTGATTCTGCATGGGCAAGATTCCCATTTCCTAGCAATTTTTTTATGCAAAAAAAAAATAGTTTGTTATGCAGACTGCATGTACTTAACAATACACTTATGATATATAGACTGCTGGACAGTGGGTTATTTTACCAGAATAGGTCCATGGCTTTGTGGCACCTTCATGGACAAAAGAAGGCGCACTATGGCCACACCCACAAATGACTTCCCAGTTCCTGGCGGACCCTGCGGAAGAAAGGAATGGCAAATATTTTACATATGACCAAATAATTTAATGTGGATATTGGGCGGATAAAAGTTAAAGCATTACCTGAATCAGCACGAGCTTGTTTTTTAGTGCCAGTTCCACTGCTGCAAGCTGTGTTGGATCAAGTTTGGATTTGAAGTTGCTGTTCATCCGCATTACCTCGAGATCTTTCAGAGGTGAGTAAGAAGATTGTTTTTCCTGACTTTTCAGAGACTCCTTATCAAAGATTATCTCCCAGTCTGGGGGACTTTTTATGTCGGTTAAGTATTCAGCTGGCTCAAAGTAGTGTGGTTTTGGGTAAACCAAGAATTCTTTAAATGGAACATGATCTAAAGAAAAAATGGGAAAACAAATATATGTATTTCATCGGTCCTTGTGTTTATGACTGACTATCAAATTCTTGTTCCTCAACAGTAAGATGGCCAGTTGTGACACTTGAATGTGTAGTAAAGAGTATGTTGGGAACTTTAATGAAAGTAAACAATGAATGTAAAGCATTGCTGCGTTAACCATTTTAATCCAAATTAAGATCTCACGCTGATGATTGAAAGACTAGTAGGGAAGCTTTAGTGAAGTGTCCCTAGGCGATATCTCTTAGAAAGAAAAAATGTGCGAACCATTTAATAATGTAATAGTTATTTCTCTGAGAATCGTAAATAGTTCTTCCTTCAGAGAAAAATCAATTACATAGAAAAAATTAATGCACGCAACTGGCTAGGACAATAAAAAGCAAAAAAAATTCATGCTTGAACAGGATTTCAACCTACCGTACCGCTCACGTATACTTTAACCGCAGAACGCGAATTAAACGCGCCAAAAATCGCATGCAATTGCGAATAAAAAAAATCGTGCGCGTTAAAAAATCGCACGTGCGCGCGCGACTTTGAGACATCAGCCTCATTAGTATGTATGAGGTGGTTCTTTTGTTTTTCTATTGTTGGCGGTTTAATGTTTTAAAGAATAGGCTTCAATTCAATAGCGTTAAAATACTACACGGCTACCAATGACAAGCAAACTTGTTGTTTGCAATCGCCGTTCGAACCGACCTTCCCAATTAAGAATTTGTTCATGCTTAGCGTGCGTATATCGAGTACGGATGCACTTGGGGAGTTTGGAGAGCACGAAAAATGCGTAAGAGTAGCTCGAGGCGCAGCCGAGAGCAACTCTAGCTTTTTGAGTGCTCTCCAAACTTCCCAAGTGCATCTATAACTCGATATACGTACAGCTAAAAGATTGAGCAAATTCTTATAGCAGAGCGACAAGAAGGATCTGCGCGAAGAAGCCTTTTATTGTGATAGAGTGCAAAATTCTCACAACGCACAAAAAAGTAAACAAACGTCCCTATTGGTTGGTCAAAAACACGCCACATTTTATACTTTAGTTTGAGCGAGAACATTTGATCCAGTTAACCGATAACCATGAATGAAAAGCTCAAAATTTACGGGGGAAATGGAGAAAATCAAAGCCAAATGAACTCATGGATGGATTCCCAGTGAATGTCTTTCGGCCAAAACTTGTTGCTGCTGGTCTTCCGACAAATTTGCAAAGCGTGCAACTTGCGAGTTTTTTTCGGCTTTATTTTTATCGCTTGTTGTGTCAGGACCTAAAAGGTCAATTCCGATTGAAAAATTGGGCAGTTCTTTGCTGGTTTCTTCCATATTTCAAAGCACTACAGCTCAACAGAACGGAAACTCTGAAGCCAGGTTAAAAAAATGCTCATGTCATCGTAAAAGATTTTGTTCATAGCGGTTCAATAGGACTTGTTATAATATGCTATTACCAATGCGACTTCGTAATCGGAATATATAAATGATTTATCATTTTCCAACGGAATTCATTTATCAAAATAGCTATTTCTCACTTCGCATAAAGAGACATCCGTCCCAACGGCTTGGGAATTTGTTCGAAATAAATTTATTCTCAGTGTATTGTAATTCGGTAGAAAAAGCTAAGGCGCCCGTTTGTAGTTGTCGCGTTCTGAATGCAAACCCACGCACGAAATGTAATTTCTGACGTTTGAGTGACATGGGAACGAATTAGTCATTAAATTAACATTCTGATGGCACGTTGAAGAGGTTCATGGCATCACAGTAGTTTCGGATTATTTAAGCGTTTCGCAGAGAAATTAGGTCATTCTACGTCGGTCAGTCTTAGGTTTGGCCACTTTCTTTATTTATTTTTTTTTAATTTAATGTAATTTTGCTTTACAACTCTCTGTAAAATATCACTGCTTTCATTGAATTTTCTGTGTGATTAGTGGTGTAACTAGGTTTACTTTAGTTACCCTTTCCTCGGGGTATAGTGCTGCTGCATTAGATGAAGAATACGTTTCCACATATTTCTTGGCCACTTCTAAAGAGTGGTTTTTTAGTGGTTTTTCGTATCTGTCGTAGCACAGCCTATTTTTGTATAACCCTTCATTTTCAGTGAATACTTGCAGTACATTGCAGATTGTAGTAGGATGTGTAGACTACAAGACTGGCTGACTCCTCCTAAATAAACTTTCACATTGAATATCTCGCCTGAGTGTAGTCAGAATTGCTTATTTCATAGCTTTTGTCATCGGTGAAGATGTTGTGCTCAGAAACTGGTTCATTCATATCGCCATTTATACAAAAACTAATAAGTGCTACTCGCTTATTTCAATGGTGTTGTGTTGCTCTGACTCGTAAGCAAATTTTTTTATGAGAAACCGGATTCACTTTTTGTTTCGATATTTGTAGAATCATCGATCGATGTTCACCATGTATGAATGCCCTGCAAAACCATGTACTGCACTCTTATCATCAAGGCTATCAAGCTATCTGAGAAAATGGAGCCCCATGATTATTTAAACGAGACTTTGTACCAAACCTGTGATGGATGATTACATAGGAGAGAATCAGTGTAATGAGAATCGTTTATTTAACCTCCTGTATAAAACTTAATTAGAGAGAGGATCTTCCCATCGCTATTCCAAAATCCAAATGTATGATTTCCTTATTTCATTTATATCAACATCATTGTCTAACCTTTGCATTGCAGAACTTCCATGGCTGAAGCAAATGCCTGATAGAATGTGTGGCTCTGTGCCATGTATGCTCCATCATCTGGAGATCAATAAAAGGCTCGAATGAAATATTAACCTTTTGATCCCTACTCGTGACCCCCTGCTTCAACTCATGAAATGTGCTCTCAATTGTCCCAATGAGTCTGAATCTATCCAAGAAAGATTCCCAACCTCAAGTTCACAGGTTACATTCCAATTAAATACATGATAGCATCAGATTTCTTGCTAGTTTAGTGCTCACTTAGACCCATCAGAACTTTAAAGCAATTTGCACTTAGAATCCCTTGAGTCAAGATTTCTCAAAAGAACCAAAATAAATATGACATCACACAACAATTTATACATAAATATGAAAGCTATTGTATAACCAAATGTTTTATTCCCTTGATAAAGTTAAAATAAACAATTGGTTAGAACAGCCTACAAACTTACTTCTGTTTGTAACCTCCTGCATCTGTGTAATAAACTCTGCTTCTGAAAGGTCATTTGCTTTGTCACAAAGAGTAATCTTTACAATGCTAGATTTTAAACAACAATATCAATCAACTTTACTTACAGTACAAGTTGTAGGTTAAAAATTGAAAGCAACAAACCTGACGTGCACCTTCATGTACTACATACAACAGTATTCTAGTAACTAAAATTTTTAGTGTAAATTAAAATGTATGAATCAATATTTATCATAATAAATGAAATATTGGTTTTTATTCAAGATTATAGTGGCTTCCTCTTGAATTAATAAATTGTTGACCATTAAAATTTGGTACTTATTTCTTAGAGAATACTTGAAGTAACTTATGGAGGGAACCTGTTTTAGACTGATTGGTATATAATTCCAGACCAAAGGGCTTCTATATCTTAGAGAGGTTCTCCTTAAATCTAAGTTAAATTTGGCGCTTAAAAGTTGGGCTACGTAAATTACAATCAGAATCATCACTGTATGACAGTAACCCAGATGAAACTTGTAAGAATTACTGACAACACTGATTACATCGAGTACAACAGTCTAGAAATGCAGAACTTTTAAGAGGACATCCATGCAAAAATCAAACAAAAATGAAATTTTTATGGCAAGGGTCAAATTCAAATTGTCTCAATTTTTGCACACAAGTAGACCCTAGTAAGACAAGAAGGGCTGTGTATTTTTTTTTCATCAAATATGTTTTTATTTTCGAGAAAAACGAACTTTTCACTTTCACCCTCTAGAATCGATGGATCGGGTCATACCGAAAATTGAACACTTTCGCTCACTTCGCATTTCAGAGATATTACATCAAGGGAAATCTAACCGACGTTAGCTCTTTCATAGACTCTTCGTCTTTTATAAAATGTAAGTTATGTAGGAATTGGTTGCTTAGAAGCTTTTGGCCATGCGAAAAAGTAATGTGCTCTCTTCCGTTACAAAAAAATGTCGGTGAAGAAAACCTCTTTTTTCACCATGTGCCATTATTCAGAATTCCACAAAATTACTTATGTGAATTGCTGAAGGAATGATTTTCAACATGAAACTTGCTCCGAGCAATGAAATTGCCTCTTCCAATTTCGTAGCCGGATCTCCATAGTCTCACACCTTCCTCGCCATACTGAACGTTGTTGACAAAGCTCACAACATCCCATTTCACTGGCTTTTTGATGGAAAAAAAAAAGGAGGCCTGCACAACACTGCTTTAACTCCAGGGACACCTCCAAATGATTATATTGCCTTCTGCACTTGAGATACCGACTATATATCGTGGCCTGAATTCAAATTCGGCAATTTACATACGTAATTTTGTGGAATTCTGAATAATGGCACATGGTGAAAAAAGAGGTTTTCTTCACCGACATTTTTTTGTAACGGAAGAGAGCACATTGTTTTTTTGCATGGCCAAAAGCTTCTAAGCAACCAACTCCTACACAACTAACATTTTACAGAAGACAAAGAGTCTATGAAAGAGTACATGTTGATAAAATTTTCCTAGATGAAATATCTTTGAAATGCGAAGTGAGCATAAGTGTTCAATTTTCGACCTGTTATGACCCGATCCATTGATTCTAGAGGGTGAAAGTGAAAAGTTCTTTTTTCTAGAAAATAAAAACATATTTGATGAATAAAAATACACAGCCTTTCTTGTCTTACTAGGGTCTACTTGTGTGAAAAAATTGAGACTTGAATTTTTGACCCTTGCCATAAAAATTTCATTTTTGTTTGATTTTTGCACGGATTTCCTCTTAATATTTGATACATCTGAGGCCTCATAAATGATTGTATATACTGCCCAGGAGGTTTTTTCCCAATTAGTTCTTGATTCATAGACAACTAATTTTTAATGTTAAAATTCTTCCAATCTCTACAAAATTAGGTGAAATTGGAAGAATTTTTAACACTACATAAAAGTATTTTTGATTCATCATTAAGAATTTAGACTTAAAGTTGATTGAATTAATTTACCTCTGGTTAGAAATATGACCTTCCACTAGACCCCAGATTGGTTTTTGAAAAGAGCCATCCAGGGAAATACACAGCAGATCTCCATACAGGAGGAAATCTTGGCTGGCAAAGATACAATAAAATAATGTACCAAGTTACAATGATGTCAAGCTGAAAGAGGAATCCCCTCAAGAACAAGTGATCCAAAAATAAACCATATTATGAGCTTAATACAGTATTCCCCCTTGTGAACTGAATTCCCAACTATGCAAATAAGCTCTGATTTGAAAACCTTTGAATTACAGGGAATTTCTGGGAAAGGAAGATTCCAGTTTTGTGAGGAATTGGAATTTCTAGGAATTCTTAGCAATACAAACTACCTATAATTTAAGAAGGGAATTCTCAATACCTTGAATGTGAAGGTTTTAAGACAAAGAGTAATTTTAGAGGCTTAAAACTTTAGCTCAATAAAAGGTATTCTATACAAAATTTACCAAGAGATACACATACATGTATATGTTTATAACTTAAAGATCATGAAATTTACTATTCAAACTAAATTTTAGTAAATCTTTACATTAATATGGATTTTTTCATGAACCAGCTGTCAATTATACTTGATGCAAATTGTCAATTAATCCAATGTACTCAAATCACAGATTTGCTTTCTAACCTCAAAGGACTCTTGGATTCCATGATCATAAAAGTTTTCATTGTGATGCAAATATCTCATGTTAGCAGGCGTGCCAAAATCATCAAACATTTGTTAGCTGTTGCTTGGTACACAACTTCCACATGTGTAACAACAATTACATTGTTAGCTACACTTAAAGAACTTTAATTTGTTAGATATGAATATAAGTTATTTCCCTAATCTACATTATTGGTTGCCTTTGTTAGAAAACCTTAGAACGGTCAATCTCAGTTGCCTCAAACACAGTGTCAGAGACTTTTTGTTCAGATTAATTTCAGTAGAAATTTCATGCCTTAGACAAACAAATCCAACACCAAATTATCTTTATTTTTTCTTGATTGTTGTTGCTGGTTTTTTTTTTTTCTTTCAGTTTTTATGACTGATGGCTGTTATTTGTTTTGCTGTTTTAACTCTTACAAGACATTTTTGTAAGAGTTCCAATACTTATGGATCATCCACACACTCCAAAAACATTTGGCATGTGGACAAGACAGAGGTGGTCACTGTTCCCTTCGAGAAAAAAAAACATATTTTAAATGACTTCTTCAATTTTCTTTATTTGAAACTCTGATGTGAAAATATTTTTTAAAACAAGACTTGCTGGTAGTGAGAAGTACAAACCGAGTTTCCTTTCATAAATTAATTTCTTAAATGTCCCAGTCACTGGACCTCCTGGAAAATATTACCTCTTTTTATTTTTGGTGCAAAATACAAGTCCTTCTTTGTAAACAAATGAAAATTGCAAGTCACACTTAAGTAATAACAGCTCGAAAGTTTACTTGTTCTTCTCTGAGTCAGCTATCAAACTGTTTTATACTTTGTAGGTCTGTTATAAAATTTTACTTCTAGTATAAAATGACAACCTTGTATCCTAGTTCTCTACACCCCTTTCCAAACTCGGGAACGCTTCAGACAGTACCATTTGTGGACCAGAATTCCAACGCACCTCTGTAATCGCATATAGTTGCTTCAGTCTCTTTCACAAATGTTTCTCCTTTAGGAGACGCACTTGACTATGTTAGCACCGCTGCTTTAAGTTCAGTGGAAACTACAGACTAAGGAATCGAGATGGCTGTGTTGGAACGTGTTACTGAACGCTTGTTAATGTCAAGCTTTGTTGATTTTGGTACTGGTACACTGGGATCATCTTGGTATCTCTTATACTTCCTAATGTGTTATCCTTCTTTTATAAAAAGGAGGGTAAATCACGATTTGTGATCGCATTCAAAATTGTGATCGGCTTGTGTTATTTCTCACCTTCGCCATGAACACAACTCAAGTGGGTTTCGAGTCTTTGTTTCCTCGATAACTTTCGGCCAAAAATCGTGCATTAGTAATACGTTTGATTCTTGTCGATTATTTCTACATAGAGTGAGCTCACATCATTATTTATATCATCGTCAGAACGTGGATCCCAGTCATCCATTGTCCAAACGGAGAGAACCGGTTAGAGAAGTCAGAATAAACTTGTGCGCTTCTCCTGAGACTGCAATCGGGCAAGCCAGCAGATTCTCTGTTGCTAGCCAATAACCACGTGATCATACCCGTGTTGGGAAGGTCAGCATTAGATTCCATCCACCAAAACCACCTTGGTCGAGAGGGACTGAGATGGAACGATGGAAAAAAATTACGAAGCTACGACAACATGCCGACTTATCCCGATGACCCAAGTGTATTATTTGTTTGGGAAATTGCGTCAAAACTTTTTACTAAAGAAATGGTAAGTATTAATTTATTGTTCGATTGTAGTATTATAAAACATTTTACGCAATTTTATGCAGATATTTCACGTATTTAAAAGGTGCTTAGATGTTACGTAGTTTTGGTGGATGTCATTAGGGACATCCACCAAAACTTTGACCAAAACCATCAACAATATATTTTTTAAATTTTATCTATAGCCATCGTTAGATGTTCAGGGAGACAAAAGATTTATACCACTAATTAGCAGTTAGTGCTCTAGCTAATTATTTTTTATGGTGCACAATTGCTGACCGACCAAACATTCATAATGATTATCATAACTCTTAACACATAAAATAAAGTGGTTTTGGTGGATGTTTCTCTCCATCCACCAAAACCACCACAGAAATTTCTGCTACTTCCTTACAGAAGACTGATGTGACCTGCTATTTGGAGTACATAACCACAATCTATTTCTTTGTATGTAGAGATATTTTGGAAAGTTCTTGAGTCAGCACCTTTTATTATTGAAACCATAATCATAACATGGTGCATAATATAGAATACAAAAGGTTCTGGTGTGGTAATCATGTAACCTTGAAACAGGAGAGTTTTTAACTGACTTAAACTGATTTAAACAAACATTTGCAACAAAATTCCAGGTCCAGAAATTTCTTCCACTATTTCCACTAAAATCATAACCTTTAAGTACAACAAATCAGCACATTAGTAATTGTTATCAGGGGTCTGAAAATCCTATAAATCTTTCACATTTATTTCAAGTAACCTTTAATTTCACATGGATGAATAAGTATACACTCAACATGCAGAATGTCTTACATTTTACAAACTATTTCCCTTTTTATGGATAGACAGTGAAAGGCCTTTGCCACATTGGTGAATCAAACCATTGTATACCATGCATTTTGTGATAATTGTTTGTTTTTGCTCACAATACCCAGAAAAATGGAGGGGATAAATTTAAATAGCAAATTCTATGGTTAAAATTAAATAACATTGGAAGATCAAATTAACTTTGTACTGTTTAAAATTCAGTTTTGGTTTCTTGCTTATTCCAGCATCTTGATATTCAAAAGCATTCCTTGTCATTTTTGTGTTCTTCTGTGTACATAACTTGAAAAATAAACACAGAGAAAGGAAACCACAAAGGATTAAACTTGAAGCTAAAGTAAAGTTTAAGTTGAGCCATAGCTGATCCAAATACTGAGCACTTTGTATTGTAACCCATTTGGCAGTAAAGTTTATCTATATGTCTGCCAGCTTGTCACAAGTCTTACCCCTCTCCTTCAAAAGTCTCTATAAATAAATTTTTCTTTGTGGTCCCTAATTGATGATTAGTATATTAGCTCCTCAATTTTCCTCTCTCAAGACAAGGTTACTCTAAATTTAACAAAGTAATGGACTTGATAAAACTCAAACTATAACTCAGCTGGCAGCTACTTGCAACCTTAATTTCTAGATATCAGTATACAATAATCAATATGTTATAAATAAGAACCCTGATGCTTAATTTTGCAGTGATCACCTTCCTCCTTTTCATTTGCAGACCAGACTGGAACCTCTATAGGTGTGTTTGCTTGTTTTGAGTGGGGATGGAAGAAAAGGAGTCATGCCGCATATCTGATTTATTAAATTGGATTTGTTCTGTTTATACATGAGTAGAACTACCTTGTTCTCTGAAAAAAAAATTTCTCGCATTTTTATCTGTGCTTTGCAGTCAAACTTCCTTGTGTCTTGGACAAGAAATCTTATTTTCTTGAAAACAAAATCTTTGTTTCCTGCCTTCTGTAATAGGTAAATATAACAGTGTAAGATGAGTGACAGTGTATTTCTCAAGTTATTTTTTGGAATGTGACAAAACGGAAGTGTCATAGTGTGATAAGGAGCCAACATATGATTGCTTGATAGAAAGCAAAAAATGCAGAATTGCATATATTTTCTTCTTTGTCAGCAGCATGTTAGTGAAAAGTTCTTATAATTGTTAACTTCTAAACTATCTTCAATTTAGTCAAGATTGAACTGTTATCACGTTTGTCATAAAAGTATTCTGAGATCAATGTCATATGACCCATTCATGTATTTGACCTTTTGAATTAGCAAGCCATAATTGACAGAAACACAAAGGTTGAGGATATAAGGAAATTATTATATACAGTACTTCTTCTGCATCTTTTCGTTTCTTTTTCTCTCCAGCTGTTCTATCTATGCCGTGCTGGCAATTGCACTTTCCTTCCCAAAATTAGGAAAGGCACACCAGTAAAAAACGAATTTTTGCTCCTTAAATATCTCATGCATCTTCCCCCAGTATTTTGTGACTTCTGTCCGAGGAAGGAGGTGTAAGCATTAAATTAATCCGAATGATTCCACAATTGTGGTAGAACTTGAACTAGATAAACTAGTTAGAATGCACAATAGCGATAGCAAAGCTTTGTAATGTCAAAGAGCTATATATATATACACCGGTGTTCCCGAAACCTTTGACAACTTTAAAGAAAGAAAACTTCGTCGTCAATCCTGTTTCAAATTCCGCAATAAGTTCATGCGCCTCATCAACAGAATTTACGTATCCTAAATTATCTGCATGTCTACCATCAATGGTTCGCGATTTAAAATTCTCGCTATGCTGTTTCTGTTTGTTCCTCAAGAATCATGGGATTTACAGCTTCGGATGTTCGGCTACATCACTTGCGGATTTCCGAGAATCTTCGGTTATGTTTTGCAAGGCATTAAATATTCCATCTCAGTCCCTCTCGACCGAGGTGGTTTTGGTGGATGGAATCTAATGCTGACCTGTTGGGAAACAAAGAAGACTCCATTTGGCGCTCATCTCTGAATGTACTTTTCAACGGTTGAGCGCTCGTGCGTTAAGTTATTTCTTTTCTCAACTGTTTAGCTTAAGATAACATTTCTAAAGATGGCTTTTATTGTGGTTCAGTAGGAAAACGAGAACAGCGTGAGTGTTGTAAATGAAAAGAAAGTCATTGGCGCCGTGGAGTTAAAAGAAGGGACGACAGTTGACATATTGACTGGTACAAACAAGGGTCGAGTGGCCATTTATAGAGCTACGATTTTGAAAGTTTGTGGTGAGTAAAAATTGCGATATTCATTACGTGATCAAAATCTTACCAAAGAATAAATATAACAGCGTGGATTAAGCTTACATTGTCGGGGCAACCGAAACTCGAATAATTCTGAGGATCGAAACGGTCACTTGCATGCCGCAGTTTGTTAAGCTTACACTTTACAATGAAATAAATCTATCAGTAAGGTTTCAAGATTACTTTAGTCACGTTTGGGAAGATTCTAGATTAATAATACAAACTGTGATTAAACAAACAAAGAAGTCCTCCTTGATAAAAGTAATAATAATAATAATAATAATTTACATTTCTAAAGTGCTAAAATTATAAAAATATTCTAAGCGCTTTACAAAATATTTTATAAAAATATTTAAACGATTAAACGATAAAACATGAAAAATATTAAAATGTTAAAACTAATAAAAATGTTAAATCAAATTGTAAGCTAGCTTGAACAAATGTGTTTAAGCTTGGACTTAAAAATGGCTACACTCTGACTGTTTCGAATTTCAAGCAGCAGTTTGTTCCACAGAACTGGCTCGGAACGGGCGAAGGCGCGATCACCAAAGGTCTTAAAATTAGTTCTTGGGATCTTAAGAAGGCCCTGATCACAGGAACGTAGGTCATGACCAGAAATGGAGTGTGGCTGCAGATATTCTTGAATGTATTGTGGGCTTTGATTGTTAAGAGATTTGTAAACTACGAGTAACAACTTGAAATGAACGCGATAAGTCATAGGAAAAGCCAGTGAAGATGAGATAAGGCGGACGAAATGTATTCAGCCCTTTTTTAGTAAATCTATGGAAGAGATGTACTAACTCCAATATAAAAGTCATTCAATATAACAGAGAGATTTCCCAATCCCAGCGCACTTTGTTAAATTAGGATTCCAATGAATACCCTTTTTCTTATGGCTATATAAGGCCTTGTCTGAGCTCATTATATATGCATATATATTTTTCTTCAAATTCAGATCTCATGGAATCCAGATACAAAATGGACAGGCTTCTCGTACACAACCTCAATCAAGGCCAACAGAGAAAGCTATGAGCTCAGGAAAAAAGACAAACAGCAGCTGAGTCTGCAGCTTGGGATAACTTCATTCTAATTTATTGTTACATTTACAACAAGATTTTAATTCAGAAATCAATTTCATTTAACTGTAATTAACCCCTTCACTTCCAAGAGTGCTAGGTCAAAATTGAGAAGAAATATTTGAATTCCAATGAGCAGAATCAACAAAAACAAAGAGTAAAACATGAAAGTACTGCTTGACAGCTTACATTTGAATGTTCACACACAAGAGCTTTATCCAAAGAAGTTACAACCACATAAAATCAACTCAATGCTTGACTCTGGGAGCAAAAGGGTTAAATACCATTTGTATCATCATCCAAAATTAAATGATTCATTTAAAGACTATTTTTTGACTGATAGTATTTTATTGCAATAAATATAATTCAAGTTATTGTATTTTATGGAAAAGAATGAACAGATTTTATACACAATGTGTGTCAAACCAAATTTAATGATTGATTAGGACTATTTCTATATGAATAGCTGTAATTGAAGAAAATTCTTATGAAGTTTTCAAGAAAAGAAAAATAAATCAAATTCCATCCTAATATTACTAAATGTTGATGTTAATATACAATCAAAAATATTTTACATGTAAACCTGAGTTAAGCATGTAAATAAATTTCACTGAATACTTGAATTTTTAGTTAGGATTTTTGAATTTTTAGTATTCATTTCATGTTAGTTGCCTCAAATTTTTGCTTAAGATTCCCAGTTATTCTTAAACATTCCTAGAAATTCCTTGAAATTTCTGGCTAGTTTTTAGATTTACAGCCTTTTGGCTAAAGTCATTGATGCTCTGAGTTAGAATTCCTAGGAATTCTTAGTCCTGTTGGCTATTACTTGGAATTTCTCAAAGTTGTTACAATTGGGAATTCCTTGGTCCGAATTTACTGTGAAAATTTACACCTCTTATTCCTAGGAATTCCAAAATCCATTTGCAAGGGCCATGCCACAACTGTTTTGGTCCCAATGGCAACTAATACTTTTCGTAGGTTTAAGTTAATTTGAGAATAATTAACATTTTCATATAAAATTACTAAAGTTCTGTCCTTTTCTTTTTAATTGTCCCTTTTCCATGGCTTCCCAAGCATTAGCAGTATGTCTTAACATGTCACATGAATCTCCAAAACTTGATGTCAGCCAAACTGCTTATTTCCAGGAGAAAGTTAAGTGTGGTCAGTGATTTAGTATATTAAACAGATAGGTTAAGCTTTGGGTCTGTGAATTGCAATCCTGAAATCAAAGGATATTTGTAACAGGATGGACTTAGTAAATAAACCACTAAAAGCTGTGTTTGTTGGTCCAAAAGTATGAGGATGCAAGAGGATTAACTCAGTTTGGGGAAATACAGAAATTTTTACTTATGAAAGGCGATCGTGTTGCAGTTATAACTAAGTTATTCCCAAATGGGTCTTTGGTGTCAGGGATAACATCTTCAAAGTTACTAAATAACTATTCAGATTCAGGTGTTTTAGTTCACCATATAGCAGTAGCTGAAAGGTCAAATACTTCTTTTTGTACACCACTATGTCATATTAAAAGATTGTGCATTGTGGTAGGTATTTCTGGAGATAATATGCTGACATTAAGTACATTTCCAAATTTGGTGGAGCACAACTGACTAGAAGTTAAATATATTCTCAATTCTTCAATAAAAGGGTACTGTAGCCATTTGGATATTGTTTTTGGTCCTTTTTGTAATGCTCTGTTTGGTAATATGCATATTTTGTATCATACTATTACTCCTATGTAGATTTGTGGAATTAAAACAGATAATATTATTTAAATACACTTTATGAGGCTTACAACAAATGTGTTCTTTTGCAGTCACTCATTACAGTGACGTTCTGTAGTACATTTACTGGGAATAGCATCTTAGAATTTGTTGTTCCTATCTGTAAAAGCTTCATCTGATTGATTACTGCCTGAATGACATGTGGAATGTTTGAAATGGATAAATTTGGGTGGCAAATCCAATCCCTGAGAATGGAGTTACAAGTTCTATGGTTATGTCATACATGTCCATAAGATGCACCACTTCTTTGCATGGATCCTTCCCAAGATCATGAGTGAAAGTATTTTTCTAGGTGGGATAAAGGATCCCAGTTGGGATATGTAAATCCTAACTAGGATCCCGCGTGGAATGCAGAAGTCCCACCTGAACTCCGGGGTGGAATGCAGAAATCCCACCTAAGATCCCATGTGGGATGCTGGAATCTTGCATTTAATGCAGGATCCTGGGTGGGATCAAATTTTAATCCCAGGTAGGAAATGTGGGATCCCACCACCTAAGGCAGGATCCCACCATTCCCACCTGGGATCCTGCACGGGATTGGCGGGATCCTGCCCATATCCTGCCTGACATTTTACTTAGGAGTTACATATCAAAAGAACAACAAAGTAACTCTTTGATACATGTACTTACTCAAGCTGTTCATCATTTTTTTTAGATGACTCTGAATTCTTGTACTGCAGTGAAAGTAACATCATAGTTGGAGAATTTTCATGATGAAGGGAAGCTCCTCTCAGGAAAACTCTGAGAATATCAAATTAATAACACACATTGAAAGCAATACTAGACAAGCACACAAGTTTTGTGCACTTACCAGTACATTCAATGTACTCTAAGACTACTATAATAATATTATCCATAAATTATCCTTGGAGAGCATTTATAACAGTATTATAATTGTAATATTTGTTTCTTGTAGACGGATAAGATAAATCAGATGTTGTTCAGCAGAATTTAGGGTATCAGTATTCACAACCTATTCACACACTCCTGATGATATCAGAAAGTGCCGAACCAGCCTAAATATCATCCCATGTGAGAGTAAAACAGCAATTTGTTTATACCTGTACATTGTCATATCTTTTGAGCTGCATTTGTATCCATTTTTAACAAAGTCATGAATTCCTTTGCGTAGCTTATAGAAGCATTCCTCTCTGAGAAGTCTGAAGTATGTATTTAAGTATTCCTCCTCTGATTTGTATGGTCCTCGCTGTCTTATCACTGGCAAGTCGTCTGTCTTCAATCCTAATTATAAAGACTGCATGAGTATTTGTAACACAACACCATCAGCAAAGCCACTGCCAGCTTTCATAAATATTCTTAACCATTTAACTCCCATGAGTAACCAGGATAGAATTTTTCCTTATCTGACAATATCAAGTATGCATTTGTGATGAGAAGAAAGAAATTAAAATATAAATTAAGGGATTATCAAGTGATCCAATACCAAATTCTCCAAACTAACATCACATAAATTTTATATGGCAGACAGTAAGGAGAATTACTAATGAGATCATGGGAGTGAAAGGGTTAATTCTGCAATTTCCTTAATACTCCACTTTACAGTTGTTCACAAACTCTATTGCCATGCCAACTGCATGTAGCCTTATGTCTCTGTCACAACTAGGTCTCCCCTTGTCCCTGTCCTAGCTCTTTGTTCAGAGCTATGCACACAGCTGTGCAATGGACAATTATAGGGTTGAAAGTCAATAAAAGATTTAAACCCTAAGCTTCTCTTCAGTCACTATGAAAAATTCTACCCTTAAGCTATTTTCTAAGTACTCATACTTTGAGAATATTCTCCTGTTGGTACACTTAATCAAAATTCTGATTCTACAAGTGATCTTCTACTTCATTAGCTTACGTTAAACAGTTGGTAATAATACACTGAATAAGAGGGGTTCCTCATCAACAGATGGCTCCAACTATAATTATAAAAATAAACTCAATTAACTCTTACTGGGTTCATGGATCTCTTTCACAACTGGTATCAAGGGAACATCTTTCCATTGCAAAGCCTGAACTTCTTCACGGCCTTGAGGCACCTCTAGGGCAATAATGGATGACAGCTTTGTTAAGAAATCTATAGCTGCTTGTCCATTCTCTTTGGCTGTCTCCAAGTCACTGGAGTTGTCTACTAACTTATATACAAGCACTTTAGCCATTGGTAAAACATGTGGGCCAGCAGCTGGAAAGGCAGTGATGACATGTTCCAGAATCCGCTGAACCAGGCTGAAAATTGACAATTGATCATGAAGGAAATGTAACACATTTAATTCACAGTCAGTAATTAAGTTAAACTCAATCACATTTTTTAACAAAGATTAAGAAAAAAGGGAGCAACCCCACTCCAGCTCTTCATCAGAAAAGGCTGAAAACCCATGGGGAGGGGGTTAGTATAACCTGACATGATCAATATGTTAGCATACAACAAAATGTCTATGGCAACAACTATAGAAAAATTTAAAATGTAAAAAAAAAAAGCCAGACAAAAAGACACCAGAAGGTAATAAATAGGTAACAATTAATAATCACGCTTTCACTCCCAGGATCTAAATAGTGATTCTCTGCACTGTTGGTCATTCATCATTGATCATTTTTTTACTTCTCATCACCTTTCTTCTTGATGGTGTATGGAAATTATGAGGAGAAGTTCATGCTTGGTCACTCCTGGAGTGAAAGGGATAAAAGAATAAAAAGAAGTACAATTTTCAGTTATGTTTACTTACCTCATATCTTCAGTCTTGTGGACAAAATCTGGAAAGAATGATTTGAAGAAAGCACTCCCCTGAAACTTTTTCACAAGATTAGTGACTGTGTGTGACATATTTCTCTGGGCACTGGAGCAAATCTTATCAACAGTGGATAAAATTTGCATAGCCATTGATGTTGTATACTGTGCTTTGGGAAGTTCCAGGACGTATTCCCATAATGCAGCACATCTAAAAATGGCACAGCATAAAATCAGTAAATCACTGCAGAAAATTGCCATAAAGTCCCTCAACAAATTAATTACAAATAAGAACTTGTGATTCTTGCCTAACTCTTCAGTTAACTCCCAAGATCTGATTGTTAGCTTGAGTATTCTCGTGGCCTGTTTCTATAGGTAAATAACATGATTTTGAGTGCAATTTTAAATTTTCAAGAACAACAAAATTACTTTCAGAGCCCATAAGGCAAGTGCAATTTTTAGTCTTTCTAAAAATTCTAAAGTGCTTATTATACCAAATTGCATGAGAAATCATTTTGTTACTTGTCAATAATGTACATAACAAAACATAGCAGAAGGTCAAATCAGATATAAACTTGCACTCATGTTACAACTTTGCACTTGTATAACAATAGAATGCACTTGTTCTCGGCCAATCAGATGTGTGTAGGTTTTTCATGACATTATTAGCTGGATAGTGTATGGATATTATGGGTAAAAGTTATTTGTTAGTCACTTATGGTTAAAAAACAAAGTTCTAAGGAAAGTTGGCAATAAAAGCTACAACATCCAACTAATATGACAAGACTATTCAGTTAATTAAGTTACATGCAACTGGTATAAAACATACCTTACAAGTTCAGTCAAAGCAGTAGTTGAGCCTTCAGTTGCTACCAAAAAAATCAAAAATGACTCAATCTCAGTCTGATCACGATGGTAACACCTGGCAAAAAGACAGGAAAGAGATTGTTAGAAAAGTGGGAATGCATGGGGGGATCCTCAGAGATGCAAGGGGGCTTTACTTCTTGGAGATCTTCATAGAGATGTGTAGCCTTGTTCTTCACATCCTGGCCCTACTTGAAATGAATTAAAATTTACCATTTTCTACATCACTTTTAAGACATGGTATCTGAAAGCTGTGCTTGATAAAAAGCATGATGATTTTGAAAGTCAAAACCGTGTTGTAATAAACCAAGGACATGAATATTGTAGATCTACATGCTTTTTAATGAGGTTGAAGAAGAGAACTGAAATCATACATTGCACAACAGGGATATCCGATTACTGATTACATGATTCTGCACGTGACTAGATTATAACATTCCTCCCCCTTAAGACTTTTGCTAAACTTAAACAAAAAAAAAGTACACACACAAAAAGTAAACAATGCTGAACTGAAGCGTAATAAAACCAATCATTAATGTTTTTCACGCACGCATGTACGTCACGCAACAATTCTCGTTGATTGCCAATCAATGTTCGTGAGTAATGTCACATAATTTTTTTTTTCTAAAGTTCATAGTCCTTGAAACGTTCCGGCAAACGACGGTTGCGGACTGGGCGTGATAGTTTAGCCTCTTGTGTGTCAGGTGAACTCACGACCGGTTCAGCTGGACCACTCGGTTGCGTTGTGTCTGTTGTGCAATCGGGGAGCACTCCTGGTACTAAGATCTCAGGATTTGATATTGTTGGGTCTTGGTTGTAGTTCTTCCGCACATGGTCCTGATGTCGTCGAACAACTCGACCATCCAGTAATTCAACTAGGGCTGAGACTGGGCCTGTTGTCTGCACCACAGTTCCTTTCTGCCAGGACTTGGGGGAACTGAAGTCTTTTATGAACACAGGATCACTGGCTTCAAAATCTCTGTGTTTGGCATGGTGGTCGTGGGTCTGTTTTTGACGTTCTTGCTTCTGTCTCACCAGACTTGCAGTGTTGGGAACTGTAAGATCAAGCTTAGTTTTCAGCTTTCTTTTCATCAGTAGCTCTGCTGGGGGAACCCCTTTGGTCGTGTGTGGCGTTGTTCTGTATTTAAGCAGAAAACGTGACAACTTGTCTTGCATGGTTCCCTCTTCCATTTTCTCTACCCCTTCTTTGAAGGCTCTAACTGCCCGCTCTGCCTGACCATTTGAAGCTGGATGGTATGGCGAGACTTTGGTGTGTTTGACACCGTTTTTTGAGAGGAAATTCTCAAATTCTGCACTTGTGAAGTTGGGACCATTGTCACTGACTATGGTCTCTGGAAATCCATTTGGAATGAGCATCAATCACCACTAAATACATGTGACCTTTGTAAGGCCCTGCATAATCAATATGCACTCTTGACCAAGGTTGACCAGGCCACTCCCATGGGTGGAGAGGTGCTTCTGCTGGGGCCTTCTGGTGTAGTTGGCACTGCTGACACTTCTTCACTGCATCTTCTAATTCACGATCCATGTTTGGCCACCACACATAACCACGTGCAAGTCCTTTCTTCTCGTTAAAGAGCCCCTCCAGCGGCTTGTGATCAGTCTGTATGGTGAACTTCTGACTGTACAAGAACTGATTAAACTTCTTCACACCGAAGATAATTGCCAAAGCCCCTTTTTCAATAGTGGAATAACCACACTCAGCTTTGTTCAACGATCTTGAGACGTAACCAATTGGGCGCTCCGCTCCATCCGCTATCCGGTGGGAGAGTACTGCCCCTACTCCATAATCGGAGGCATCACTCGCCAAGATCAGTTCCAAATCTGGCTGGAAGTGCACTAGGAGGTTTGCAGACTGAAGTAGTTTCTTGGATTTATTGAAGGCCATCTGCTGCTCAGTCTTCCAACACCACTTTGTACCTTGTCTAAGAAGCTTGTGGAGTGGTTCAAGTACTGTGGCGATGTCTGGTAGGAAACGATGATAATAATTCAGCATTCCAAGAAATGCACGCAGCTGTGTAACATTCTCAGGCACAGGGGCATTCTGTATGGCGTCCACCTTAGCTTCTACTGGCTTGATACCACTACCATCGATCACATAACCACAATAGGTGACTTCCGGCACCATGAAGAAACACTTTTCTTTTCGCAACCGCAGTCCAGCTTCTGAGAGCTTCTTCAGTACTGCTTCTAGATTGGCCATGTGATGGTCGTCGTCCTTCCCGCTGATGAGGATGTCGTCCATTCGCACAATGACATTAGGAATGCCTTGTAATAGGTTTTCCATAATCCTCTGGAAAATTCCAGGCGCTGTGGAGACTCCGAAAGGCAGTCTATTGTACTGAAATAGGCCTTTATGAGTGTTTATGGTGGTAAACTTCCGCGACTCCTCATCTAAGGTCATCTGTTGATACGCCTGCGACATGTCTAGCTTGGTAAATTTCTCACCACCTCCCAGCGTTGCCAAAAGATCTTCTGTCTTCGGTATTGGATAGTTGTCAAGTTTGGTTACTTGATTGACTGTGAGTTTATAATCGCCACAGATCCTAACAGTCCCATTTGGCTTAGCCACAGGTACAATGGGTGCTGCCCATTCTAAAAATTCCACCGGCGATATAATTCCTTCACGCTCTAATCGTTCGAGTTCAAGTTCGACATTAGTTTTCAGTGCGTAAGGCACTGATCTTGCTTTGATATATTTGGGTTTGGCGCCTTGATCAACGTAGATCTTCGCTTTTACACCTTTTAGGGTGCCCAATCCCTCCATGAATACATCGGGGTATTTAGCAAGTACGCTTTGAAGTGCCGATGGGGGGTTTATCTCGCTTGCCATGTGCATGTGAAAGATTGTGCTCCAATCTAATCGGATTTGTTCGAGCCAGTCTCGACCAAGCAAGTTTGGTCTGTTTTTTCCTGCGACAATTAGCGCGTTCAAATTCTTTTTCTTGCCTTCGTATTCTACTGTAACCATGACTGCTCCGAGTACTGGAATCCTTTCTCCTGTGTACGTGCGTAGAGCCGCTTTTGTTGTCTGAAGTGGACCCAATGCGTCACGCAATCTTCCGTACGTTGCTTCATTTAATATCGTCTTCGACGCACCTGTGTCGATTTCCATCGTTTTTTCCGTCCACAAAGTTCCAGATCCACTTTGAGCGATTTCTTTCGATCGCTGGACAAATGATACATGGCATAGACACCATCTTGATCGGCGCTTTCTTCGAGAAAATGCGTTCTTTGTTTACCATCCGGCCGGCGCCCATGTCTTCCTTGCTTTTGTGGTTTCTTCTTTCCTTTACATACTTTTGCCATGTGGCCTTTCTTTTGACATTTGTAACACACTTCATTCTTGTATTTACAGCTCGAGGGATCGTGGTTTCCACCGCAGCGATAGCACTCTCGTTTTGGCTGAAACTTTGGAGGTGCAATTTCTTCTTCGACCTTGTTGACATTGTTGTCGCTGCTGGGCGTCTTCCCGCCTAAATCCATTACATTCCTAGAAGCCATTTCGGTTGCTGTAGCGATTTCCACCGCCTTTTCGAATGTGAGCTCCCGTTCGCCCAACAATCTTCGTTGAATGCGATCATCGCTGATTCCACAGACGAGTCGATCCCGCAGCATGTCTTCTAGCGTTGTTCCAAACTTGCAATGCTCTGAAAACCTTCTGAGTCCTGCGACGAACTCTGCAACATTTTCCCCTTCGAGGCGACTCCTGCTATGGAATTTAAATCGCTCGACGATAACACTTGGCTTCGGCGAGAAGTGGTTTTCCAGCTTTTCCAAGATCTCTTTTAACTCCACATCGCCCGGTTTCTGAGGTTGTAACAAATCGCGAATTAACCCGTACGTTTTGCTTCCACAAACACTTAGCAGGATAGCTCTTTGTTTCTTCGCGTCTTTAATTTTATTTGCGGCGAAGTACTGCTCGAGTCTCTCCGCGTATTGAGTCCACGATTCCTCCGACTCCTTAAATTCCCCAACGTTCCCGTAGGTTGCCATGTTTATCCTAGTCGCCAATGTAATAAACCAAGGACACGAATATTGTAGATCTACATGCTTTTTAATGAGGTCGAAGAAGAGAACTGAAATCATACATTGCACAACAGGGATATCCGATTACTGATTACATGATTCTGCACGTGACTAGATTATAACACATGTAGTTCTCATTTGGAGAGTAAAAAAGAAAGTTTCCGGCAATTCTTATTTCAATCCATATGCTAAGGAATTATAGGATAAATAAGTGAGCCAGTGAGTTAATGCTATACTAACATAGAAGACTCCTTGTTCATTTACACCCCAATGCAATCACTGATTTTTTATCTCAAGAGAAGCCAAAACATGGCTAGTGTTACAGTCTACTGTCCTTCTCTCCCCAGGATAAACTTACGACACTTCTCAAAGTGATCTTTCCAATAATCCAATGGAAACCAGAAGTCATTTTCATCTCAAAGAGAAGAAATGTAGTTATCTGGAAATGAAGTTTATTTTGTATCCTGTACACTATGAATCAATTTTTTCCAGAAAATAAGATATCCCTTATGGTGCTGCTCATTTCTCTGTTTATTGCACAGTGATTCATTTCATATACTTTTAGGATGAAATGTGATTAGAGTAATGCAATATTGTTATAGATGCAGAGATCAATCTCTAACAAGTTGTTACAAGATATCATGGTAAGATTGAAATTTATAACTGATATGAATTATACTTACTTTATCACTTCTGGTTCCATTGCAACTCCTTCCTTTCTCCGGCATTGTGTTACTTCAACAATGTCCCCAACTTCGAGATCATATCCTCTTAGAGATTCGTTTTTAACATCAATGACATGCTCAATCAATCCTGAATGACCATATTGAGCCTTGTAAGGTACTTTTATTAGCACAGACACCTTACAATCACCTGCATTGGATGTACATTTCCATATCACAACACCACTCAGCTTTAAATTTTCCTCAAACAAATCTATCAGGGCTGACTTTCTTTGCTCACAAAACTCAGGAAAACTGCCATTTTGTTCTCCTTCCTTGACAAACTGTTTGAATTGTTCAAAAAACACTTCTGGTGTTGTTTTTGTTACTGTTGAGCCTGCTGATTTCTGCCTTTCATCTTCTAATTTCTGCTTATCAATGAAGTTTTCCAGCAGCCTTCTGTGGTATTTGTATGTGGGGTGTTCTTCAGACAGCCTATATCCACAAGTTTCCCAGCCAGCTGGTACTGACACATGAGTTAGATGTTCCACGAGTTTATCCGTAAACTTACTGCGTTTAAAAAAATCAGTATCTGGACATATTCTAGACACTAAACTATCAATATCTCCATCTTGTACGGTAGCCATCATTGAAAATTATCCTCCTCGTTCTAGAAGAATTAAATTATGGGTTGTGTCCTCGTGTACCGGTACACAAAGGAAAGAAACATTAACGAACTGCGTCATAACTCCATGTATGGTTATGAAAACAAAAGGAATTCCCTCGTGTACCGGTACACCAGGACAGCCCCAAATTATGCATGCTCAAGAATACTTCTGGGTGGGGTGGGTCACTTCCAGAGTATTCATAATAAATACCTTGTCTCTTATAGGTGTTATGAATGAAAAATTTATCTCGTTTCCTGAAAATAAAAGGCTAAGCTTCTTCCTGGCGACTGAAATGAAAGTAGTTCAGTTTGCCAATGCCAAGATATGGCTAGTGTCACAGTCTGCTGTCCCTCTCTCCCTTAGATGAAATGACGTCACTTCCCTGTGTGATCTTTCCAATAATCCAACGGAGAACAGAGGTCATTTTCTGAGAAGCGCGAGACCTAATGTCAGTCAATAGAGGTTTCATGGAAAACACAGTTGTTTCTCTCGAAAAATATCGTCATAGCCTACTGAACCAAGGCCCCAAGTCGTTAAAAACCAAGGTGTATGGTGCAAGCACGTACATCCAAATTGCCGCCATTTTGTAAAACGACCACAACTTTTTAATCACCAGGGTAGAGAGGGGAAAGAATTTGCCTCCTGATGTAAACACAGGTATACTGAGTACAAATGCGCGTGAAATTCTTTACCTGAGTCGTACTTTTAAGCCTAATTACACTGTTTTAGTGTGAAGTGTACAGAGCCATCTAATTCCAGATGATAGGATTAGGTATTGAAGGGTAGAATAGCCTGAAAATGGACATATATATATAGAGCAAAAGACTTGACATGCAAGTATTGAAGTACATGACGTAGTGCTTCGTTCGCGGTATTTCATCGCTGTCTCTTCTGAGAAACGATCTTAAATGCTCAACGAACCATGGAACTGATTAATGCATAAGGACCCCCAGTCGTGACAAGGCTGATACTAGTCCCCAAAGATAAAGTTGGACATGTCATAGGAAGGAAAGGATCAAGAATACAGGAAATCAGAGAGCAAACCGGAGTTCAGATATCAATTAATAAAGAAAATCAAGCGCTCCTGAGAGGCACGGCAGAACAAGGTGAAAATGCAATAAAGATGATAGAAGAAATCGTGACGGTAAGAGCTCATTAGTGGGTAAAAGGAGGCCGAATGTCTGTATCTAACCCAGTGTCCATTGAACTATCAAATCGCTGAGCTGTTCTAGACTCTTTACATTGGATGCTTGAACTTAAATGAAAGAAACTCCCTCACAAAAAATATCGATATGTACGTCGAGAGGTTTGACTGTAAAACTCTTATGGAGCCCCTCTTTTTTCGGTATTTAGATTTTTACTGCTTTATAAGTAGGCCGAGTGTTTGTATCTGACCCAGCGTCAGTTGAACTATCAATCACCTGGCTGTTCTAGATACTGTACATTGGATTCTTTTGTTTTCATATTAAAAAGCAAACTTAAATCAAAGAAATTAGAGGGTGGTAAATCCCTCACAGAAAATATCGATATCTACGTCGAGAGGTTTGACTGTAAAACTCTAATAGAGCCATTCTTTTTTTTTGGCGGACTAGTTGGAAGACTGGCTAGCTGACTTGCTGGCGGCCTGGCTGGCGGACTAGCTGGCAGACTGGCTGGTGGACTGCTTGGCAGATTAGTCGGAGGACTGGTTAGCTGACTGGCTGTTGAACTGGCTAGCTAACTGGCTAGCAGACTGGCTGAAGGACTGGCTGGCGGACTAGCCGGCGGACTGGCTGGCAGACTGGCTGGTGGACTGGCTGCCGGACTGGCTGGCAGACTTGCTAGCCAAACAGCTAGCTGACTGGCTGGTAAACTGGCTGTTTGGCTGGCTGGTGGATTGGCTGGCGGATTGGCTGGCAGACTAGCTGACTCACTGAAGGACTGGTTGGCAGACTGGCTTGAGGACTAGTTAGCGGATGGCTAGCTGATTGGCTGGCAGACTGGCTGGCAGGCTGGCTGGCGGACTGTCAGGCGGATTGGCTGGCGGACTGGCTGGCAGACTAGCTGACTTGCTGAAGGACTGGTTGGCAGACTGGCTAGCTGATTGGCTGGAGAACTGGTTAGCGAACTGGCTAGCTGATTGGCTGGAGGACTGGCTAGCAAACTGACTGGTGGACTAGCTGGCGGACTGATAATAAAGTCACAGGACTTGATGGAATCGGAATTAAACCCTTTTGAGTCTTACTGATGACAACTGCCTTAAAGCTATGGACTCGAAAGAACTTGTCGGCGCACTATTCTTGAAAGTTCCTTGATGAACATGAAGATTGATCAAGGTCACCTGAAGTTACCACCAAACTCCGAGCCTCCAGATGGGTTTGAACTTTTTTACCATGGTCGCAGTTTTAGAAGAGCGTACCAGTATCCAGCAACGGATGGAGAACAGTTTGCTTTGACTGTTTGTAAAGACCAAGCTATAAACGTAAATACTGATCAACGTGATGAAGGGAGCTTCGACGAAACAGAAGTAAAGGTGCGTATCACTACAATCAAGTTGTGCATTCTCTTCGTCATTCTGGTGAGTTCTTTACCGTTGTTCGTGTTGTGATCCATGTCAACTGTCTGCAGGTGATATCGAAAAGCCATTCAGTATGTCTGTAGATTAAAACATCTGTAGAACGCTGATTCGGCCAGTCAGTCCGCTAGTCAGCCAGTGAAACGGTGGATATTCCAGCTAGCCCGTAAGTCAGTCCACTGGTCAGCTAATTCGAAAGTTGGCCAGTCAGTCAGTCAGTTAGTCTTTTAATCAGGTGCTCAGACAATTACGGTCTGTCAACCGATAAGTCAGGCAGCTTGTCAGTTAGTCAATTAGTCAGCACTATCAGTCAGTCAGTAGGCTAGCCTGCCAGCCGGTCAGCCAGCCATCTGCCAGCCAGTCCACCAGCCAGTCAGCTAGCCAATTTGCCGGACAGTCTGCTAGCCAGTCTACCAGCCAGTCCAGCTGCCAGTCTGCCAGCCAACCAGCTAACCAGTCCGCTAACCAGTCCTCCAGCCAGTCAGCTAGTTAGTCTGCCAACCAGTCCTTCAGCGAGTCAGCTAGTCTGCCATCCAGTCTGCCAGCCAATCCGCCATACAGTCCTCCAGCCAGTCTGCTTGACAGTCAGCTAGCCAATCTGCCAGCCTGTCAGCTAGCTATTCGGCTAGCCAGTCTGCCAGCCAGTCCACCAGCCAGTCCGCCAGCCAGTCCTTCAGCGAGTCAGCTAGTCTGCCAGCCAGTCTGCCAGCTAATCCACCATACAGTCCGCCAGCCAGTCTGTCAGGCAATCAGCTAGCCAGTCTGCTAACCAGTCCTCCAGCCAGTCAGCTAACCAGTGTGCCAACCAGTCCTTCAGTGAGTCAGCCAGTCTACCAGCCAGTCAGCTAGCTATTCGGCTAGCCAGTCTGCGAGCCAGTCCACCAGCCGGTCCACCAGCTTATCTGCCAGCCAGTCTGCTAGCCAGTCCTTCAGCCAGTCTGTTAGCCAGTCAGCTAGCCAGTCCTTCAGCTAACCAGTCCTCCGACCAGTCTGCCAGCCAGTCCACCAGCCAGTCTGCCAGCTAGTCCGCCAGCCAGTCCACTAGCCAATCTTCCAGCCAGTCAGCTAGCCAGTCCTCCAGCCAGTCAGGTAGCCAATCTGCTAGTAAGTGCGTCAGCCAATCCGCCAGTCTGCCAGCTAGTCCGCCAGCTTGTCCGCCAGCCAGTCCTTCAGCCAGTCTGTTAGCCAGTCAGCTAGCCAGTCCTCCAGCCAGTCAGCGAGCCAGTCTTCCAACTAGTCCGTCAGCCAGTCCACCAGCCAGTCCGCTGGCTAGTCCATCAGCCAGTCCACTAGCCTATCTGCTAGCTAGTCAGCTAGCCAGTCCTCCAGCCAGTCAGGTAGGCAATCTGCTAGCTCCACTTGTAGTAGATAGCAAAGCCCTTCCCGTCATCGATTGCGCCAAAATCCTAGGTGTTACCATATCTAGTGATCTCAAATGGAACAATCACGTCGTAGATTGCATTAAGAAGGCAAACAAGCGGATATATTTCATTGTTCTCCTGAAAAGGGCTCGTGTACCTTGTAATGACATTGTTGATTTCTACTGTACAACAATCAGATCTGTTCTAGAATATTGCGCTCCCCTCTTTTATCATGCGCTTCCCGCTTACCTCAGTGAGGATATAGAGAGAATACAGAAAAGAGTTCTTTCCATAATTCTCCCAGATATGTCATATCAGGACTGCTTGGACAGACTAGGCCTGCCAACGCTAAAAGAGAGACGCAATGATCTATGTAAACGACTCTTTGATTCAATCGCCAACAACTCGGGGCATAAACTACACAACTTACTGCCTCCAAGAAATGAACAAAGCTACTGCCTGCGACATCAGAGAACATATAATCTACCACGCTCGCGCACAGACCGCTTTAGACAGTCCTTTGTGTATGCAATGTCCAAAGATGCCTAGCAACAAACAACGCGTAGTACTTAGCTAGTAACTATACATATTTTAATCCCATTAGATACGTATATTTTTATATCATGTACATGTTTGTGATTAGTTTTAACATTTGCCTATTTATATATTACTCTGTGAAATACGCAATTCAGTCTAATGACTGCGATGTATTTGTGAATAAACAGTCTATCTATCTAATCTATCTATCAAGTGCGTCAGCCAATCCGCCAGCCAGTCCACCAGTCAGTCTGCCAGCCAGTCCGCCAGCCAGTTAGATAGCCAATTCACCGATAAAGTGTGAAGTCTCCAAGCCAGTCCGCCAGCCAGTCTGCCAGCCAGTCCTCCAGCCAGTTAGTTAGCTAGTCTTCCAGCCAGTCAGCTAGCCAATCCGCAAACCAGTTCGCTAGCCAATCCGCGATCTAGTCCAACAGTCAGTCTGCCAGCCAGTCTGCCAGCCAGTCCACCAGCCAGCTAGCTAACCAATCCGCCAGTCAGTCACTCAAATCGTCAGTCAGTCATTCAGACAGTCAATTTGATATTATCATCAACTGAGCTGATTATGTTAATTGGCCACCGTTAAGAGTTCAAAGCTGACGTTTCGAGTGATAGTCCTTCGTTAGCGCTGACGAAAGGCTAACGCTTAAAATGTCAGCTTTTAAACCAGTTAGCTGTTCTACATTTTTATTTCTTTGGTCATCTGTTCTGAAACAATGGGAGTCTTAAAAACTTTCATTTCTTTTCTAATTGTCTAATTTTGTTTCGATTTCGTATGAGAAAAGACGGATATTCATCTGCCTTGTAAAGAATGGGATGAAGCTTTTGATGAAGGAGACTGGGAACAAGAGCAGGTCGTTGCTAAGCTACCGAAGTTTCTAAATTTTCTAAGAAAAGTTCAGTCACACGTGGCCCCACATGAAGAGGCTATTGGAGACTAGGTTCAGCCAAAAGCCAATGAAGAGCAGGATTAAATATATGATACGTACAGAGATCAAGAACTAAAATGTGATAGATTAACTAAATGTGAATGCTGTTCAATCCACGGTTCAATTGAGAAGACGTCATTACCATCCTACGCAACACGCGCTTGGTGTAAGGATGCAACAGCACAACTCTGGACGCCTGATGGACGATGGAAAACCCATTTTCTTTAAATTTGTAAATACAAAAAAATTAATAGCAAGAAAGGCTGTGTTTTTGGGATAGAGCATTTATTGTAAGAGAAGTCATCCGGTCACAGGACTGGTCTTGAGAAAAAAAAGCTTTGTTTACTTTCCTGTAATACGTGCGCCGCCCTTTGTAATTTGATTTTAGTGAATTTACACATATTATTTTAGAAAGTGAAAGTCTTAACAGCATTTAATTGCACCATCGAAGAATGTTTTGATAGAGAGTATAGATAATGTTTATACAAGTGCCACCCTGACGTGGTTTGTATAACGGCCTTGTTAAAAACTAAATACAGTGAACTGAATAACAAAAAAAATAAAAAATAATAACAAAAAAAAAAACAACAACAACAACAGCGTATGATAAAAACCTACATCGGAAGTATTGTCGGCTCCTTGCGACCAACTCACGTGAGCAGCATGATCACAATGGCACTCTCCATTAGGGAAGAGTAGACTTCGGCTTTTTACACGATGCATGTATATTCCTCATCATGGGAACATTTAGGCCCTTTTTTGTTATTCTGGTAGCAGTTATTGTACTTTCCTTTTTTCTTAACTCTCCTTTTTAAATCATTTGCTCGCATAATGTTTGACCTTTCTGTGCGGGAGGACTAGGGTCTAGATAATGAAGCGAAAGCGGAAGTACTTCCGGTTTATGAATGATAGAAATTCGATATTGGTGTAAGTTTCTAGTTTGCCAAGTTTTATTTGTCAGTACAAGAATAATTTTGATGACACCATGGACAAAAGGAGTGACAATCGAAAGGAATCGACGAATGGCGGCGAAAAGAGGTAAAACAAGCGAATTTGGAAATGACGTTTTAAATGGGCAAGGAGTATTAAGACGCAGTGACTAAATGCCCGGCAGCCGGGCACGGTCTTAAATAGGCTAAATGTTTGGCAGTCAAAACTTTTCACCCAATTTCCACCGGAAGGTTCTTTCAAAGTTCCTAAGAATATTAAATGTCTTTTAAGGAATATCAGGCAATTCCAAAAGTTTATTTGGTTTTTAAGTGGAAAAATTCTCCGAGCTTGTGCACACTCGGTTGTCGAGCGATATGCACAATCTCGGAGACTGTTTGTCCACTAAAAAACCAAACCAATTTTTGCAATCACTTGACATTTCTTAATAAACATCTGATACTCTTAAGTAGTTTGAAGGAACCTTTCGGTGGAAGTTGCGTGAACATTTTTGACTGCCGGGCATTTAGTCTATTTGAGACCGTGCCCGGCTGCCGGACATTTAGTCACACCCATATTAATATCCACGACTAGTTCTTCGTCAGGAGAATTTTCATTCACAGAGATCTCGTCAACCTTAACTCACATCAAGCGAGAAACATTTTTTTTTTTAAATTACCTTGTAGAGGCAGCCGCTGTGAGGCATTTGTTATTCTTATTGAAATTTCTGTTTACTCCTATTTCCGATTCATTTGGTCTGTCGTTCGAAGGAACGAATCGAACGAATCGAACGAATCGAACGAATTTTGCAACACCTCTATCCTGATATTAGACGTTGGCAGAAACTTACTTAGTGTGATCAGTTTGTGACAAACAATAAAAATAAATTCGCGCTCTAGACTTGAAGAAATTTTGTTAACGACCTTGAGGCAAATTGTTTGCTTGAACGATGATGTCATTTTCAGTTATTTCTGGTCACGCACGGTCACACAATTACATCTCTTTGTCACGCAAGTCGGCTTTCCGCATTCGCGTCTCATTATGTTTCCGGAAGCATTCACCGCTATAAATTTTTAACAGTAAGGGCCGGGGGGGGTTGGGGGTTGGTGGTGGTAAAGTGGGGGTCAGAGGGTTGGGGCGGGGATAACAGAGGTGGGGGGGGAGCTGAGGGGGATCGTCAGTGGAAAGGGGATCAGTAAAAAATTGGCTGCTGATTAATTGCTAATGGGAGCGATGATAAGAATATTAAAGAGCCTTACAGGAGGTCATGAAAATTTTATCGTGACCCCTCCCCCTTCCCCTGGCGATAAATAGTGACCAATCCCTAGAGAGTGGTAGATCAATGATTAATGACTGATTACCTCATTGTATCTCAGCTTAAGGTTTTTCTGTGTCAGCGACAAAGTTTAAATTGCATATTCGTACAAATTTTTCAAATACCGTATCTATATGGCTTGTTTTTGCATTTCTTTATAATTTCTGTGTGATTGGCAAGCTCTACACCTTATTATGTAAATATACAGGGTGAAACTGAGAGAGAGAGCCAAACACTAAAGGGGGCTCTAGGGAGGGGGGTGGGGCTTGGTGTCGAGCCCCGTCGAAAGCTTTTTCTTTTTTTGCAATTTCGAAGATTATTTCTTGTTTCTTTTATACATTATGTTATATTTATGAATTCATTGTTTTTAGAGGGGTATTAGAAAATGACATGAGTATAAAAACGTTTTTCCATAATGGCTCTTCTGAACAGAAATACAAATGACGATCTTAGAAGGAGCACTCAAGAGAACACCTATGAATTTCTGCCAGTACCTGAAAACCACATTGGCTTAATAATCGGCAGGAAAGGAAGAACAATAATTCAAATACAAGAAACGTCAGGGGCGAAGCTTAGTGATCAGTCACAAAGAGGTCGCAGTGGATTCGCTATTCGTGGTAATGAGAGGCAAAGGGCCCGTGCAAGAGAGCTAATTTATGAGAAATTGGTAAGTAAGTGGAACTATTTCTGTCGTCGTAACTCCTTAGATTTTCCTATTTTCTTAGATTGGAATTCATTTGAATGCAGTGAATCTGATTGTCAGTCGGTTACTTAGTTATTAATTTAGTCAGTTAATCAGTCATACAGTCAGCCAGTCACTCAGTCAATCAGACGCTAAGTTAATCAATCAGTCAATCAGTCAAATGAATAAAGGGGTAAGTTTCTAAAGAAACTGTGGTACTGCGTCGGTGGGAGAGTATAGCAGGTAGTTTAGTGTTAACAACTGGGTTGAAAACGTAAATTAGTCACCGTAAAGGGTAAAAAAGCTGAAACGTCAGCTTTTTTACCCTTTACGGTGGCTAATTTACGTTTTCAACCCCGTTGTTAACACTAAACTACCAGTCAATCGGTCAGTTTGTTAGTCATTCTGTTAGCTTGTCGGTAACTCAGTGAGTAAGTCAGTGAGTAAGTCAGTCAGCCACTCAGCAATTCAATTATTCAGTCAGTTAGCAAGTCCGACAGTCTGTTATTCAGTCAGTCAATTAGACACTAAGCTAGTCATTAAGTCAGTATACAGTAGGTCATTTAGTCTAACGGTGTGTCAGTCAGCACTCGGTCATTCGGTCAGCTTTTCAGTCACCCAGTCGGTCAGTCTGTCAGTCACTCAGCCAGTCACTAAATAGGTGCCTCACTAACTAATTCTGTGAGTCCCTTAGTCCGACATGAAGTCAGTCGTGATCTCAGCCAGAGTCAGATAATCAGTTTGCTTGGCACCCAATTAAATAGGCAGTCGTGATCATGCATGGTTGTCAATTATCGCTGATTCTGTTTGTCTTCATGTCTGTCTGTCTGTCTGCCTGCCTCTGTTTTTTGTGTATATCTGAGAATCTACTTTTCCTACTCTCTGTAAACATTGTACATTCTTGTGAACTTTCGTTTCCGAAGGAAACTCGCTTCCGAATAATTGAGATTCCAAAAAAGTTTGAGTACCTAGTAAAAGGAACAGATGGAGACGAACTTCGACGTGTTTCTATTATGACTGGAGCTGTAGTGAAATCAAAAGGACACGATTCTCGAGTGTATGTGAGTGGATCCGAGAGAAACGCAAAGCATGCCGAGTATGTGATAAAAAGCAGAATGGTGAGTTTAACACTGAAATCATTTCATGTTAAAGAAAATAAATAATATAAACCCTACCAAATGTGAGGTGTCTCTTATTTAAAACAGAGGGGAGGTCTTTTTCTCACTTAGGTCAACGATTTTCCTGTACTGACTGTAAACCTTTGTTCCATAGAAATGCTTGGCAGATAAGCTTTTTTTCGCTCTGTTTTAGGCCGCGGCAAGAATCGGAGATAACTCAGTCTGCGTCTGTATTGACGACAAATATCTCCCGGAAGATTGTGAATTACAACTTGTAGAGGAAATGGAGCACTCAATACTTTCATTGGGAAGTTCATCTCAGTATCGTTTGAAACCTTGTGAAGAATACGATATGGATGCAAAGGTTTGTGCCAAAAGTGGCTTATGGTGAAAGGCGTTTATGGGTCAACACTCTGCAATCATTCTGTCTGTCTGCAGGTATATCGGTGCAAAGTTAGCGAAAAACGACCGTTCAGGGTTAAATAATAGACGCACGTGAACGTAATGACTAAGCTAATAAACTGCTGATGTTTAGCTAGTTTTATTTAAATGATTAAGTAGGTAGTGAGTGTCGAATTTTATGATATAATTCCAATGCAAAGCAACTGAAAAAATACAATAATCCAACAGAAGAAATGCCTCCCTACCTGACAGGATCGATTTTAATGATAGGGAACTGATGCGCTCGATCAAGCTGTTGCAAAATGTGATGACTGCATAGAGAAAAGGGTTTTAACATCCCTGAGGAGCTTGAAAATGAAAATTGAGTCCGGAAATTATCAAAAAGCTGACCTGTGGTGTCATTTCGGGAAAATCGTCATTCGGGAACCAGACGAAGGTAAGGCTTAAGTAATTTATAATTAATAGATGAGTAGATTACTGGGATGTAAAACACAGGTACTTCTACCTTTGCCTTCCTTTCTTCGTCATGAGAACGCTGCGGTGTAATGTTTGTTCTCCATAAACAAGGCGTTGCTTGACTTTCCTATCATAATTAACTGGAGAATTCTAAGTTCTCTTTCAAAATTGTTAAGAGAAAGGGAAACAATTTCGACAGCCTATCGTCCATTGACACAAGTATCATCCATCACAGTTTAGTGTTTAGCATACATTAGTTATCGTCCTATCACAAATTCCTTATTCTGATTGGCTATTGTACTCGTTGGATAAAGGGGGTAAGTTTCTAAAGAATCTCTTGATTTGCGTCGGTGGGGGGGGAGGTTGGAAGGAATTTCAAGATAACGTGGTTTTATTAACTGGGTTGATAACGTAAACTGGCTACCATAAAGGGTTTCTAAAGATGACGTTTCGAGTGTAAACGCTTCGTTACTCGCTATCTTTTCCGGGATGGTGAGTAACGTGAGTTACCTAACATTGTATGGTTGTCATCAAAATAAAATAAAAACTTGAGTCTGTTCTGTTGTTAGGCTTCGGGCAATTAGTAGATCTATGGTAAAGGAAATTAGATTATTCGCTTTCGATTTCTATACGAGATAGTTTCTTTGAGCTTCGCCCTTACTAACTATCACGTGATAGAAATCGAGAGCGAAAGATCTTGTCGTTGATTGATTAATTTTAAAGGAATTGGACCTAGTCTGCATAGATAAAAAAGAAACCATTTTGAAGATGTAAGCCCTCAAGTAATTGAAATACCACATTTGTCATCAGCTGACCTCGAGGAGACATGGAGCATTGATAATTCAATCAAGAAGTTTCAAAGAACAGAAGAGAATAAAAACGCATGGCGTGCTACATTTAAAGAGGGCGTGAACCTTGCTGACAAGGTGGTGAGCGATACATTTCCTTATCAGATAGGGGAGGACTTCATGGCAAGACATGACTTGACGTTTTTGTCCCCGAAAAGCCAAACAATGCGATTTAAGGCAAGTTTACCACTTTCAACATTTGAAATGACATGAACCGGTTTCCGTTTCGAAGTTATACACAAATTTATGCACCGGAGGTTAACTGTTCCCATAATGCAATGCAACTTCCCTTAATGAATGCTTGTCCATGGTGGATGCAAAAAAGAGCAGAGGCATAATAATATGCGAAAATAATAATAGGATAGCTAAATGGGGATGCTGAGCACATTAATTTCCTTCTTATATAGGTTCAGAACAGTTCAGGAACACACTCTTTCAAAACTGATTGATGCTGATTTTCATTGATTAAAAACTTTCTCATTCGCTATTTTTTGTAACTTGTTGGACATCTACAATACCTTATATGTATTATGAAAATATTGCGTTCTCTCAATTATTCGTGTTTGGCTTTTTTTTCAAATTTTTAAGTGGCTTTTTTTTCATGACAACTTAGGTATGGGTAGCAAATAAAGATGTGGGAAAGAAACTTGAAGAAATACCGATTCCTTTCGATGACCTGAAAAATGTTGTTGAAGAACTGCGGTTTGAAGATGAGTCTACAAGGGCGAGGTGTCGAGGGTGGCTGGTTTTACACTCCAAGAAATTTCTCGATGTTAACATCATTTTTCCTGGTTCAGATGTTGATTGCAGGATAAACTTGCGTGCAGTTATGGGTGAGTCTCCCAAAGGTCTTATACCTCCAGTTGTCTGTGTGTGTCATACCGTATATGCATTACTTAGTGCATGAGTCATTCAGTGACTGACTGAGTGATCGATGGACTGACTACCTGACTACCTGCCTACCCCACTGACGTAGCACCATAGTTACTTTAGAAACTCACCGCCTTTGATTCACTGACTGACTGAGCGGGCAAAACGAGAAAGTGAGCGAGTAAGAGGTGAATGGGTGAGTAACTTAATGCATACTAATTTATATCTCCCTCCCTTGTTGCGAATGTGATAAGTATGAACTTATTCTTATGTTGATATTCTGGTCGATTTTTTGCGTCAACAGTCCAGTTTCGTTTACAAGAGCTAAGTTTCTGTTGGAATAAATTTTGGCCAGACGAGACGGCCGCTTTGTAGCCTAAAACTCACGCAAAATATGCTTTAAATCCTTAAACTATTAGCAAAGGTGGAAAGGTGAGTAAATAATAGACGAGTGAGTTAATGAATGCTAAACCCACATAAATATTAATGTTTGATCTATCTGTTTTTTTTCTTAGGTGATTTAGTTGCCAAAAACAACCTTAATTGCGAGGAAGAAGAGACACACCTCATATCAAATTATCTTTCTAAGGTGACATTTTCCGACGCCGATGGGTTACGCCTTCCAGAGGACGAGAAATTACCCCAGGGATTTAACTTCGTTCATCAGAGATGTTCCCGCCGGACTCTCTTCACCCCCCGGCCTGGATTTACCATGATTGTCTCTAATGAAAGATCCTGGTACAGTAATCTCAGAGACGAGGAAAACAAAGTGACGGTAGAAAAATTTGTCGTTAACAACACAGTTATAATACAACTTATTTTAGTACAAATTTAGCGTTCAATCACAAATGGTGCAATCTGAGTAGCTACGCTTCCCGTTATTTATTTCCGCGATAGTCACAGAGTACAGGAGGTTGATCCAACAATGTACAGTTCCAAACGATATAAAATGAGAAAAGAGCCTGTCTCGATGTTACGTTGCCAACGATTAGTAGATTTATAGTGAAAGGATTAAATTATTCGCTTTCGATTTCTGCGCTCACTCAATATCACGTGAAAGAAATCGAGAGCGAATAATCTAATCGTTAAAAAGAAAATTTTTCCTCATCAGATTACCCGATTTTTTTTTAAATATGGTGTTCATTAGTTTGAATCGCTGTCATCTTTCATTAACAGCGGTGTCGTTAACTAGGAGGTTCATTAATTTTCGAACTAATTTCTCTCTTTTCCTTTAGACGGATATTCACCTTCATTGTGAAAAATGGGATCAGCTTCTCAACGAAGAAGACTGGGAACCAGAAACAATCTGTGCCGAGTTGCCCGAGTTTCTTCATTTCGTTCGTCAAGTTCAAGATTTTATTTCCTGTAAAAGCAACAAAACAGCTGACCAAAAGTGAAGGATAATACGTGGTCGGTACATATTTTGATATAACTCAATTAAAATTGTTGACTTTTTTCATAAATATTCAAAATTCAAATTTGAATCTGTTGCGACCGATGTTGGTGTTTTTTCTGCCTTTGGTGTAGTTGGTAGTCGCTTGTTGGATTTTCATTTCTATCTCATCCTAGACTTGCCGTTATTACTTCAAAGAACTGGACCAAAAGTGGAGCAAAGAAGGCTTACTTAAGGATCTCAAGCAATGAACTTTGAAGTGAAAAAGTTTTTTTTTTTGTTTGTCATAAGGGACATAAAATTTGAGTTGTTTTCGTCTCAAGCGCACGCCCGACGCGATTGGTGCGATCCTCAAATAACGCCGTAGGATGTATTTCAAGAAGCCACAATGGTGGGAAAAGAAACATTAAGGAATAAAAAAATCCCTTATTCGACGGATCAAAATGTAAAATGAGCGGACACTTACCTCGGCACTTTAATTATCAATTTAACCATGCATCGAATAAAGTATATTTGTTAGGCCAAGTATGTAAGGGTTTTCCTCTTTCTTGCTTCTTAACGCGTTGAAACTCCTGATTAAAACTTAAGAAAAATGTGTGGGGAAGTCAAAAGAAACCATTCAAACAAATATTATCTGCTTTTTTATTTGCCCTGGTTTATCCGGTATAATTTACTGGTAAGCCTCGATTTGATGTACTCGACCCCCTTGAGGCGCAAAAATTTGCTTCAGTAAGAGGCAACAAATCGCCAATCTGCAAGACTAGGAATTTCAGCACGTTTTTTATGCTTTAATTTGCATGAAGCAATAATGAAACACCCTACATTTGTTATCTTATTCTGTCTATTAAACTATTTCATCACATCCGTTTGATTGTAATGTTTTGAAAATCAATTCTTTAAGGGCATCGAAGATATTTCGGACAATGCCAAACTAAAATGATAACAAAAAAGGAAACCACAAGTGAGATGTATAAACCAGCTACATATCCCAATGCCTCTGTTAGGACTCCTGCTATGAACAACGACAACTGTTTACCAAGAATTTCCAAAGTACCAAGGAAAGAGTAACAAGTCGTTTGCACGGATGGGGGTGCATTCTGGGAACATCGCAACATGAGTGTATAGACAGGAGTGGCCTGGGACCCATGAACTACACTGAGCATCAGGTATACTGTAAGTGAAAAACATAGAAACTTAGATAAACAATTAGTGATCAAGATGTCAGGCTGCTTAGTTGTTTCCACGTAAGCACAAGCCAGACGTTTGACAATTGAATTGCTCAGCTATGGAGTTTTCGGTGTACTCACGAAACCGTCCACAAGGAAAATGGAGGCACCTTGACACATTGCGTGATTGACACGTCAAGTAAATCGCTAAAGAGCAGAACATTGCGAGTAATTAGAAAGTAGCTAAAGTAATGTATCACCGCACATGACTCCTAATCAGACCCTCTCAGGAGTTAACACTTACCAAGGGCTATAAACTTCGTGTCATTCAACCAGACAACACAAAGCTGAGCGAAAACTGAACAAACAGATAACAAGGACGTCAGTAAGAAAAGCTGCGTAGGAAGTATCCTAGAATTGGACAAAAATGAAAACAACGGGTATTAACTTTATTACCATACCATAAATCTGAAAGTGTCAAATTTAAAGAAAGCAGGTTTACGTATGTGTACCCACCCCCATCCTTAAAAAATTTGTTGCCGTTTGGTAAATTATGCTGCTGTGCGGTACTTCAAAATTTGTACTACTGGAGTATGGCACTACGTTCATTCCTAAACATATCCGAATCTTTTTAAGTAAAATTATATCTTCTAGGATAAAAAAAAATACCCAGCTCGTGTACAGTGACCTCCACCCCTAGAAAATTGGAAAATTGGGTTCCGTTGCCGATTTTTCTTAACCCTTTAACTCCCATGAGTGACCAAGACAGAATTTCTCCTTACAATATCAGTACAATATCAACCAGATAAGTGATGAGAATAAAGAGAAATATCAATTTGGGGATAATTAGTTGATCCAATACTAAATTCTCTGAGCTAACATTATAAGAATTGTATTGTTGACAGTAAGGAGAATTGCAAATGTGATGTGGGAGTTAAAAGGTTAGGGGAAGGTCGCAACTTTGCACGGGTTAAAGGCTGAGCGACAAATGATGAAGTAAACGTTGGTAAGATTGCCAAAAGAAAGGCTACTTTTAATTTTCAGTCTTCATTTACGAGCAGATTCTATCTTAAAAACGAAAAAAACGAAAAAAAAAAACTATGAAAAATTTACAAATCCCCTTCATCTCACCTTTTTGCTGACAGAGCCACTCCCCACATAGAAGCAACAGCAATTGAGATACCTTGACCCACCATTCCAGACAAGAAGCCAATACGGCCTAGGCTCTCTCCGGTATCTATCAGGAACATGGTGAATATTGACTGCGAAGAGTGCGACGCATATTTATACACACACGCGCACGCTATCATCCATTGCAACCCTGGTGTGCGCGAGAACCCACTCATCCGTGTGGTCTCTGAGTAACGCAATATTTCAGGTTTAGGACAAACGTCGGGCGTCACGTAGCTTTTCGTGACAAAAAGTGTCACCATCAGGGAGAAATAAGAGATAGCGAGGGCAAAGAATATTTCTTTTCTCATTAAGGAATACTCCGCAGCTAATAGAGTCAGGCCTCCTCCTATTAAAAAGCCAATTTTGTAGCCAATGATCTGAAGTGAGCTTGCCCTTGATAATTGGTCTCCATGAAATTTTGACAGCAGTATTTTTCCAAGCGTCAAATCAACCGTGGCAGAAAATAGATTAAGTAATACCAATGAGGTTATGAAAATAATTCTGTCGTCAACCCTTGCCAGTAAAAGTGCAAGCGCAGTTCCTGCATAACTTGTCGAGAGCCAAAAGGTTTTGTTACCGTAGATATCGATGATCGGTGCCCACAGAGATTTTAAAAGCCAAGGGAACGTCAGCAGATTCAGAGATCCCACGAGAAGAAGCGACGATCCAGATTTGCGCAGAATTATGGGAAGATATCTTAGTTGAAGTCCGTATAGTATACCTTGCAAAGCATATTGTGAGGCCAAGAAAAATTGATACCACATACGAGGACCTTGCATGGTTGGATGTTACATAAGAATTTTTCCTTTCGTTTCTATCAGGACTCAACGGCTCCACGTGACCGATCATTTCCGTTTGCGTGGCCATCTGCGAGATGCCGGAAATTCAGCTCACGTCCTACGTCCCACGTCCGAGTAAAATCTTCTTAATCTCAAGTTATTCCTTACCGAGGTTAGAGATTTACCCTTAGAGAACATTCCCTTCAGAAAAATTATGACCAATTCAAAATTTGATCTTTCGGAGAACTATTTCTTACCGATCATTAACTGTAATTTTACCCTTGTGCATACCTCCTTTGGCAGTTTTTAAGCAAAAACAGTGATTTGCACGATAAAAATTACCGAAAATAATTAAACATAGAGGCTCTTTTTTATTATTTCGTTGAGAAATCTAGCAATCTGGGCCCAGTTGTATAAAAGGCGGATAACGCTATCCAACGGATAAATTGCCCTCCGGCGAATAAGTGATAGCAAAACGTATAGCGTTATCCACCGGATAGAGTTTTATCCAGTGGATAGCGTTATCCAACCTTCGAACAACTGGGGCCTGTCGTGTTTGGTTATTTGCGCTATGAATAGCAACGTCTTATGTCTTTTGGGATAAGGAGAATCTCGTCCACGTTGAGCTCAGGTCATTGAAGTGATTTTCAACCCCTAGCCATTTTGTATTGCTATTCTCCTATCAAATAAGCTTTCCATTTGACAAAATACCAGGGTTTGAGGTTTTTTAGAAATTTGGGTGGTCAGATAAAACGGGTTTAAGGACTTTGAAATCACGTGCAGGAGGTCGACGAGTGAAGTGGATGGAATGTATTCGTTTCACGACAGTGGTCGTATAAACATCTAAGTAACTTTCGACAGAATGCTCAAAACAAATTTACCAAACTTTAAACTTACTACATAAAGGATGACGACATGGATATCATTTTATAATCTATTGATGGATATTCAAAAGTCATGCATGGATAAAAGAGTATCTGTACGTACGACTTAAGCTGAAAGAAATCGCATATGGAACAGGAAATTTCCGAAATTTCCAAATTTCCGGATATTTCAAGGCAGTTTATGTAGTGAGTTTTAAGTTTGATAAATTTGTTTTGACTAATTTCGAATACAGGGAGGGAAACGGGAGTGTGGAGGTGGTAGTTCAGAAAAGTTCTTCGGCGCCGCTGTCGGAGCTTGTGTAGCTGCCCTATTTGTGCAGTAAAAACGATAGGCGATGGCTACAAGCAAGTTTACCACAACATTTTGGGGTCAATAATTAGAGTTGCGCAGGAACACATACGGGACCGCTGAGTAAGTTCTGATTCAGCTTTCGCTTTGTCAGTCCTGGAGAAATTATTTTAGGTGAATGAAGAGTTTTAAACCAGGACTCGTTTTAATTTTTTCACCCCTAAGAGTGATTGACATCTAATTTCTCCTTTGCAATATCACCACTGAAGCACACGTTAATGTCATGAGAATAAAGGAAATGATCACCAGTTTAAGAACCTCTTAATTGTAAGGTAATTTTCCTTGTCAGCACATTAGTAATGTACAGAAACCACTTCCTCAACTATCAATTTTTGTCACACACTCAAACAAGAAGGATAACAGGCTTTACAATAAGCAGTCATATCCTAATCAATTCGTAGTATCACATGAACTTTTACAGATCGTTTTCGTTCTCTTGACTCGGAGCCATGAAGAATGAGTTCATCTCTCATCATTGTACCGAAAATTACAACATTTCTACTCCAACGTCACAAAACATACGGTTGATTACTGAGGCATGTTACTTTCAACTTTGTAGTAATACGGGTCCTCTTGATCAGCGGTATCTTCTCTTTTGCTATGCTCTCCAACCAGTACCAGGTACCCTTGGTCATATTCGGCTACTTGCTCAGACTGTGAGGAAGTAGTAATTAGAAAATGCATGTGAGTTTTGTGACATCAACGGCATATCGCTATTTTTGTCTCCGACTGCGGAAAGGAGGTATTGCACTTTACTATAAGCAATTACAAACGAGATTGATTCGGTAGGTACATTTTTTCTCGTTGCATGATGACGTCCTCCTATTTTTAACAAGCACTGAAACAATATTTATTGCTCTGATGGTTTTGGAGCAATAGCTATAAGAAGACCTAATTGCTTTTTCCAAAAGTCATTTTTAACAAAATAATTTTTTTGTCATATGAAAGACGACTTCTGCTCTGCCCCACTTTGCGTTCCTGTCTTAAAAAGAGAACCACCTCTTTCTGGGTTAAGGCCAGGGTAGGAACTGTATGGGATTAAAATGCATACCTTGGACTGGAGCTGTTTCATAAGAGGATGATAAGCCGCTAAATAATCATTTTCAGTGGTGATATTAGACTTGTCAAGTTGTTGATACACTGTAGGATTGGTATATACTTCTCCCTCTCCCCAGTCTTTCGCAGTTGAACCCTTGACGAGGCCCTCATAGGCCGGTTGTTCCCATTGTGCCTGATCTTTTGATTTCCCGTCATACTTTAGTAGTTGATAGGCATTCTCATGTGTGTTTTGGACGTGATCTTCTGGTTTATCGACTATAATGGTGACAATGATATGAATAAATGTAAGGTATTCTGTACTTAGACACATGAGGAGTAGTAACCACTAACTAACTTGGCAGATACAAAAATCTAAATAGAGAAAACTAAAGAAACTATTTAAAAAACTAAAGGAAACTAGATCCATCAACTGCAAAGGTCTTTAGAAACTGAAGAAAGATATTTGTCGTCATTTCACAAGCAGAGGAAAAAGAGGAAGTCCTAGTCCCTTACAAAAAAAATGGAACCCAGACCTTCGGATTCCGCGTTCTGATGCGATACATGCAAAGTACCAGAAAAATGACACAAAAGACCTTTGCATTGCAGTCTCTTGATGCCTCTCCTTTGTCTTAATTTTCTTTTGGCTTTCTACTCCTAACGGTCCAAACCTGTAGTTTGGACCTTTACTTGCAGCAATTGAGAGGAGGGTTTTACGGTGTTCTTCAATATCGTGGTGAGGTAAAATACTCAGGTTAACCATTCACTTACACTGATTGGTACTTTGCTGATCGCTTCTTGAGTAACTTTTTCTGTCAAGATAAAAACAATTTATATGTATATATATATTCTCTTATACAGCTTGTAGTTAGTGTTCTTGCTAACTTAAAATTAAAATTATTTTGAGTGGATGCTCGTTATAAAGTACTTGCGGCGATGATGTACATCAGGAAAATAGAAAATACGGGAAAAATAACTTAAAATATAGATCATATCATAAAAACCAACTCACGCCGTTTGCTGTTTTCTCCAGAGCCAAGCTGATATGAAAAACATGGCGATGACTACCACAAGTGAACATAACACAGACACAACAATAACTATTCTTCTGCTGCTACTGTTTACGTCAGTTGACTTGTCTATTATCTTGTCTTTACCAGGACTGCTTCTTTCTGTTGTCATGAAGATAACAGTAGGAGTCTCTTTAGGTGTGGTGTCTGTGGCGCTTGAGGAAGTCGGCGGAGTCTTGGATGACTTCGTCGATAACTCGGTCTGGCTGATGGGGGTCGTTCCTGTGCTGTGTTTTTTTGTGGATTGGATCTCTGCAGTTGGTTTTGTTGTTGTTCCTTTTCCTGTTGTTACCGCTGCTTGTGTTGTTGGTGGCAGAGTCTCTTTTGATGTGCCAGTTTCTGTTGTTGATAATTTTGTTGAGGTGTTTTTTGTTGTCATTGGTTTCGCTGTCGCTGGTTTTGTTGTGGATGGTTCAGTACATTTTTCTGTGGCTAAAGATGATCGAGCGAATAAATTAGTACAATGAGGACTTGAGTAAATGAATATGTATCCCGTCGCTCTGTGACTGGTTAAGAAAACTAGTACCTCTCTCTCAACCAATCAGCTACGAAACTTAAAACAATCGAGTCCTTTGCGCTTTCCGCGCCTCAGGAGGTTTGCTCGTTTTTACTTGGAGTTCTCATTTTTTCCCAGTCATTTTTTTTCTCAAAATTATTTCGGTTTTGGTTTCACGTTGCACAATCCAAATGCACTCCATGAGGGATTCAGTCGGTTAGATTGATTCATCCTACTTTTTTTATGACTGACTAGAGTCTCTACCGACCTGTAAATGTCCCAGCTGTCTTGAACATGAAGCAGGAAGCAAAATCTTTTCCTTTGCCTTTCTGTTTACACTTTACGTTGATGACAACAAGATTCCCTGTGAAATTCGTTACCAATGATCTGTTCCACTAGATACAGATTAAAACACAATAAAACAGAAAACCAAAATTACATTGGCTCTTTCCCTTTCATTCTCAATGTATTGTTGTGGAAGAGATGCTTTTTCGAAAATGATCTGCTTTTGAAGGGAAAAAAGGACTTTGCCGAGAGCAGGAGGGATGAAAGTTCTGTAAGCAAGGCAGAGAAAGAAAAAGGAAAAATCGCTATGTCGCGACAGTTTATTGGCAGCCCCCTTCGCACCCCTTCCCTCAGAAATATTTATGGTGACGGCAAACGGCTAAGGCTAAGACAGATTGCGGGGAAGGGATGTTTGTCAATAGTCAATCCCTTAGCGACTAAAGCCAGATTATTGTTTACGACATCTTCTTTCTTTAAAAGTTGATGGGTACACAACTTTAGCGGAGTTTCCGACAGCTTAACTGTAAAACTCATTGAAATGTCTCTGGTTCGACTCCTCCGAACGGTTTTTTTATCGCTAAAGTGGACCCCCTACAGATGTGAGTTCTGGTGTAAAGAACGTTAATCCTCTGGTGATCTCACAGTTTGGAGCGCCCAACAGCATATCCTAGCTGACTCGTATGGCTTTGTTTACCTCTAGGTAGATATCTTTCTTGTTTTTCTTGGTCCAAAACCTTCGCTGAAAGTCAGTAAAGTTCGTCCATTGACCATCACCAACATAGCGAGCGGCTTGGACATCACAGGACTCGGTATCTTTAGGTTTTGCTCGGCAGAATTTTATCTTAACATCTGATTTAGTTTGAAAGTTGATAAGAGGTGGAACCCAGGAGCTGGCTTTGCAAACGTCTTTACCTCTATGGTCTTTTCTGTCGTCATCATCATCATCATCATCATCATCGTCATCACCACCAGCTTTCACTTCGAGGCGTGCACCACATCCTAACAAAATACAACCAAGATCAGGTTTTTCTCTTGATGATTTAACTTAACGCGTAGGGAGGGGAGAGGGGAGATCTACCTGATCCGCTAATAAGGTTCTGTAATAATGTTATGACCTCCTCCCACCCCCCACCCTTTCCTCCCCTTCTCATTAGCGGTTGATTGGTAGTCAAATGTCCCTCCTTTGCAAACTGTTGGGTAGACCCATTCCCCCTCTGTTCCCAGTGAAAACCCTGTGAGACCCTAATATCATGAGCTATAGCTGTGTTATCTCTCTTATCCCACGGTATCTCATATTCACTGTCACTCGATCGTAAAAATAAACAATGTTATAGATCATCTATCATCGACTAAAAGCGGCATGAACGCGTCTCATCTTATCTCTCCTTCACTTTAAACATATGAAAGGAATAAACAATAACTATTCTGAAGCCTGAATATATTTACAGCAGCCAGAGCTCGACAGGAAAAACTGAAAAAAAAAATATGACCTACCAATTGACCCTGGACCAAAATTATCCGTGTTCAGCTCCTGCAGATTCACACACTTTCCCAAGTGAAACAAATAAATTGGGTGATCACTATTACATTGACACCACTGACAGCAAGGTTTTGAATTGGAACAATTTCCTCTCGTGTCGACCGAACGAAAATTCTTACAGGAGTCGAAATAAGAAGATTGGCCACCCGCAATACAGTTTGACACAGCTGTACGATTTGGATTTGTGAATTTGTCATTCTTCTCCAGCCTTGTCACATTAACAATCAAGCAGTCCACGTTTTCCGATAAAACCAAGATTATCAAAGCTAACAGTGCCATGCTCGCCTTTACGATGCTCTTTCCAAATTTTTGCATCTTTACTCGCAAATGACTTCAAGTTATGAGAGCAATCATATGAAAGCTTAATTTTATAACAAAAATAGCCGTGACATGACCTTTAAACTTAACGTGAAACGCCCTCACAGAGTTCTTGCCTTGTCATGCTCGGGATGATTTCCTAACATGGGTGTAAAAATGCTAACTTGCTCTCGAATTAAAAATTGACGTACATAGCAATTTAATTAATGAGTAAAAGAAGTTTTGGAGGAGATGAGCCATTTTCCTATTTTCTGATATGATCCCTATTTTTTTTCGACGTTCACATTTCGCATCTCCTTAGGTTCTTTAGAGGTTTGCCATTCTCAGAGACTAGAGCTGCAATTTTGAGAAGGATGCTACTCTGGTGGGGAAGGGGGAGGGGGGTGGGGATACCTTAGGGATAAACCGTTTCGGGTGTAGGTCCAAAAATCTCTTTTTCTATGAGACTAAATGGAGAGAATATACATCTCTTTTTTCCACTGTTTAAGGGTGAAGACCGCGACAGCCATTTCCTGTCTGACGGCACTTGCGTCTGTTTCTCCTGTAACTCTAGTTGGGTCCCAATCCTCTTACGGTTACTAATTAGCTTTGCGTAGCAAAAAGACCGTCGAGGTTGATTGTAGAGTAAGTTATGACCAAATATGTATTTTTAGAATAAACTCTTACCCTTTACAAACGTTTGTTTAGAAAATAGGGGCGGTACAGGAACTGAGAGATTCATCAAGGCGGGTTTCATTGGAGGCTTTCAAGTTGTTTTTAGTCAAGTGGAACCTCTTCATCACAGTAAAGCTTTTCCTACAACCATTCTTGGAACGGAGATTTAATTATTGTATGAGTGATTTAAAAATCCTCATGGAAAAAAATGAGGAAAATGAGGTATTTGCCTCATCCAAAGCAGCCATGGAATCACAAATCGCCTAAATCGTATTAAGTCGTTTTGATTGCTGAATTGCCGATAAGGCCGAATTATTTTCACAGTGAAAAAGAATTCGAACTCACAACGAATTTGTGAAAAGCTTGCCAGAACCGAGAGTTTATTAACAGTAAAGAAAAGGAAAGTTGTCAAAAGAGCATTAGTAGACTTGATTACAATGGTAATCTGACCTTTTAATCCTACCTGATCGGCGATTTGAAAGCCATAAAGGGGAAAGTAGCGTGACACGTTACGAGACCAAGGAAACTTCTGCGAAGGAGACTAGTTTTAATTTTTCTATTCTGGCGCTGGTCAAAGCAGCGACCAGTTGGGGAAATAACTGCCTTAACCCTAAATTTCAAGGTAACTTGGCATTCGTACTTGATCTAGCATGAGGGAAGGGGGGGGGAGGGGGAGTCATAGACACCCATGCCCTCCCCACGCTCCTCTGAACTATATTTATTAATTCACTGAGTTGATAAATTTTCGAGATTGAAGCTCTTCATTTATTTCTGAGGAACCAAATTACTATTTGCATAAACACGAGGAATATATTTTGTTGACAAAAAATTATAATTGTTTCCAACTACCATTCTCACTACTAACGTTCAATTCAAATTTCAACAGTTTGATTTATAATTAAATTAGTAATTAATACAAGACTAAAGGTTGCTTAGCCGAATTCTCTTGAAATCACAAAAAATTTGTACAAATTGAAAACAGTGTCCTAAAGTACATATGCATTTGCCGCTGATAAATATTGAAGAAACACTTTTAGGTTTAATTTTTTGAGCTGCTCAAAGGAGGTATTAATAGCACAAGTCCGTCATTTAAATGTGTAATTCTTAGCAATAATAGTTATTGTTTTAAAGCTTTGGCTCTAACCTTTACAGTCACGGTGTGCAGGACGAAAGAAAAAGATGCTTATTTTTTCCAAAGCAAAACTTGGGAAAAAAAGGAGATTGGGACGAGTTCCTGAGACCATCAGACGATTGTTAACGACGCGGACGATCGTTACGGTCTCGGCAATTCGTATAGAACTCAGGGCGATTACTGTGATCATCTGGAAGCACCGCGTTCATGTTCTAACAACCTTGATAATCCAGAGGCTACCTTGCTTCGTCAGTGGTTTTCTGAAAAGAGTTTTCATAAAAATGTTCTCCATCGTTTTTCTTTGTTCTTGTTTAGCTTTTCTTTTGAAACAAATGGAACAGTCTTTAAGCTCAGAGGGCAAATCTCCACTTCACTTCTCGATCAATTCGACTTCAATCAAACCTCATTGGATTCCACATACTCAAGTCTCTTTTGCATCACAGTGTGAATACTTTTCGCCCATTAATTGAAAAAGCTATGAAATGTTAAATTCTGATTTAAATTTTGATGGTATATTAATTTAAGCTTACTATCAAAACATCGTTAAAACATACACCCAAATGAGGCTAAAACATTGACGTTAAAAATTCACAATTTATAAACAATGGGTGAAAGTATTTCACCGACACAGTTCAAACTGTTATCAGACCTTATAACAAATACGAAACAGTCAATCATCTGGTAGTCAAAGTTTTCATAACGAGTATCGAAAAGAAATTAAAGTTCTACAAAAAAATGGCGTCTAGTTTTAATAGCTTATTCTTTTACTGATGTTTCCTTTACTGATTCTTTCCATTTACTTTTAAATGATAGGGCTGCTTATTAAAAAAATTGTTAACTATATGTGAGATTTCTATGACACCCAGAAATCCAACAATTTCTTGTCCTTCCCCCTCAGGCAATTTGAATGGTGGGGGTTTCAGGCGATATGTTTGCATTCTCCTCCATCGGTGGTTTTGTATCTGTATCAAAGGTGGATGGTTCAGTAGGTCTGATGTCCTGTGGTCTCTGTTTCTCCAGGTGACCACTAAGTACAGGAGCCTCACCGTCTGTAATATGGAGTTCAAGGAGCGGGATGGACTCTTCAGGGTCATGTTTGAGGAAACTCAACCTGTTATCATCCTTCTTCTTTTCTGTATGAGGCTTTGGTTCTTCTGTTTTGATCGCTCTTAGTGCGGCGGCTTTTTCTCTTGCCACTGAAAGAAATCAGAAAATGTAATATGACCTAAAATATATTTGAACAAAAATAAGGGTTAAGGCAAAGGGTGTAATGACACTTCGGCCTTGCTACGAAAAGTTTTAGATTCACCATTGGTTGTTGCCGATAAAAGTGCTTAAAGAAGCATATTGGCAAGCTCCGATGTCCTGAGCTTATCCCAGTTCGGGATACGGCAGTATAGTTGTTCAGTTTCCTTTTCATAAAGTGAGATGGAATGGGAACTGCGGGTAGCCTTGTCCTCTAGAATACTTTTCAGTCAGGTTTCCGCCCTCAAATTACTGGTATGTATGTGGACTTTAAAGTGAAGAGAGGTTCTTTGAGAAGCAAGAGTCTTGCCCAGGATCAAGAATGACTCCCGGCCAGGAATCGAACTCAGACCTCCAGAGGCGAAGTTAATCCTCAAGATTAATTTCTGGTGAACGTATAAAGTAGTTCAAAACTTTCAGTCTTTTCACTGAAATACGTAATGTTATTATATTTTCCTTTTAACATGTAAAGCTGTGCAGGACATTAACTTACACTCGCGTTTGCGTTTACGCTGACTCTCTCGTAATCTGACGTGTCTGCAAAGAGAAAAAAGGACAAATTGCACAGTTTAGGTTTAATAATGCATTCAATTGTTTAAGTATCAAACAAAATTAATGATTCTAAGATAACATATTTCCACTCATACCACGGATGTTGTGGGATTGCAAGGACGAGGGTGAGGGGGAGGGATTAGGGGGAGGGGGTAGGGGAAGGGATAAGGGAAGGGATAAGGGGAAGGGGGTAGGGGAAGGGATAAGGGGGAGAGGGTAGGGGAAGTGGGAGCACCCTGTAAGTTCTTAGCCGCTCATGGCATGGCTCCTGGATTTCCACATAATTAACATCACGATACAATTAAGCATAGATGAGATGATCTCAAACCGCATGCACTGGAACATAACTTTTAAGTACCAAAATTAAATGGAAAAATTTGACTTATCGAAACGTTTGGTAAGTCTTCCTTGTTGCTCTCCAAAACTCACTAAAGCTTCAAATGAACTTCATTCATCTTTTGACTCAAGCATACTTTACTCCAAGCACCTTGTAGGGCCATTTTAAAGACAGTGGGAGGGGAGGGTGGTGAGGTCAGAGTTTTTAGTGCTCTTAATTTAAAAAATGCGGGTCTTACGTTAAAATCCTTTCATTTGCCTCTCATTTACTTGATAGTCCTGAGTAAAGCTTCCCTTCCCTGCTATGCTTTGTGAAAAGCTGGCAGGTCTCGTAGTTTCCATAATCAACCAGGATTTTAAACCAGTTTGTTAGTAATTGTACTCTATTAGGTTATAGATTTCTTTCGCACGTGTTAGAATCGAGTTTCTACTCATATCTATCAAAATTTACTGTTAGATAAGGGTCATTGGATATGAATTAATTATTACATTAATATTAAATATTAAACATAGCAAACCAACCTCATCTGGCGATTGCTTTTGACCACCATAACTATTACAAATGCAATAATCCCACTTATAAGAGAAACCACAATGTAAATAGAAATCTGCCAGCCCTCATTAACTTTATTCCCTTCAGTCAAAGCGTCTGCATCAGAAGGTTCGTGAGGATGACCCATTTTGCCACGCGGGCCGGTGTGATCACTATCATTTTTATGCGTGTCATTTGACTCTCCATGGTGAGTGGGCTTGCTGTGGTGGGTGGATTCATTGTGGTGAATGGTTGGGTCTTCTGTTACTGGTTTAGTCTTCATTTGTGTTGTTTGCGGTTCTGGAAGCGATGTTGTTTGTTTGACTGGTTTTGTGACAGGGACATTCGCTTCCGACGTCGGACTATTCTCAGTTGAGGACTGCGAACTCGCCTTTGTCGCCTCCCCTTCAGGTGTGGATGGTAATAGAACTCTGGCGGTCATAGGGAGAGAGGAAGTAACCAAATCTGCAACCAGAAAGGGAAGTAAGATTAAAAAAGATTTTCCACTTGTAATAATTTTTTTTTTAAGAGTGACTAGTCTTCATACACCCTTAATTAAAAGTTAAGGAATAAGAGTTGATGTGAATTTTTTCGTAAATTTAAAAGTATCATCACATTAACCATTAAAAATGACTTAAATCGATTTGCAGTTGAAGGGAATTGTGGTAAAGATAGAGGTTGCTTACTATCCATATTGGAAGACAGCGTAGTCTCCCTCCATGGAGAAGAGATGACTTGGGAGGACATGATAGTACTCTTAGGTTTCAATGATGTCATCATGTCGTCTTGTAACTGTAGCAATGAAGATGATGTATTTTGCCTTGACGCTTGAGGTGACAGTTTCCATGGCGATGGTTCTACTGTTACATACGTGGTAGTTCCTATCATGTAAGCAGTAGTGAATTTTTTTAGGTGTGAAGACGTAACAGTTTCCACTGCTTGATATGATTTCGTACCTTCCTTTGTTTGAGAATACATTGACTCCTGGCTCTGGTTTAGGGATTTATTAATGCTTACGTTTTGAGAAATTGCCACAGTGGAAACTAAGGTCGTTATTTCTGTAACTAAAGGTGAAGACGTGCTTATATTTGCTGGAGAGAACAAAGTTAGTCTTGATGAAGACATTAATATCTTTGAAGTTGAAGGAGCTCGTTCCTTGAGGTTAGAAGATGTCTTTAAATCTAGTACTTTCGATGGGGTAAATTCGTCTTTGACTTGTGAGGACATCGGTATTTTTATTGAAGACGAAAATGGTAAAGAGGAGTTTAATTTTTCTAGAACAACAAGAGTGGTATTGATTTCCATATTACGTGAAAGCCTCACGACTGAGGATGCAGAAGGAATTGAATCGCTTCGAGATATTTTTACCAGCGAAGATTTACTGTAAGACGAAGCTTGTTTACTAGAAAATGAGGAAGGTTCGTTTCTCAAAGTTGACAGAGATGCCCTTTGCTGCATGCTTTGAGTTGAGGGTGATGGAGGGGAGCTAACTTGTTTCTTCAGGCTTGGGGAAACCATGATTTCAAACACCGGAGAAACTGGTATTTCCTTCTTGACCGGAGTAAGCCAACTGATTTGTTTTGACAGACCTGAGCTAGCCGTAGAAGAACCTTTGTGTTCACCAGCTTTTGATGCCTTTATTCCCAAACCCTCGGATGAACTCATAACTCGCTTGGGTGAAGATGATGCTTTCCATTCGTTTTGAGATGTCACTCCTTTTTCTCTTTTCGGGGTTACGTAATCAACAACTGTAGACTTTGAAGTAATCTGCAGTTTTACCACCGATGACGTGCTAACGAAATATGACGTCACGATAGGTATTGTTACCGTTAGGTCTTTGTTACTTGGCTCGACGGACGTTGTTCCAGAGCCTCCTGTAGATGCAGGTAGAGGTGTGGTATCGACTTTTGCTGGAACTGTGGACAAAGTCATTGCTGTTGTTGTTGTTGTTGAAGCTTGGGTAACTGGAGTGGATTTCAATATTTCGTAAATACCATGGGTTTCCTCTACGATTTCACCAGCCTTCATTCTATCAGCTTGAGTGTCTTTGCTTCTCACAAGCTTTGCATGTGAAGCTGATGGCTTCGTGCCTAGGGAAGGTTGAGTCGTCGCCAGTTCAACGCTTAAAAAGTGACAAGAAGCTAAAATGTAAATTGCGGCAGTCCTCCTGCTCCAAACCACCTTACAAAGTCCTTCTGGCATCGCTGAAGTTACCAATCAACTTTCACGTGTTCGAGAGATGTCCCACTTTGAAATTCTGAGAATGAGTCTCACCCGCTTTCTGTACTTTGGCCAGTCGTATTGCTGTTGTTGATGAATCTGGCCAAGTGCTTAATTCTTATTGTTTACTCTAGTTAAACTTCAAATAAAGCAAACTGCATCTTGGGAAGTTTCTCACAGATGTACATTACTGTGAATGCTAGAATTAATTTTCCCACTGCACTTTTTATAGCAGGATTTTACTCTTGGACTCTTAGAATAAATATAAACAGATTCGTAGTATTATTGATTTATAAACTGTCTGATATATTACATTGACGAAAACGGGCGCCGTCTCTCTTCAGGAGAGACATAAATATTGTATGTTTAACTGGAGTCATTTGTCATATTTTTTTGTTGCTTCGTTAGACCCTAGAAATGAGGTACTCAAGTTATAAAACCATGGAGAATTCAACTAATTTAGAAAATTGCATGTTGATAATGTTGAGTCATGCTAGAATATTGATATAGGATCTTACACGTGGGCATTAGAATCATCGGATAATGATTGGCTTCCTTCAAATGGCCGGCTATTGGTCAATGATAATTTATCACACGACAGCTATTCCCCGAAGGAAAATTTCTGCAGTGCCTCTGTCTCAAAGGAGAAATAAGCGAAAGAGGAAAACTTCCAAATCGATTTTCAAAGAGAGAATCTTCACACCAATTTGCGAAAATTGGATGCAATCATTATTTGGAATATTTTTGACAATTCGATATCAAGAGACCATCTATTGTCTATTAGATTTCGTCACTCTATTAACGCCACTTGTCTGATGTATTCATATTGTGACAATCAAGGAGAAAGTAGACTTTGAACAGACATGTCACAAAGATTTTACAACTAATTCTGGGTTTGCTTTTCATATGACAGAGTACTCAAAACGATTTTTTCATTATGTGGAACATATATTGATTAATAGAAGACTTTCTCTGAAAAATTGTACATACGTAAAATCAGTAATTTGCTCATTTTGCTTAAGTTTATTTGACAATAGGCCTTGCGTACAAAAAGAAATTTTCCACTGATTTTAACGGTCAGAATTTGAATTGATCTGTTTTCGCTTAATTGTTTTTGTCTTTTTATAGTCTCTCTGTTGACTAGCAGTTTTGAATACAATTACTAAGACCGTACTCAACATAAATATTGCTTGCAATCTTTCGGGATTCTCTCAAAGAAGAGTTGGGTCGGATTTCGGTTTTTGTTTTTGTTTTTGGCTTAATACGCATTGTTCATTGCATTTTTTTTCCGTATCTACATTCTGATAGGTATTCAGTGACAGACGACGTTATTCGAACCTTTGATCGTTTTAGCTTTAGTTAATGACTCACTTTCCGGCGTTTAAATATATTACAATAACCAACGTCACGCTTGATTTGAAATTATGAATATTGGAAAAGAGCGGAGTATTGATCCTCGAGTCAATACTTCAATAGCTCGGGATAAAGTTCTTTGTAAGTCCTTTGGTCAATATTCCAAATGACAAAATAGTTTTATGGAAGCCAAATGCATGGTGGGTTACATTAATTTCTCAAAACAATCCGACTTCTGCCTCATGATGTAAAACGTTAAAGATTTTATTAAGTTAATTAAAGTTGTCATTATATACATAAGGTGCTAGCGCATTTATAGTGTTACAGTTGTTATGGTGGCGCTTTTTGCCCTGATTTGGACCTTGCAATTATACAAATGAAGATCATCTATGCAGGGTTTAGCGAGACGAACATAAAACAGCGTGAATAACAAATACCGCAAACATGTTAAAACTGACAACACTTTTTACTGATTTGACCAGGTCGAAACTGTGCCGCTCATTGGCTTTACAAAACGTTTTACTCACCTTCAGCGCTCATAGTCGGTGTAGTTGCATTTTCACTTGAAACGACTAAAGCTTGGATCAAAAATACAACAAAGAAAGAGCTCACTTTTGTCTTGGAAAAAGCCATGACCTAACTTGTTGTTAGATTTGTCGATTACTTCCACACTTAAGCACCGAGGTTTTCAGATTTTTTTTCCGTTCGTTCAGCTCTTCCACGAAACAGGCTCTGTCGAGGTGCCCACAAGGTGCGATATGAGAAAGTAAGTGCGCATAAGTTATATTTTCCGTGAGATTGTTGTAGACTGTAATAAGCACAGACCAAGTTTGACGCGACGAATAACAATGATGTTGTAATATCACCTGGATGATTGAAAAACTTCAATATGACGTTTTTTTTTTTTTTCATTTTGTTTCGTTTCGGACCATCCCATTTCCCAGCTTAAAACAAAACATTAAGGAACGAAGAAGAGTAAAATGAATAAAATACGAAAAAAAATTCCAGATTAGAAGTTTCTGATTTTTCCAAGAATATTCAATGTGATAGTGCTCTACTGAAAAAAAATCGTAATTTTTGTTCCATATTGAGTAGTGTTCGCATATTTGACCTCGCTTTTCAGGAACCAACATTGCTCTCCAATAAGCAAAACTTCAAGTAGCCTCTTTTTATTGTATCCTGCTAATTATAGACAATTGACACTAGATTGCGCCGCCAGAAACATAAAGCTTAAAGAGTTTCGCGATTTATCCACAACAAATTGCGTAAGTTCTTGTGTCATTCTAACTTCCCCCAAAGTGTTTTCATAATCGAATCTGCATTATAAATGTTGTTTGAGTATAGCATGTCCCTTGTGATAATTTTTACGACCTCGTGATCAACATTACCAAAGGATTTGATATTAATCTGAGAGGTTGACGTCAAAATTGATCAACGGACTTTGGAAAACATTTTGTGCTTATTATGTTATATCTCATTACATTAACCTTATTGAGATGACTTTGCTTTCAATACATTTTTAAGCTTCTGAAAGTTTAAGAGATGGCACATGTGTCATGTCTCTTATTAATGGCTCTTCAGGTTAGCCTTCACTTTGCGCGAATATTACAACTATTAAGGGAGAGTAAAAAGATCAGTCTTCGTTAAAAAATATTTGCCAGAATAGAATTCTTCGTTTAATTTGAATCTTAATTATTTATCTCACAAGGGTTATCAAAGTTATCGTATATACGAATATAGATTCGATATCCCTAAAGCAGTCTTCCTTCAAACATCTAAAACGATGTCTGTCTTAAGAAAGCAAAGTAAATCTCTTCCATCTCGAAAGAAAAGATGACAGAAAGTTTTGCCATCGCAATAATTTTCCATTTTCCATTAAATACATCTCGTTAGTCTTAGTATAGACAACAAAATAAATTTCGGTATAAGTTAGAGGGGGTTAGGATAAGTCGTATCCCTTTGTGTCTAATTCAGAAGAATTTGTCATTAAGTCTTTTCTCATATCCTCAATCGCCCTTAAAACCGCATCCCTCACATGTCCTCTATTGAAGAGTTAACGTCATTGACAAGGGCTATTCTTTTTGTAAACAAGGACGTTGGAGCTGTTGGGAGAACCACTAGTACCGTAGATCTTCAGATTGTCGCTGGCCAATCTGAAACCACAAGAATGCAGCAGATCTGTTCTTGCCGGCAATTTCTGCTACTAAACATACACGATAAAAATTGAACTGTAGTTAACTTCGAGCAAGTTTGTAGTTTTTCTCAATCCTCGATTTACTTTTACGACGACTGTAGACTGGGTTATTCAAAAAAAAAATGACAACGGCAAATGACAAAACATCTTGATAGCAAACAGACAGAGTTCTGCTGTAATTTTTTTCATGAACAATGCTGGCGAAGTTGATGACAATTTCCAAACTTCACTAAGATAAATCCTGTTGTTAACTACTGTCAGTCGCACTCTCGGATACCACGATGTTTTAAAATGCCTAACCTCTCTCTAGACATTTTAAAAAGTACGTGACTTTCGTTACTCGTCAGGATCGGCATAGTCATGATAGCACGAAGAATCTTCATCGGGTACCACGTGACAGTTCTTGTTATCCACCTCATCATCGTCATCGTCCAGGTCAGCGTAATCATGATAGTTAACATCGTCTGTTATTGCCTGCTCGGGATTATCATCCAGGTCGGCATAATCGTGGAAGTCAGTATTGTCTTTTATTGCCTGTTCATGATTGTCCTCATTATCTGATAGAACAATAATACCCTCTGGTTCATCATAATCATGAAAGTCTGAAGACAAACCATTTACGGGTTGTTTTGTTGTTGCAGGATATTTTATTTTCCTCAGAATCGTGTCCGCTGGAGGTTCTTCATGATCTGAGTAGGAATCCACAGAATGGTGAGGAGACGTTTTAAATGAATCTGAAACATAAAATCACAATAATGATAACCAAGTAAAAGAGAGAATAATGGTCTCTTAACATCGTAGATAAATTGGTATTTACCCACTCTCGAGCCACGTCGTCCATCCAGCCGGAGATTATCCTGGTCTCTCCAGCATGAAGTGACTAGGAGTGTTATTACACTCCCCTGGATGGGATGTTAGTCCATCGAAGGTGGTACCCCCCTCCCCCCGTGAGGCATTCGTCAGTTTTCCCTAACAGTTCACTTGAACTCATTTATGCTCCTGTGTGGAGAGAGGCACTGTGAAGATAAAGTGTTTTGCCCAAGAATACAACACAATGACCCGGTAAGCTCTCGAACTCAGACCTCTCAACTCGGAGTTCAGCGCGCTAACCGTTAAGCCACCGCGTCTGCTGACATGAATTGGACCTTCACCCAATGAAAAGGAAGACAAGTTCACACACCTTCACTATCAGTTCTCTCTTCTAGTTCTTGGTAGTCCGGAATCTTTTCTTCATCAACGGTCTCCAGTTTCTAAAGAATAAAGTTAAGAAGTTAAGTATCATGTCTGACATGAAGAGTGACACTTTGAGTTCGTCTTCATAATTTATCGTTTTAACGAGTGTGGGGCGACAAACCTAAATGTAAAACCTCTCAGAACCGAAAGTGCACCGACGACTGAATTCTCAAAACTAGGATTAAAGAAATAAATGGCAATTATTTTGGAGAAGTTACATTTAACAATTAAAGTTAAGCTTTGGCTAACCTGTGGATTGGCGTTGTCAACCAGCGTTTGATAGTCTCTTTCATCTTGAGGTTCATCCTGTATCAAACTGAGGTAATTGGACGAACGAATCCCTGGATTGTTACCGTTAGCGGGTCTCTGACCAACAGACAGCGATCTGTATCCCGGTAGACTGTCTGAGCGCTCAGCTGGCTTGGTGTTCTCCACCAGTGGCTGATATTCTAGTCCTTCCTCGACTTCTTCGCCACTTCTAACCGAGAGTTTCGCCATTTTTAACGTGTCCGAAGCCCCTCGCTCGTAAACAGGGTTACTTGCTGATAGGAAGAGTTAAAATTGGTTAGCTTTCTTACCTCAAACTTGAAAAATCATGTCATAGTACCCTCTAAGAGTCCCAAAACCCGAGGAAGTCTTGACAGGATGTTCATTGGACGTTTCAAAGGGAAAAAATCTGTTGCACTAGTCGTAACATATTTGAAAAGGACTGGAGTTATGCGAGGATATGATGAAAACAAGGGGGGGCAGATAAACAACGGAAGTCTGCATACGTGAACACACTTGCATAACTCAAGCGATGAACTATTGGTATTGTTATCCCTCCTGGAGGGTATGTGGGTCTATCGCGGGTATTTCCCCTCCCCCCCCCGAAAAAATTGCAGATACCATTTGCACTCCTAAGTAAAGAGATGCACTTTGATAGTGAAGCCACCTGCCTGAGGACAAAGCAAAATTACCCTGGTCAAGCCTTGAACCCAACACTGGATTAAGATTTCAGGAAGTTCACAATAAAGCCAATGTTCTGGTTAACAAAGTCTATATCACGATATAACAGTGTTTTTTTTTTTATCTTTTTAACGTCTAAAATAGAATCTTACCAGGTTTGGCTCTTTTTGCTATTGCAAAACGTCTGCAAAAAAAATGACACAAAATTCACATCATGAAATTAGTTTGCTGAACTTCTGTTTGGCACACCATTAACTTCAGATTAATTCACATACCTATGAGAAGATAGGATTTTTAACACCTAGTATCAAAACTTTGGAAAAAGTTTGAAAAAGAGAGGGTTGTTCGAAGTTTTAAAAAATTATAAACATTTATTCCAAGACATTAAAGATTGCATGGCAAGTCAACACAACTTAAGTAAATATATGTTATTCAACAGACGGGAGATCCGTATTGGGAAAAACTGTGCCCGAGGTCTTAAGTACACAAGACAGAGGACACAGTTTTTCCCAATACGGACCGACCTTGGCTGGTGAATAACATTTTTATTTTTTCTAAAACCTAACAAATGGTTGCGAAAAGAACCTGAATGATAAAGGACTGTAATTACGGCTAGATTCTCCATAAACGGAGATTTAAAAGGCTTCCAAGAAAACTTCGAAACATTTTTTCGGATACCGCCCGCTGTGGGGAGAATACTGCCCGCTCTCGGAACCAATCAGATTGCTGGATTTGTAGAATACCGCCCGCTCACGAAATGAGAAAAAAAAATGTGAATTATTATGCCCGATGTAGTTGAAGGAGCATTAAAGCGTATTTCATGGTTTAACTCTTTACAGCCTAACATCAACATTTATATTCTCCACACTGTTCTCTATACACTTAATAAGCTGCTGACAAGAAGAATTTGTCTAATGAACAATCAAGAGTTTCTTTAGTAGGTGATCATTTCCTTTATTCTCATGACATGAATGCGTAAAGAGAAATTAGATGCTAGTCACTCTTTGAGGTTAAAGGGTTACCAAAAAAAAGCGAGTCCTATAAATATAGATTTTCTCTCGCTCTAGGGAGCGGAAGGAGGGGAAGCCTTGGGAACGAGGTTGATGATTACCCAGCATACCTTTTTCGTTTCCACACGATGCAAATTACGACCAAGCAGGTTAGTACAACAATCAACGCAGAACCCAGAGCCACCAAGGCAATGAGAATTATGTTGAACTTCTGTTGGTGGCCTTTAAGTGACGTTACAATAATAATCTGAGTGCGCACGGTTGACGAAACCAAATTGATTTCTGTCGAGGCTGATGACGTCTTTGCACCTGTTGTAGTGTTCCGCTGGACAGGAGTACTTGTGACACGGATGCTTTTAACCGATGGCTTTGAGACACGGGTGCTTTTTACCGATGGCTTTGAGACACGCGTGCTTTTAACCGATGGCTTTGAGGTTGGTACGATGTCAGTAACTATAGGACGCGAAAAATATGCATAATTACATTACAAACCAAGAAAGATTAAGTTTTACGGAGACTCGCTCTAGGCCAATGTTATAATCATGGTTATAGAGATCAGTTAATTGGTTTAAAAATTGTTTCCAATCAATTGATAGCTATGTAGCTCTGCGACATTGGAGATATGAAGAGCATCATACTCACGAGATCCATTCTTCTTGAAAAACAAACAAGAATTTGAAACGTTTCCTTCGTCTCCATGACACCGCAACTTGAGCGAGAAAATGCGTCCATCGTACTGCTTTCCAATGTCATTAGTCCACTTCACAAATGTCAAATAAAAAAAGATGTTGAGATAAGTAAGATTGTCGCGGCAAAGTACATTAACATCCTAAACCTACAGCAATTCTCTCTCGCTAACGACTGAACGAAAAAAGGTTGTTCTACCATCACGAAGCGGCCACTTATCATTTCGACCAATCCAAAAGAACAAGGACATAGAAATGCAATGGAAAAGAACAAAACCGTCAACCATCCCTTGATAGATGCTTTTCTTAGATTCAATTTTTTCTCATGGTTAGGGAGAAGGTTTGCTGTCAAGCATATTGAACTGTTCTTCCGCAAAATACCAACGACTCTCTCAGTCTTCCTTTTCTCACAACAGGAACATAGCAGCCTATTAAACAACAAAACTACTATCCTAAGCACTTTTTCGAACCTGATAAACGTAGCACGTTCACCTTTTCTGACAGTAAATAAAGGGGTTTTCAAAATTCCCTATGGCATTAATATAGTGTGAAAAGTTACATTGAACTTACTTTGAGAAATAGCTTGTTCTCATCATAGTCAGGATCTGGATGAATTTCGACAGATAGTGTCGAAAGAGGTTTGTCATTAGATAAAAAGTTTTCCCAGCTACCATCAAGATAAAGCGATTCCTTCGGTAGTATCTCGCATCTCGACAATTCCTTGGTAAGTTTAAAATGTAGAAGGGCAACAGTAGGTTTCTGGCTCCATGGACACAAATAAACGCTTCTGTTCCCAGGATGTCTTGTGTTAAGAGTTGCGAGAAGTTCACGGTGACATTGGCGATAACTGTCGCCCACAACAGCACGGTATTCACAACCTAACAGGCAAAGGTATTATAGATTAATTCCTCATACTGGTCATGCTTCGATCAGCGCCAAACTCTCTAAGGCGCTCTCAAGCTTTAAAACAGTCTTTAAATGCGCCCCTATCGCATTGGAGACGAATGAACAAAAATACTCCAGCTGGGCACGAGCGAAGGTCCAGTCAGTGCTGAGCTTTATTAAAACGTTCCCCAACTTTAAAACAGTTTTTTTATGCGTTTTTTTAAAAGGGGTGTTTGATCCACACTACGCTATGGCACCACAATGCATAGGACACGTCTTAACAAACTCTTTCCCCAAAGTGCATTCTCTTCCTCCCCTAATAAAATAACTCTCTCGAGAGCTTTCAAAGTAGAGAAAGAAAGAGAGGAGCCTGGGAAAGAGGTTTTTTCCGGAACACTTTTCCATCGCATTCCGAAAACAAAAATCACATTTCTACAGCGGAGGACTCAGTTCTTCACCCAAATATGTAAAATCTTTAACATTTCCCATTGTATCCCGCATTTCCGACGCAACGAATTACAAGGAGATTACGACTTGCACATAAACCGTAAATAATGAGAATACTGGTATATCAATTTTCCGCCAGCGTTTCCGCTGTATGATATCCTACAACCGGCTAAATCTATTGAAGATTCGATTTTTCCGAAAACCTACAAAACAGCCCCGCGTTTTGATGAATCACACAATTCCTTCAGCCTTTTTAAGCTAAACTTTTATAAAACTTGTCAATCAAACCCCAATAGCGATAAAAATCTGTGGTTGAGTAAATAGACTTGATAAATGACCTTGAAGAGGGCTCCAGCCATCAAGGTTTCATTCATTTCCCTCCTATAGTCCATCACGAAAACGTTGTCGAAGTTTCGATCGAATATGCGCTGTGCATAGTTGTATATTACCTTGATACCAGTTTAATTTTCACCATTGTTCTCTAGAGTAAACTTTTCGATTTCCTCGCTATAAGGAACAGAGTTAAATAAGTAACCCGTAATAGCGTTTTAAGAAGCTTTATAACTATACAGACTTACTACGACAAATCTGATCGCTTGCCAAAACAATCGATAGCAAAATCTTGTCTTAAGCGCTTCTAATACAAAACATGGGTCAAAAAACACTCCAAGTGCTTTTTTTAAGCAAAACAGATAAAACACAATTAGGCGTTGCTGATTTTGACGTGTAACAAATATTTGCTATCAGCTGTTTGAGACATTAGCGAAAAAATTCGCCATGATTGAAAAACCAGCGTAGACTATGAACAGCGATGTGGCAACTGAAGATGTGGTCATGACTTTTATCGGATCCTATCATCGCCTCTTAACGTCTCAGTCTGTCGTGTTTGTCGCCATGTGTGCTCCATATGTATAGAGCAAAATAGAGACTGTGGTTGAACGCAAATACTGGTACTTCGAAGAAGCAAATCACAGATCAGACGAAATAAAAACAAAGGTCTTTAAAAATAATAGCGGGCGAATGCAGCAGGATCCACGGAACCGAGCGAAAGAGTCGAACCGCTCGAGATCCCGACAACACTGACAACATGACCCGCTCGTGCCGTGTCGATAAAATACAACTTGTCGAGACTTGAAAAAGATTCTCCACGTACACTGATGACTTACCTTGAATAACACTTTGAGCTTTCAAAATGGACATTAGTTGCTCGTCAGAGCGACACGTCCCATTGCTTTGAAGATAGGTTGGTTTCTCTCTCTCGCAGTTACAATAACAACAATTGAACCCGCAAAATGGCGAGTTTTCTCCATCGAGGACGCATCTTGCACCACTCTCATTACATGATCTGGAAGAGTTTATGTTTTGAAAAAGATCACCTTCTGTGTATCGTGTAATATTGAAAGTACTTCTTCTGCTTTCCACCACAAGAATAAGTGCAAATACAAGTAATCTCAGCGAGAGATTAACGAATTTCTGTGACATTTTGATCGGGTAAAGGACAAGTGAAGACTGGAGCAACATTGTGAGAAAACCGGTTGTAAAATCCGTCAGAAACCGCACATGATTCCCACACCATTGGCCGTGCCCATTAATCCGGTTTTGTCTGTTGAGTTTCGCGGCTACTGTCAGGAAATCGTGTGCAAACGCCTTTCATTTTTCTATCTCTAACTGATATTTGAGAACAGTTTTCGTTTCCAGTCGCCCCACCTTTCACATTTCTAGATGTCTCACGTCTTCAAAAATAATCAAACCACTTTGAGTATCTCAAGAATAAATAGGATTAGTTACTTTGATGAAAACACAAAAAATCTACTGATAATTATCGATAAAATTCTTTTAGGACACCACAACTCACCAAACGGCAAGTTGGGGGAATTTCCGGTCTTTGGTGACAAACAGAAGAGCGTGACCTGTCCAAGAACTTGCTATAAGCGGAGGTTACCAAAGTATAACGTAACGCCACCAGCTGTGTATTCTACAGGAGACCAACATTTCTGCTAAGAATGAAAGGTATATAATTTATTTAATGTTCCAGAAGACCAAAACGTCTCAAAACGAGGCCATGCAGGTCATATCGTCATCGAAAAGGGCGAATTCCTCAAAATCCAATTTCCTGTTTTCTCTAATAATTTCAATATTTGTTCTATGAACCACTCATTTGACATTTTTTGTCAAAATCTGTTTTAGATAAATCAAGGATTGGTAAAGAAAATTGCACTGTAAACAAAGGGTGAGATCATCCTAGTCTTGAATGCTAATCACGTTAGTCACCCATGACTTGCTCAACATGAGATAGTAAAATGACGTGAGCATAGAGTCGGTGGCCTTCATGTACATGTTTTTGTAATTGGCACAACTCATGATTCAGTTAAGGGGAAAAGCAAAACGCCTTCATTCGCAGTACGCCTACAAAGTATCTATTTCTCTCCAACGCACTATTAAAAAGAATGTTTTCTCTCGTGGGTGACATAAAGCTGTTCGTAAGCCAGAAATAATAATGACCTTACTTCCTATTAGGGTGAATCTTTGACTGGCGTTCAGCTCCAAGAACTGCGTAGATATATAAATCAAATCTTCTGGATTATTTAAAAGCTGGGAAGGTGGACGTTACAGATGTCGAGTACCCAGTTTTCACGCTCTCATTTCAGTATTACTGTCTAGTTTTGGCTCGATTTAGGTGCAGTGGGTATAAACCACATTAATTCAAGTCTGTAAATAACATCAAATTGGAGAAGAAAACAATACGACTTGTTCCATATTTTCCTCAAGCATTAAAAACGTCTGCTGTCTCACTTTCCAGCGTGAATAAGTTATCACGGACATGCGGAGGTTCACTTCTAAACAACATCACAGACTTCTATTCCTGAATTTAATTTTTTACAATATTTTCAGCGCGTTAATTGGTGAAAGAGCGAACAATTAATTAAGTGGAGCCCACATGTTGAACTAATACCACAAAGGGCGTGTGCTTGTCTGACCGCAAATTAGACAGCCAATAAATTTATCTCTTCAAATTGCCCCTAATGATTCAAAGACACTTCATCTCCTCTTAAAGGAAATTATGACCTAATTTAAAAGTTTTCTACGTTTAGGTAAGTGTAACCAACTTAAAGCGTGAATACTACGTCCCAGTCTCCAAGCAAATGTTAGTTTTAAGTCAAGACACATGTATGCTTTCGTGACATTACCACGGCCACGGTCACGCAGCGAATGTTGACCCATGCGTGGAATCAATGAAATCACGATTTTCTTAGATTTTCAAGTAAAATATTGTTGGTAAGGTAATTTGTTGCTACAGTCACTCAATACACTACACAGTATTAAGTTCGAAGAAGAAATGTGCCCAATTTGCCATCGGGTTTCCCATTCTCAGACGTTAGGAAAATCAGGCCATTTCGGGATATCGTATTGCACAGAACGGCCACAAAAAGTTCAAAGTTTTAAAATACAGGTGCTCAGTTATTGTTCAGTTTATTAAATGTATTGTTCCACCACCATCTCGTTACCATAGGCATTCTTTGTTTTGTTTTTTTTTTCGTTCAGAAACTGCGGCTTGTCTTCGTAAGACATTCAGGTCTAATGAACCTCTTTCCAGCTCGAGAAATTATAAAGTTGTCACTTGAAAAAGTAGGCTTTGTTGGAGCTCCTATTATTTTTCCCTTATTGAGAAATAAAAAAAACTTTTTTCAGCAATCTTTTGAGGATTACGCTAATGTATGATCTACAGAAGTAAAAAACGTTCACAATTTTCAATACTGCAGGATTAAAAAAATTATCTGATAATGCCAAACGACCAATTGCAATAATGCTAAACGACCAATTGTACACCGTCGCTAAGCGACAGTGTGCAATTTCAAAAAGGAAAAGATGATGAAAATTGATTTTCATTCAGATGACAGCGTCGAAGCAGGCTGTTTTCATTATCAACACATTAGCTTGAAACTCGCCTTCAAAGAAAAGTGATCTGATGAAAAATACTCATTAGGAAAACCTCTGTACGCAGCGATTGCTGACGCAGGTAAGGTTTCCAGAACTGATGTAACTTGCAAATTTTCGGAATCAAACCAAATGTAGTCAAGAGTCCACAAGCGACTCGCATCATCCTCAAAACTTGTGCATTCAGGCTCAGAACCCTAAAAAATAAAGGAATTATTACGGATATTACAATCAATTTTACGAAATGCTTAAAATAACGTTTAGGAAAAACGAATTGGTATTAATTCAAATATTTCCTTTTCTTGCGACCATAACATTCTTGACAACCTTATAAACCTGGTGTTAATTCGACCTTTGTTAATTCAAGCTGACCATAAAAGAGATTTCATAATGGTTAGTGCTGGGCTGTTCGAGATGTTCAGTCAGTAGACTGGGCACTATGATAACTCAGACTTTACGCTTTGAGCTTCGTCCGAAACCTCGTCCACCAATTAAAAGTTTAGGAAAGGCTCAAACTCCTCTAATATATTCATTTGATAAGACTGATACCAAAAAAAGAAAAATTCTCAAGAAAGTATGACCAGAGACCAAGACCACCTACGTACCAACACCACCTTGTAGGCACTCCGCAGAGGTGTCAGTGGACAATGGAGATGGTTCTTGGCTTTGTTTAAAAGTGCAATCTGTTCAGGAAGAACCTAGAGATGGAAGCAGAACGTAACAGAAATCTTTCTTTATCTGATTCATTACACAAAATTGTCCTATGATGGAAAATTTCACCTGACTGCCCACCACTTAACATCTTTATATCATTTAAGGCATAAAGAATGGTACCTGCTCTGGCTTTGGAATATCTGTCGAGAATCGCAAGTAATCAACAGTTTGGAGTTTGCAGAATTCATTTTTGCTGAGATGACCAGTGGTTAGGAGACTGTAAGGAGGACAGTGAGGTTCAATATTAAAATCTCCACACAGGATATAGGCCACACGCTTTCCTTGCGACCTCAGTGCCGTAACCATATTATGAAGGGCTTGTGTGACAAGTGACACTTCACAGATTTGCGAGACAGGTTCAAGGAGATCTTTCCATAAAATGTGAGTGGTAGCTTGAACAGGAAGAAAATAAACCTATTAACATAATTACCATGTAACTACTCTTACAATATCCATGAGAATACTAAAACTTATCGATTAGAAGTTGTTATCTTGATCTAACACTAAATTTTTGTAACCAATTTTACAATGTAATGGGTAGCAGCAAGAGGGGAGAATTAACAATCAGATCTTGGGAGTTCCAGGGTTAACTTGGGAGACCATCCACTGTACAGTGTGACCTCATGCATAAGGCAGGTGATGTGACATTGGCCAGCACATCTTCTTGAGCATCTCCTAGTTTCTGGAGCCTGAGAAAGTGTGAATAATGCTTCAAGTCTTGGTTAGGTACCTAGTCTATTTCAGGTTGATCCCTGGCATTTTGTCAGGTTTCTTTGAAAATTTGCCATTACACATTTACACTCCCTGTTGGATAGACAGAGGCACTGTGAAAGTAAAGTGTTTGGCCTATGAACAAAATGCAATTGTCCCAAAAAGATATTTCCCGCAAGTCTTATTAAATCAACTTGAATAAATGAGCCCTTTCACTCTCAAAATCTCACTAGAAATTCTCCTTACTGTCTGCCATCCAATTCTTATTGTGTTAGTTCAGAGAATTTGGTTTTGGATCAGTTGATAATCCCTATTTGATATTTTCCTTTAATCTTGTCACTTGTCTGCTTGCCATTGTGCTAATATTATAAGGAGAAATTCTGTTATGGTCACTCATGGGAATCAAAGTGTTGAGAGAGAAGTCCACATCTTTAAAACCAACAATGCTCAATATCTTACCTGTCACTAGTACCACATTGGTAATTTTATGCCTTACTGCTGCAAATATCGCAACTTCTCCAAATTTTTGACACTCGGCCTCTAAAGAGGCATCTGATGCAATGTCATTGATAACTAATGTTTTTGACTGTTCTAGTTCAAACTTGTCCTTTTTGAAGAACAGTGCTACTCCCTCCTGTCGACCTGTGCAGGGAGACTTCTGCATAAACAGTCCCTTATACTCTAAGGACAACATAACTTCTTCAAGGATTCCTGCAAAGTAGGCTGGGTCCACTTCTTGTAAACAGACAATGTCTCCATTTAACCACTGAAGCTGAAAAACATGAAAAAAGTAATGTAAATAATCCAATATTCTTTATTAACCCTTTTACTGTCATGAGTGACCAAGACAGAATTTCTCCTAACAACACCAATAAAATATCAACCAGATAAGTGATGAGAATAAAGAAAAATATCAATTTGGGGATAATTAGTTGATCCAATACTAAATTCTCTGAACTAACATCATAAGAACTGTATGGCTGACAGTGAGGAGAATAACAAATTTGATCTGGGAGTTAAAGGGTTAATAAACCTTTTAACCTTTAGGGCTGACTAGCATCTAATTTTTTTCCTCAATGATGAATCACACATTTAGGTCATGAGAATAAAGGAATTGATCACCTATCAAAGAAGTTCTTGGCTGATTTGATCAATTATGCAAACTTTCTGGTGATGAAATAAATTTCTTTTACCTCAGGCTTGCTAAGTATCATACTTAAAAATTATCTTCCCCCTCCCTTCCCCCCCTCCCCCTCCATTACCATTTTTCTGGTAAAGATCAAGCACAACTTACCTGTGGAGACCTAATGCTGATATTTTACTATTACAGCCCTCATACTTTGTTGACAAGATAGATGCATAATGCATCTGATAAACAGCTTCTCAAGCTTCTCACACTGCCTGTACGAACTTTTTTCATACCTCTCTCATAAGTAGCTTGTGTCGTGGACAGCTCCTGTCTTGTTTTGGTGTAACATATTCTTGAGGGCAATTCTTATACCTGCCCTTTTTCAATGCACTTTGAACGTAAAAATCTGCAAGAATGTTGTATGTGACAACAGAAATGTCCTCTTCCCCACAATTATCCTGATCACTGATATAGGTGGTTTTTCGACTATCCAGAGTTGGCAAAGTGCTCATTTTATACTCCAAAACTGTACAATTTTTTGGAAATTGGACAAGGTAATGTTAAAGTTTCTATGAAAAAAAGTTGACAATCAGTGTGAGACAACAAAATTCACTCAGCTTTAAGAGTAAGAATATGTTGAGCAGGACTTCCACATGCATGACCCCATTTTGTATATATCAGGTGAAGGAAAAATTTCTGCACAGCCCCATCCTTCGTTATACATGCAAATCTTATTGGTGATACACTGAATAATAAAGCCCCATATATGGATTCGTAATGATGGGGCTGTGCGGAAACTTTGCCCAGGTGAATAGTGCTTTTCACGCGTCATAAATTTAATTTCCGACCATATTTTGGTATATTGACAAAAATAATCTAATTTTTTTGGCTTCTGTGTGGTATATACTAACAAAATACGAAATAATTATTCATCTAAGGGTGGATATTTACCACGCCGCTTCCCGACTTGGTAAATATCCACCAATATTCACCACCACTTCGATGAGCAATTGTTGACGATACAGCTTTAGGTGAAATAGTAAAGTACACAAACATAACCCTAAGAAAAAACATGGATTTATATTACTCAACTCTCTTCGCTTCAATGATCTGATTTGAGTTCGAATTATTCAGGTGATTTGTCCAACTTTAGTGATAATACTTATATTCAGCAGACGTGAGAGGCTGCAACCTCTATGGTTAAAGAATTTTCGATCGAAAGCGTGTCACATTAAGGATTACGGGATCCATGAATACCCTTGGATCATGCAGTCGCCATCTTGGATCAAAAATGGTGTGGGTAGGCTGGGTAAGACGAAGGCAAGAGGCCGCGTGACGTCAGTTACAGTCGATATGATCAATATGACAGCGAGGAATGTTCCTTACATAACATAACATAATAATAACATAACATAATAATAACTCTGTTTAGTAACCAAAGGCTCTTTAGAGCTACCTCATGGTGTGCCTTAATTTATTTGTGATGAGAACTTTAAATATCTCTTTTTATTGTTTTTTTAGAGGGCACGGTAACGAATCTTGCAATCTGATTGGTTCTTTACCCGGTCAGTATTTTCCTATCTCTGCCCACGGGCCACGGTAACGCTTTCGTGAGTCGCCGAGTACATCCCAACTTTCGTTGTCAATTTTCATAAATATACCTCGTTTTCCGGCTGGGCAGTATTTTTAAGCAAACACGTCGGTCACTACCTCAAGCCGATAAACAACTTATGAATCCTCTCTTTTCTCTCTATCAAATCACTTTGGTTGACAGAAAAATATTGGTTTCAGAATGAATTTGTATAAACAATGGTGTCATTACGTTGGTTGACAAACGGCCTAAAAACCGTCTGCAATTAATTTTAATCGTTCACAAAAAGTACCCAGAAAGTTGAAACGTGAGGTATTTGGTTACAGTTAAACTGAATGATGGAACTTTCATTCATTTAATATCTGAATTTTCTCGAGCATTTTAGTTCTACAACAAATATACGCTCCCGGTGAGTCTTTCCAATTCCGTTCAATTTGGACATTTGTACCGTAAATTGAACAACAGAAATTGAAGGAATTTTTTGAGAAAAGGCCGCATTAAATTCCCTTGTGTCTCGTTGGAGTGTGCCGTTCGAATTTAGTTTTTGTGAAGGAAAGACCAGAGTTAAACACGCCATTATGCATCTATCATCGGCCATCTCCTGGGGGGGGACCCCGGGCAAATTCAACGTTGAATGGGGACTTATACGGGGATTTGAACGATTAACTTACCCTGGAGGCGGGGGAAATGAGGGAGGTTTGTTTTCCAAAAGCCTTGCACCGCGGGGAAAACAGGGGACTTTGCAAACGAAACAGGTCAATTTCAAGTTGTCTTAAATGAAAAAACATGAAGACCGCTGTGCAGAAGAACGTGGTCCACCTTTCTCCTCGTGTTTGTGATGGCGACCTCGGCGGATGGCGCAGGTATTGTAATGTAAATCCATGTAAATTTGCATTGTTACGAACATGTAAGCACTATTAAAACATGACATTTCGTTAAGGGTATAAAGTACTGTTTTCTTGTCAGGTTTTAAGGTGATTCCCCTCAGGGAGGGGAACTTTGATTCCTCCTTTGTAGAATGTATGCGCCTTTCAAGGCAGCACGAGGTCCCATCTGCTTCCGTAATTTTTGAATTTTATTGCCTTAAATGTTATATCTGCTGCCGCAAAATGGTCCAGGTTCGCCCCTCTTTTGGTTTTCTTCGATTTCATGGTGGGAAATGGCCATCTTATCGCGGTACCAGAGCTGGACGACAAGTGAAGGAGCGAGAAGTTTATCGTCACCGCCATATTGCAGTTATTTCACCAAGGTCAGCCAACCATGGCCCCTACCGTTTGAAGTCCAGTCACAAATACTGTAATAACGCCAACCTTCTCGCTATTCCACCTACACCATCTAAAGCCGAACCTGCAAAGTCATCAAAGCTATTCATGCCGTCGTTCTTTCTCTCCAACGTCATGTCACTGGCGCCGAAAATAGATGAAGTCCGTGAAGTCGTCCATTATGCAGATTTCGACCTTGTATGCATAACAGAGACTTGGCTCAAAGACCACATTGACAATAATATTGTCGCTATTTCTGGCTATAACGTGATCCGCCGAGATCGAACTGAAGCAGTGCATGGGGGAGTGTGTCTGTACATTAAAGAGTCTATCCAATTCAAGATCATTGAGGACATTATGGATAGGAAGTTTGAAGTTGTTTGGACTCAAATACGGCCTTCGCGTCTCCCAAGGGGCATTACCAGCATTATTGTTGGAGTTGTTTATCATTCTCCGAGCGCCGCGGATTCGCCTATGCTGGATTATTTGTATAACTGTTTATCTTTGGTTGAGGCTCGCTTTCCTGGCTGCGGGATAATTTTACTTGGTGACTTCAATAAAACTCTGTTAAAGAAATCTTCGCGCCTTAGTAACGGCTTTAATTTGAAGCAAATCGTTACCTTTCCAACTCGCGGCAGAAATACCTTAGATCCGGTGTTAAGAAATGTGAAGGAGTTCTATGCCCCTCCGATCCAGCGCCCTGCTCTCGGTTTGTCCGATCATTTCTCTGTGGAAGTTCAGCCGCTCGTGCGTTCCCAACAACCAAGAACTAAACTTATCGTGAAATCGAGGGACTTACAGCCTACAACGCGTATGGCTATGCGCACGTATCTTGGAAATGTGGACGTTAAGACACTTATCGATAGTAAAGATTCTTGCAAGGGCAAAGTGGAAATGCTGGAGACCATAGTTAAGACCGGAATGGACATTCTCCTTCCCCTGAAGTCTAAGTCGGTACAAACCAACGAGCCGCCCCGGGTCAATCAACAATTGAAGGGTCTCATTCACAGCCGCCAAAAGGCCCTCGCTCAAGGCGACCAGGAGCAGTACCGCACCTTACGAAATCGCGTTAATCGTGAGAGGAAAGCATGCCGTGCAAAGTTCTATAACTCCAAGGTTGAACATCTGAAGGACTGTAAACCCGCAGTTTGGTGGCGTGAGGTAAAGAAGCTCAGTGGTACGTCAGACGCAGCTTCTAGAGGCGTTAATCCAGCTACCCTCTACCAACATATTGATTGTGGTCAGGGAGGTTCGCCTCCAAGCACGATAGACATTGCTAACACCATCAACCAGGCGTTCTTGGCTCCTATGCGCGTCTTCACCCCCCTTTCACCTAACACCTCAACCAACTCTGACCAGGAGAGTGCTTTCCAGGTATCAGAATTCTCTGTTTTAAAGAAGCTATCCGCCTTAAATCCAACTAAGGCAACCGGTCCGGACGGAATCCCCGGTTGGCTTCTTAAAGAGAATGCAGATTTACTAGCACTGCCTGTGACTGATATCCTTAACTGTTCGTTTAAGGAAGCACGGTTGCCTCAGTCTTGGAAGGACGCTAACATCACTCCAGTACCAAAGCAGAATCCAATACACGATGTAAACAAACATCTACGTCCAATATCCCTAACTCCCGTGCTTTCTAAGGTTGCTGAAGATTTCGTCGTGGAGAGTTTCCTCAAGCCTGTTGTGTTGGCGAAAGTGGATGTACGGCAGTTTGGGACTGTGCCAGGTTCCAGTACGACACAAGCACTAATAAGCATGGTCCACTCATGGCTTAGTGCTACGGATGGGAACGGTGCAACTGTCAGAACCATCCTCTTTGACTTCCGCAAGGCGTTTGACCTTATTGACCATCAGATCCTAGTTCAGAAGCTCATTTCATACGATCTTCCAAGCGGAATAATTGACTGGATAGTGGACTTTCTGTCCTGTCGCCGACAGCGTGTTAAACTTAGTCAGGACTGTTACTCGGAGTGGGGGGCCATCCCATCAGGGGTCCCACAGGGGGCACAAAACTTGGCCCCTGGTTATTTACTATTATGATAAAAACCTCATCATCCCGGGTACAGACATGTGGAAATATGTCGATGACTCCACTATTTCTGAAACAGTCATGAAGTCTGAGGTCAGCAAAGTCCAACAAGCGGTTGACGAACTCGCGACGCAAGCTTCTGCTGACAAGTTCCAATTAAATGAAACCAAGTGCAAGGAACTGCGCATAACATTCAGTCACTCTAGAAAGAACTTTGATCCAATTAAGGTTAATGATCAGGACTTAGAGTGTGTAGAGCAAGCAAAGATCTTAGGTTTGCAGATATCTTGCGATCTTACGTGGAATAATCACGTATCCGAAGTTGTAAAGAAAGTAAACAAGCGCCTGTATTTTTTGCGTCAGCTTAAGCGTGCACAGGTCAAGTCGGAGGAACTTTTGCTCTTCTATTTGACTTGTATTAGGCCTGTCACTGAATATGCATGCCCTGTTTATCATCATAGCCTCCCGCAATACCTTTCAGTAGATCTTGAGAGATGTCAAAGGCGAGCTCTACGTATTATCTATCCAGATTGTTCGTACAATGAGGCGCTTCTTTTGACTGGTCTAGTTCCCTTACACAACCGCCGCGAGTTCTTATGTGATAAGCTTTTTAATTCCATCCTGTCTAATCCCTCGCACAAGCTCTATAGCTTACTACCTCCCAAGAATGAGTGCGAAGTCAATTTAAGGAGTCAGCACTCTTTTACTACACGGCGCCTCCACACCATTCGTACTCGAAATAGTTTTATCCATCACTATGTCCATAAAGCAATGATGTAATATTGTTTTTCTCTTAATTATATATTTTTGTCTTTTTAATTAGTTCTTCTTAGCCATGTATTTTTTGTAGTATATATTTTATTGTAAATCAAACGTAATTCAGCCTATGGCTGCAAGGTTCTTGATAAAAAATAAACTATCTACCTCTGTGTCCCCACCTAGGAGGGGGAAAATAAGAACTTTGACAGGGTCCTTTACAAAGTCCCCACCCTTGCCCGGGGTCCCCCCCCCCCAGGGGATGGCCGATGATAGGTGCATTACAGCAAACAAACGGGCAAACTCTCACAACTTCAAAATGAAAAAAATTGAATTTACTCACAATTACTTTCCTCGCCGTTTACTTAATGAGCAGAGGTAAATCTTCGTACATGAATGAATGGTCGATGAGAGTGAATAATACCTTCCGTTAGATCATTGACTGATTTTGAAGAGAAAACATTGTCGTGACAGTCCTTGCCAAACTAGTTCTGTTGGTTTTCAAATGTTCCTACGCCTTTTTTTCTTGCGCGC